TTTTTTTGTAGGAGAAAGTAATTGAAGTTGCCCTGGGATGAAAGGAGGTGAACTCTGTTGCCAGCAGTTATCACTTGATGCTGCCTTGCAAACTGTAGAGCAAGAACCTTCTCAATGCTGGCTTTCTCCCTAGATTAAGATCACATTAAAAAAGAAAGTAGAACATTGCATGGCAAAAGCTTTCCTGTTTGCAGAGGCGAAAATGGTTGACATACTCTCTTATGATTGGTGCCAGAAGACTCATTTCTGCATTCTGCTGTAAGAGGAATGAGCTGCAATCTTAACAATCTACTAAGATGTAAGCCCCACTGACATTGAGAACGCAACACAAGAACGGGCCTTTTCTGTGGTGGCTCCCTGTTTGTGTGATGCTCTTCCCAGGGAGACTCGCCTGGCACTTTCATTACATATCTTTAGGCACTGGGCAAAAATGTTCCTCTTCAACCAGCCCTTTGGGTGATTGAACATTCTGGTCTTCCAAATGTGTTGTGGGAGGGGAGGGAGTTATAGGTTTGTGTTTGTTCTTTTTATTATGTATTTTGTGTTCTCCTTTTGTATTTTTATGATGTGAACTGCCCTGTGATCTACTGATGAAGGGTGGTAGGCAAATTTAATAAATAATAATAATAGCCATGCATGTAAAAATTCTGCTTGCCCCCCCCCCAAAAAATCAGTCTACTTTGCCAACTTAGAAGAAATACTAGACCTGAAGCCAAATTTTAGGCCAACCTTTAAATCCAGTTCTAAGACACAGCAAAAAGATTGCTTCTAGCCTCATGACCTTCCAAGACGTCCAAGTAAGTACAGAGGCAAATCCCTTCTACTGTTTGCTCCCCTTCCTTTCCCGCCATACATGTGGATCAATTTATTTTTGCTCTTGTTCTCTCAGTGCATAAAGAATTTGTACTCGAACGTTAAATGTCAAAATCCTTCTTGGGGAAAGGGGGCTTTGACTGTGAACTACAATTAAAAAAGCACTACAATAGCGCACACGGATTTAGCCCAAGCACAAAAGAAAGCCACATGGATGCAAGAGCACAATGTCTTATATTCTAAAAAACCCCCAAAGCACTCAGTAAATAACTATCTCTCCGCACCGCACCGCACCCCGCCTCCTCCTTCAGTTCTGCCGCTAACAGAATGGAGGGAGGGGCCAGATGGGTGGCTTGGCTGACATTCTCATCAAGAAAGCTGTGGCAGAAGGCTCTGGAGCTAAAAGCTGCTTTAAGTGGGCGGATTGCTGCACCCACATTAAGAGACAGGGATCGGGAGAGGGCCCTGTGATTGCATAAAGCTATTTAAAATTATGTATTATCTGTTCTGTGGACAACCCCCCCCCCAACACAGAAATACACCCCTGCCTGCAACAAGGAAATAAGAGTTAAAAATAAGCTCAGGAAGTGGCGCTCTGTGGATTCATCAGATCGTTTCTTAAACCATAGCTTTACAGTGCAGTCCTGTCCATGTTTGCTCGGAAGACTATGTTCAGCGGGGTTCATTTGAAAGCAGACACTTACAGAGCCCATGTTTCTTGTGGTATACATGGAATGGGCAGCCCTTTCCACAGGTAAAAAGGGTGCATATACACCCCATCTGCCCCAAATCTGCTCTGGAGTGTTGGGGAAAACCCAGAACAGATTTAGGGTGAATGCAAGGGAAAGAGACGGGGGTGATTGTGCCATGGTGCAACAAAAATATGTGCTCAGTGCTACATTGAATACAGCTCATCTTCTGGTGGGATCCCGCCTTTCTCAGGCATAGAGGGTCAGCTGGGAGTCCTATCAGAGTCAAGCCCCTGCTAAGTTGATAAAATACAAGAAAGGTAAAATGTTGGCCTGAGTGTCTTCACTAGCCTGGGGATCACTAAGCTCAGGGACAACCCAATTATTGGGCAGATGATGGAGGTAGGAAAGGAGTGAAGTGTTTGACCACAGATCTAAGTGTGCCACATAACTGATGGAGTACAGGCCAGGCAACTGATTTAAAATAGAACAAGCCACAGTTGACTGGATAGTTCACTCCTCCTGCTCTGTCAGGCCAAGTCAATTGAGATATTAGCATTGCTCTCAGTTCCAAAAGGCCTGGAGGAAGATTTTCAGTGTTGGCAGCAGCCACACCTCAGGGAAAGGAATGTGTTTCTCTTCCAGGGCACCACCACAGAGAAGGCCCTATCCTAAGCCTAAGCACCTTGGATTTCATTCAGCAAAAGTATTTTTGTCTGTCTGTCTGTCTGTCTGTCTCTCTCTCTCTCTCTCTCTCTCTCTGTGTGTGTGTCTGTGTCTGATATACCACCCTTCACTGATAAAGTATTAAGGCAGTGTACACCAAAAGAAACATAAAGGCAGGACAATAAATTACAGGTCAAATATAATAGTAAAAATGATCCGATAACCCTAGGATACAATAGAAGGCAGAATTGTCACTTCCATACAAATCCAAATGGACAATCAATATGCCACACTAAACAGATTTATCCATCCATTCCTACACACGGGTTAAATTTACAAGTAGATACAGTTACACAGTACTAAAAAAGAGGACATGAATTTGCTTCAAGGCTTTCACTTCTTAAGGTTATTTATCTTTCAAACCAGACTCTGAAACAGCCCTTCAAATGTATGACACCTTCATACAGAGTTCCTGATTGTGCACCTGGTCTATGCAATTCTTTTCCCAACTCACTGTGTGTGGCTTGGGAGGGGGAAGGCCTCCAGTATAAACTGGGCCAATATGGGTGGTAAGAGGGGACAAACTACTCCACCAGTTTTGTTCCTGTCTGAATGCATGAGCCAGGGAGGCAACTCTCTCTTTCTCCCCATCCCCCAGCCCTAGTGTTACCACTTTAATTTTCATGGAAACTTGACACCTTATCTTGACCTTGGGAAAGAAAGGCAACTCTAGCCAGCTCTTCCTTCCCATGGAGATACAAACAAATGCTAATTAAAACAAAGCATGAATAGATGCCTTTCATCAGAGATGCCAATATAGTTAAAGAAAATGATTTAATACTTAATTAGCTGCAGAGCTCCTTGTACTTGCACAGTGGCAGGCGAAGGCTTAGAAGAAAGAAAAAGGCAGCGGACGAGTAGCTTCTCCAGGAATGTGGCCAGATTGGGAACCTCATTTGCTACAATGGTGGAACCAGCAGCTGTTTTCTGAAATAATTCCTACAAAGCCTTGGTTGCAGCATCTGCAGCAGCACCGCTTCTCATTGATATGACGATTGGCTCTGTCTGTTTTAAAAATAACTCAAAGTATAAACATGGCTGGCCCACCCATTGGAGGTTTTTAAGCAGAGGTTGGTGGATTCGAACCCCACGTTGGTAAAAAGATTTCTGCATTGCAGGGGGTTGGGCTAGGTGACCCACATTGTCCCTTCCAACTAAACAATTCTATGATTCTATGTCTACACTCCCTTATAATTGTGCATAGAATTTCTGCCGTCATCAGGAACAAACTTGTTTGACCATTTTCATCTTTTTCCAAATGTATCTTATGATTTTCTAACAAGTGCAAAAAATAAAAAGTGTCTTGTCTATTTTGATTTCAGGATTTCCACAATTAGCACCCCCCATGAAGTTTATGCATGGCAAATTCCTTTTGTTTTTAACCTTTGTTGCCTGTACTTCCTCAGCAGGGAGAGTCAGGCTACTTAGCTGGGACACCACATATATATTTCTGCCAGGCAATTAACAGTTGCACAGCTGCAAGAGGTTTAGCACCAGACAGCTGCAGGAAAAGAAACCACATGCCTCATACTTTCTTGCAGTATTTTGAAAACTCGTAAGAGCATCATAACAAAACAGAAAATTATATATATATATATATATATATATATATATATATATATATATAGCATTTCCAGATGCACTTGCTTCAAAAGGCAGCTTCTGACTACAGCCTTTTACTTTTCAAGTGCCAATTTAAGCCAAAATCATGCAGAGAGAAATGTGGGTTTGCCACTGAGCATACGGCCAATAGGCAAACCCAGCCAATTGCAGCTCCGCAATCAGCATCTCCATGTATGATACATGTGCTTGTCAACTTGACATTTTACAGATTAATCTTTGGTGGAGATGCATGTTTGAAATGGTGCCATCTTACTCTGGGGTACAGGCTTAGGCCAATTATGAAGGAAGGGCTCTGGAGTGCACAGCCACATGGTTTTGGTTGTTACGAAATTCCTGCATCTAAAAGTTCGCTTTAATGGCTATATTTGGGAAATGTTTTCTGCAGCACTTTCCCCCTAAGAATATCATGTTTAACTGCCACATCTAGATACCAAGTGTGAATGATTAGGAATGGCTCCAGCTGTAATGCTTTAAGAGATATGAAAAAAGGTTTATAAATGGGTAAAAGCTTAATGGTAAGGATTTGCTGAACTAACAACTGAACTGGAATACAAAAAAAGGAGGTATGAGGAGGTCCGGGGAAATAAGTGTAAGGAAGATATGTTAAGGAAAATTAATGTGTTTTTAACTGTTTTTATTTTGTTTGTTTCTTTTTATTTTTCATTGCTTTGTTATATCTTAATAAGGGTTTTTTTATTTTTCTTGCTGTATTTTGTATTTTTTTGGTATTTTTACTTTTTGTTTTTGTGTAATTCTTGTATTTTTTTGAAATTTTAATAAATATCATCAAAAAAAAAAAAAGAATGATTAGGAATGGCATCGTTTTTTTCCAAGAAATGAAAGACTATCTGATATTGTTGGTCTTTATGGTAGTTTAAATTACGCTTATTACTTGTGAAAAAGCAATTTTAAAAATTGGGGAGGGGGAAAAATCGCATAGAATGTAGCTTGTGAGGGAAAAGGCTATAGCTTACTGGAAAAGAATGTTTTGCCCACAGAACGTTCCAGGTTCAACCACCAGCCTATCAAGGTAGGACTAGGAAAGACTCTCTGCCTGACAGCCCAGAGAGCCATTGCCAGTCAGAAAATTAAAGAATTGAAAAGGATCCCAAGGGTCATCTAGTCCAACCCCTGCAATTCAGGATTCTTTTACCCAACGTGCGTTCGAACCCACGACTTTGTAAGAGTCTCATGCTCTACCAACTGAGCTATCCCAGCAGATAACATCCCAAGCAGATACATTCTCTCTCTCTCGCTCCATCCACCCTCAGTTTATCTCTATCACTTTTCCCCAGGATCCTCACCCAAACCCACATGCACATTCTGTCTCTCCTGTCTCGCAAAACACACAGCTCTCCCTCCGTTTGTGGCTGCAGCATCATTTCACCCCATATTTCTCCTCTGGGCTGTTCTGTTTTCTGTCCCCACACCTCCACTCATGAGAACTGGAGATTTTTGGGGCACTATCTCTGCACTGTCCATGGAGGCGCAGGTCAATTCTGTGTTCAGGGCAGCTGTCTACCAGCTCCATCTGGTATGCAGGCTGAGACCCTACCTGCCTGCGGACTGCCTCGCCAGAGTGGTGCATGCTCTAGTTATCTCCCGCTTGGACTACTGCAATGCGCTCTACGTGGGGCTAACTTCAAAGGTCACTCGGAAACTACAACTAATACAGAATGTGGCAGCTAGACTGGTGACTGGGCGTGGTCTCCGAGACCATATAACACCAGTCCTGAAATACCTACATTGAATTGTGGTCGGAAACGTACTGAGAGCCAAAGTGTTGGTGCTGACCTTTAAAGCCCTAAATAGCCTCGGCTCAGTATACCTCCACCCCCATCATCAGCCCAGACACTGAGGCCCAGCTATGAGGGCCTTCTGGCGGTTCCCTCACTGCGAGAAGTGAGGTTACAGGGAACCAGGCAGAGGGCCTTTTAGGCAGTGGTGCCCGCCCTGTGGAACGCCCTCGCATCAGATGTCATGGAAATAAACAACTACCTGACTTAGAAAACATCTGAAGGCAACCCTGTTTAGGGAAGTTGTTAATGTCTGATGTTTTGTTCTGTTTTTAATCTTCTGTTGGAAGCCACCCAGAGTGACTGGGGAAACCCGGCCAGATGGGCAGGGTATAAGTAATAAATTATTATTATTATTATTATTATTATTATTATTATTGCTGCTGCTACTACATTGCTTTATGGTTTGGCAAGTTTACGGAATGGGGATTCTGTGTTTTACATTATTTGACCGTTGAATTTTATTATGTTGTTTTATTCTTTTAACTGGAAGGTTAAGGGTCACTCGTAAATAGTCTAAATAACCTGCCTGACACCAAGCCTTCAAGATAAAAATCCATTTTTCTTTTTAGATCTAGTGCTGTTGTCTGCTCTGCACCTTGATTTACAGTGCAATCTTATGTCTTTTCTCAGGAGTTAACATCTGATGAAGTGGAGTCTGGTCCATGAAACCGTCTGTGATAATAAGTATGATGTGCCAATGAGATTGTTCCATCAGGCACAACATTTCTGCTTCTCTGATGGAACCACCTTCCCTCTTCTTCCCCTGCAGTTTTGTGGTATCTCCTGTCCTTCAGGGGCAGATGTGGGGGAAGCACATGCGGGGGGGGGGAGCCCCATTATTCTAAGCAGGAGTCTTTGAGCTGGCTTCTGCTACTGGAATGGGGTAGTTAAATCTGGCCCACATCCTTAAGATGTTTATGGTGCTAGTGTAAAGTCAGGAGAAGGCTTTATGAACAGGAGGACAGAAGAACAGCTGTGAATTCCTACTACTGGATACTACGGCACTACAAAGATATTTGACCGTGTACAAAAGAAGTACAAGTTGCTCTGAACCCAAGTGTAAAATGGCAGGGGCCAACATTTCCCATACAGTTTATGCCGTTATCACTTGTTTTCCTGCACAGAAGCAGTGACATCATGCTCTGCCTGTAGGAGTTTAACTGCAGCCTCACTTTAATGCTATCTGTAATAAGAGCCAACCCTGTTAACGTTGCCCCTAACAAGACAAACAATTACAACACAGTAATAAATACTCTTCCATCAAAGCTCTTAAAATGCTTGGACAGCCCATCCATTAGATTTGCACTTCTCTGTGCCTTTTAAGGTTAACCTTGGAGTTGAGGTGGTTTAAATGCCTGGTCTTCAATCTTTCAGAGGCTGCTAAAGTTTAACATTAAATAATATTACTGTTAGTAAAGAAAAATACAGGCCTGAGAAGACACAAGCCAAAACAAATCCTTCATAGCTCTGCTTTGCAAAGGTGATTCATGAGCCTCTTGCTAGGACTTGCTGACATGCACAATGGACAGCCATACCTGTGTTCAAAGTAGAAGGGATGCGGGTGGTGCTGTGGTCTAAACCACTGAGCCTCTTGTCGGCGGTTTGAATCCGCGCAACAGGGTTGCTCTGTCCCAGCTTCTACCAACCTAGCAGTCCAAAAGCATACCAATGCAAGTAGATAAATAGGTACTGCCAGGGTTTTTTTTCTAGAAAAAGAGGTGCTGGAACTTGTTCAACTGCCGCACTGCACCACCACCATCCGCCTCTGCCACACTGCCCCAATAACCAGGCTGCCCCCTGCCACCTCTGCCATGTAGGCGTACCACCCTCAGCCTTTGTCGTGCAGCCCTGAGCACTGTGCCTGGGAACAGTGCATTTTTTGTGGGGGTATCCTGCTACATCCATCTATAGGGCACGCCATACTATTTTCCTGCAGTACTTCAAGTGTGTTATTGAGAGCAGAACAGCTGCAACTTTCGTAAGCAGAGAACTTGGAATTCCATCCATAACTTCACTGAACATGATTATTCAATGAGATGGGGACCATGGTTTAACACAGCTTTCCCCAGTGTAGGGGCTCCAGGTGTTGCTGGACTAAAACCGCCATCATCCCTTGGCCATGCTGGCTAAGGATGTTGGAGAATGTATTCTTGAGATGGTTGGTTTGCCGTGTACTGGTGCCATCATCTTGGTGATGGGGCCACTGCCACAAACTCCTCCCATTGCACTCTGGCCTGCTTGCATCCACAGTAGCTGCTGCAGTGCTCATCAGCTGTGTATTGGGCTGGAAAAAGGGCTGCTGTGCATTCTGGGTCTTCAAGGTGCTTGCACCTCCTAGGACAGTGCTGTGCAGGGTTGAAACTCTGGACAATGCTGCGGACATCAAAGTTATCTCTCTCAGCAGTTTCATACATTTATTAAGCATCATCAGTGAAAACACTGAGCTTTCCAGAACATCAAAGCCCAATACTAATAAGGATGGCCTCACTTCCCCGGGGGCTACTCTTCAAGTGAGAATGGAGAAAAGGAAACAGAACTACAAGAAAGTAAGTCTTACCTGATGTTCTAAATAGTTCAGCGGAAAGATGTGTCCCACAGTATCAAAAATCACTGTTATCCAACAAGATAAGCAGGGAAGCCTGTACTCTGTCCATCCCCTGAATCAGATTATTCATCATGGCTGCATTTCTTTCTAAAACATGTCCCCAAAAGCAAATTTAAAAGTGTGAAACATGCTCCCTCCAAGAACCTCTGGGGTTGCTCTACTACCCAGTCCACCAACTTTCTCAAAAAAGCAAAGTTGCGCTACTGCCTACAACAGGCTAGTTCCTCCTCGTTCAAATATGCCTTTCTTTTCATTTTTTAAGAAGGGGACAAGTTCATTTCTTTTTAAACAGGCAGGATTTATCTTTTTACAATGAGGCATTATAACAAGCCTCATTGTAAAACCAACAAGACTCTTGGTTGGGCTTCACAGCCACGATGGGCAAGGATCTAAAGCACATGAATTTATCTTCACACCATCTGTCAGCTGTAACTCAGTGGCTAGAACACATGCTCTGCATGCAGGAAGTTGCAGGTTCAATTCCTGGTATCTTGAGTTAAAGCTGGAAAAGAGCCTTGCCTGAAATTCTGGCGAGAGCTGCTGCTAGAATAGAAAATGCTGAACTAGATGGACCAATGGGTCTGACGAGGCTGAGGAAAGAATAGAGCAAAATTGTCACTGCACAGAACAGATGAGTCACCATTCTTATTAGTCTCTGAACCAGCTGGGAAACCTCAGCAGGATGCTATTCAGAAGAAAGATTATCTCCACTGCCGTCATCCGTTACACCTGAGCGGTGGCAGCAAAACAATGCTAGAGGCCATTCTGTAATGCTTGTTCCAAATTGCGGGAAAGTTATCAGTATTTTAATCATAGGCTATATTTTAGGTGCATGCTGTTGTGAGCAAATCATCCTTCTCCTCTGTTTTCCTGATTAAAGCTTTGTCCTGTTCTGATCCCAAGGAGGAACCCATGTGAGAAAGAAAGGTTGGTTGTTGCAGCACCAAGGAGAATTTGTTGGGAGCAGCTTGCTCCTGTGAGGGCTGGAGGTAAACTGAGGCCTTTAAACTTCTGCCTGCAGTCAACCTGTTCTGTGCTTTGCCCCTTCATTGCACATGCTATAGAATCATACACTTGTACTAGAGCAGGGGTGGGACCTTCTGGCCTGCCAAGCCTCCCCATTTGGCCACTGAGGTCATTTTGTGGAAACCATGCTCACCCACCTGACATGATACATTGCTTATTCACCTTGCAGTGGAAGAGCAACAATTAACTGCCGCTAAATTACACATATCTGGAACCACCCCTAGAAGTGAAGGACAAACAGGAAGAGATCCCACAACAAGCTGCAGACTTCACCAGGTTTTTCATTACATTATTAATATGTCATGCACCAAACAGGTGGTGCAGACATTTCCTTATATGCAAATCTACTAGAGTCAATCAGGCTTGCTTGTTCCTAAACGTGATTAGGAAGAGGAGCGTTACTTTTAATATAATCTGTATCAAAATAATACTTTGCACTTCACTAAAATTCCTATTGGGAGAAAGGAAGAACAAATGACTAAAAGACCCAGGAATAAGAAATCAGAGCTTCAGTTTCGGAAGATGCTTGACTCCTGCAGTCTTTTTAATTGGTCCTTTCTTTGGGTCCAATATTCGTTGATTTCTTGGAATATTGCACTTTCCTCTGAAACATAAAGAAGGACAAACAGAATTCAGAAAGCACAATTAAACTTGCTCATGTAGCTGCAGAAACTGAAATTGTTTGGCAATCCTTACTACTACTAGACACTGCTGTCACTGCTATTATAAAAAATATGGTTGCCTAGATTTTGAAGAGTAAGTAGGCTGCCAAGCTTAAAAAATTGGGTTAATAAATACGTATACCAAATCGGATGTTCTTGGAGACTAATAAGAACACTTTAACAATAATTATTCCCAGTCCATGGTTTCGGAATGATACAATTTATATGATAATCAATAGGATGCTGAACATTTGAACAAAACCCAGAAATGATTCAAGCTGGGAATAACTGGTATCAATTATTTCTTTGTAAGAGACAGAAATTGTTTTCTGTGTGTCCAATTAAGAGTTCTCTGCAGGAACTATCCTCCCTAGAATCAGTGTTCAGTTCTGTGCCCTTACATATACAATTAAGGAAGCTAGCTAGACATATTCTATTATCTTCCCAGGGAATATGCAGCCAACATAAACATAAAGATGGACCCATCAGCATTCTGCATTACTTTCCATTGAAAAGCACTGCTCTGAAGTTGGGTGTTCACAGTTTACATTGTAGAGAAAGGCACCCACCTGACAGAATCTGGGTCAGATTTGTAGGGAGAAAGAGAAATGATTGACCTTACATTTAATTCTGTCATTCAGCACAGCACAAGAGACCCAGAGTTCTTCATACATTTCAGATAACTTGGGAAGCGTCGCCATTCCAAAAGCAAAAGACTGACCCCACCCCATGCCCTCTGTCATACAACAGAGAAATTGCAGTCTTCTCAGTCTAGCTTTTCTTCATACAAAAAACCCATAAGGTAAGATGAGGGGTCATGTATGCTACTCTAAGCTCCTTGGGGAAAGACACAAGTGTAATAATAAAATTAATTCAGACAGTTGTGGGGGTCTCATTCTTACCTCCATGCCATACTTTGGAGTAAGACAGAAGGAGTAAGAGAAAGAAAGACTCTTGCTGTCTGTCTTTCTCTAAAGTTGGTAGAAAGGCAATGAATACAGGTTATCTCAGGGGTCCTCAACTTTTCAGGGTCAGTGGGCGCTGGTCACAAACTAGTTGCTGTGGGGGTGTGGCATAACACAAAATGGCTGCTGCAGGAAAGAGGCTGAGCCAGTGCAAACAAAAATGAAGCAGGAAGAGCAAAGTCTCTCATGCACGGTAGATTTTTGAGCGGATATTTAACTGAGACCTTTCATGGGTGCCACAGGAAATACAGGCAGACTGCAGTGGTAACTCCTACATTATCATGATAAAAAATGGCCGCAAGAGTTATGCCCTTGACATTTTGACTAATAGTTTTCAGTGTAATGAGTGAAAATCACTTGTGGGTTTTCCATCACATGGTATGCTTTTTAAATCGATGAACTAGCACAGTTTGATTCCCGTTTTAGTTGATATATCAGATTAAACTAAAAGCCATCTTACATGGGAATTTTAAACTCTTTTTGGCTGACACTGACACAATAGAAAAATGTGGTTTTAGTAGATTGGAGATAAAAGTTTGGTGTCGGGGTAGTTAAAGAACAATGAAAAGATGGATTCCTCCCCCCACCCAATCCTCTTTTCATTATTGGGATTCTAATCTGTGTTAGCAACCACAAATAGAAAAGCAAGAGGTGGCATTTATTCCGAATGAACTGTGTGGGAGACAGATTGTATAAGCTCCTCTTTAAAAGTGAATCATTCAGGAAATCTTCCTCCTACAGTCAGGAAGCTGACTCTGATTGGCCTGTGCATGGTGCTCATAAGCATCATCAAGGTCTATATGTTATATGGAACTTTCCTTATCACTTAAAATACCCCTTACTGTTCTAACAGCAGATTCAGAAGTTTGCCTGAAGAGTGCTATCACTTCCTAAAACACTTCAAATAACTGTCTTCCACATCCTGAGGAAGTTTTGAGGTCAGTCCCTGGGGTGCAGATATTTTTTTAAAAAAATGTTCACGTGTACTATACCACCACACATGCCTGGTGCCCCACCACCATGTGTTGTCTCAAAAAAGAGAGATTCTACATGGATCTAATTATGTGAATTTGTCCATGAAAGCAAAGGACTGGAAAACTAATAGAATTATGGCAGCTGCCATTAAATTCACACAGAAAGAGAAATTAAACATGCTTTATGTGAGATTGTTACCCAGTTATTTAATTACTGCAGAGCTAAAAAAAAAAACCATTAATAAACGTGAATGATTAATAGAGTTGTAAGGTAGGTCAGAATCTAAAGAACCATGCAATGAGTCCAGCTAGCCTAAATGAGCTTTTGACTTGTGCTTTTTGAACAGTGGGACTATGGCCACTTCCTCTAGAACAGGCATGTCCAACTGGCTGATCGCAATCTACTGGTCAATCACTCAACATCTTTGGGTCTTCCTCCCCCCAAAAAGCTCAACAACTTTGGTCAATTCAATGGGTAGATCACTGCCAGTTTTTTTTAGTGGGAGTATGGGAGTAGACTGCAGTCTCTTGGGAGTTGTACATGCCTGTTCTAGAACCAAGAAAAATTTCACAAGGAATATGTGGTTTGGACTGCTGATTTCCTGTTTCAAGAAAAAAGCCCCAATTCTGTATTAAGTATTATTAATTTCATTTCTACACTGCTTTATATTTTTCTAGAAAATGTCTGTTTACATTATATTAAGACATCAAACAAAACCATCCAGAATAAAATATTACTGAAGAAAGGCAAATATAAAGTATACATTCAAAGCAACATAATTACCAGAAAACTAAAATATCTTAAAGATTTCAAAATAAAACATTACAAAGGAGGTAAACTACAGAACATTTAACACAGCAAAGTTAACCGAAACAAAATTGCCTTCAACATATCAAAAGAAAATGTTACTAAAGGCAGTCAAATATAAAACCTATCTTTATAACAACACAATTAACAAGAAAATAAAATATTATCATAAGCATAGAACCTATCTGCTGTTGTTGGTGCCAATCCTGCCAATGGTGGTTCATGGCAGGCGGCAGCTATGGAAGCTCAGGCTGGATGACCTGGGTCTGCACTAAGAGACAGCACTAAGTAACTCTTGGGACACTGGCAACAGATATAACTCAGAGCATTTCCTTGTATGAAGGTGTCCAGCATTGAGATTATTGTTAGTTGTACTCAGCAGTGCCATATATAGGAGGGGAGTGGCAACAGCACCAGTGAAGCTGCCGCCATCAAGCCAAAGCTCTCTTGACTTTGCCCGCCTTGCCCCACACCATCCCTGTCTTGGTGAGTGGCGGCACACTTGTGGGGAGTGCACAATGGCTGCTCCACCCTGCTCACACACCACTGCTGCTTGTACTGATAGGATCAGAGACCATATTCAAGATGGTTTTCCAGACAATGAATTGTTCATCAAAGCCCGGGGGTGACCATGTAGTGTCTGGCTGATGTTTTCGACTCCCATCAGCCCCAGCGTGCATGGCCAATGGCCAGGGATGCTGGAAGCAGTAGTCTACAAGATCTGAAAGGCACCATGTTGGCCACCACTGATCTAAGTTATTAAGGGATGAAATATTGATTTTCACTGAATAATCAGAAGATGTCACCTGCACTAATCCCTTCCTATTATTGTTTTATGCAACTGATATATTTAATTAAAAAGACAAGGCAGTTAATAAGCCCTTAATCTGTGGACTGCCAAACTACAAAGATTATAAAAATGAGACAGCAAGATCTGGTTTTCATAATGGGATACTTTATTCTAGGTTCTATAGTCAATTGTTACTGCAACAATTATTTGTTCTAAATTCAGACTTGGCACACAAGCCCCACACAGCAGAACAGTTTTATATCCTCAGTCCCCTCAAAATGGCTTGGCTCTCTCTGTTCATTATGAACATTTAATAACATGGAAAGCTTTTTGCGGAACCTGTATAATTAAAAGACTGAGTTTGACTTTTACAAATCTACCTGAAGCAATTAGGCTATGGCATAATGCCATGTTAAAGTTATCACTGTTATTATATAAACGAGAACTGCACCATCTATAAAATATTAAAGATCAAGTAGAAATTGTTGCTCAGATTTTTCAGTTGCGTGAAACTGGACAGGAAGAGGTTGGGATAAGTAGGATAACTGACCGTTTCCCTTAATATTTAAAATAAAAATATGTGCTAGAATCCAAAGAGTTGTACAACCAAACCAGCAAGCCCAAGAAGACTTCTGGCTTTTGTTTTCACTTACATTTCATAAACAAGGAGTAGAAAACACTCAACCCTCCAGGTATTGCTGAACATCATCCATCATCCCTGGTCATGCTTGCTAGGAGTGATGGGAGTTGTAGTTCAGCACTCCTGTCATAAACATTAAGGGCTCATCCACACGCCTGCTTGTTCCATGCCTAGAAAACATGCATCCAAGCAGATTTCCCCTTGCCCTGCTCCTTTCCCAGGAAAAAACTGCACTTCAGTGCTAAATCAGGGCAAACGTCAGTCCAGAGACAACCCAAAATACCATTTTTGCTCCGACTGAGCACTAAAATGCAGTTTTCCCCAGGGAAAAGCAGAGGAAGTGTGGATAAGCCGTAAGTGATGTGTTACATTTTTTACACTGGAATAAGCCAGCCGTCACCAACCTGGCTTCAGCACATGGTTAACAAAGAGAGAGCTTTACCACAAGCCCTGGTTCAGACGGCATACTAAACCTTGGCTTAGTTCAGTGTGGCACATGAATAAATAAAAAAGACTGAGGAAGAGCAAAGTGGCTGCAAGCTCGACACCAGGAACCAGCACGTTCACACGGTTTTGGTAAGCTATAATTTGGCTTACCACATGATGCAAACCAGGACAATGTTGTGTTAATAAAATGGTAGATCTCAACATAGGCTGTCCCAAGTTCCTTAAAAACACAGGCTGGGTTAAAAATATATATATTATTTACCGCATAAGCTGGTCTTCCCTCTTCATTTCTACTGCATCCATTTTCTGCCTCTCTGAGGGTTTCAGTGATCCTGAAATCTGCAGAAGTAAATACGTGTTCATTCCTGAGTTTACATGCAAGCTGGAAATGTTACAGACATATTTGGCAGAGATCTGTTAACACATAGTTGCGTGCATGTTGCATGCTATGTTCAGTTTTTTATGACACCTGGTTAAGACAAAATACCATCATTATTTGGTACAGTAAAAATGAGTATGTAAGGACATAACCACATCTTCCTAGAAACCATAATTTCAATCCTGGTTTGCAGGGCAAGCACAAGCACAAGCCTTTTTTGTCAGTTCTGATAACACAGCAAACTACTGCTTGCTTCAAACCAGAACAGGAGTGAGGGAAGTGTCAGTATGGTGTACAGTGGTACCTTGGGTTAAGTACTTAATTCGTTCGGGAGGTTCGTTCTTAACCTGAAACTGTTCTTAACCTGAAGCACCACTTTAGCTAATGGGGCCTCCTGCTGCTGCCGCGCCGTTGAAGCACCATTTCTGTTCTCATCCTGAAGCAAAGTTCTTAACCTGCGGTAATATTTCTGGGTTAGCGGAGTCTGTAACCAGAAGTGTATGTAACCCGAGGTACCACTGTAGTGGTTAGAGTGGTCTGGAGACAAGACTTTTGTGGAACGGTTGAGGGAGTTGGGTATGTTTAGCCTGGAAAAGAGGAGATTGAGAGGATAGTCATCTTCAAATATCTAAAGGCCTGTTACATGGAAGATGGAGTAGGCTTGTTTTCTCCTGCTCTGCAGACATCTCTGTAGCACAGTTGGTTTGCCAATGACCCGGTGCTGGAAACCAGCTCTCCATATAGCAAGCCCATGGGATCCTGCCATCTTCCATTCTGTGGACATGACCAAGCAAGTCCACAGAATGGAAGATGGCAGGATCCCATGGACATCATTGAGACAGGAGTACAAACATGCCCGGAATATGGGCTTGGGAGAGCACATCTTTGTTTGAGACTCTGTCTATGATGTGATACCCAAAATCTTCCTGACACAGCGCATGTGGAGGCGTTGAGGTGTCGCTCCTGGTGGCTGCAGTTGCCCATGACTCACTTCCATAAAGCAACCGTGCCCAACATTGCTTTATGGTACTGGACGTTAGCACCACATACTCCCATAGCCTTTTGGAGAGGTGAGCCATTGTCGTAGCTGCCTTGTCAGTACGCTTGTCCAGATCAGCATCAATGTGATAAATAGAATATATAAGATAAAGAGGGAGCATGCAAGTCCAGGGCTCCTCAGTTGGAAAGGCCATTCTCAACGCTGGGCATTATGTCTGAAGTAGCCCTGAGACAGTGCATGCAGAAAACTTAAGAAAGTGCTATATAAATACTATTGTTTATCAAACAATGAATGAAAGCAGCTGCTTGAAACTTCAGTCTTATGCATATGCTTATAATGCCAGTAACAACTGACAGCTCCTGCTAGTGGACTGCTGGCCAATGGCACAGGATTGTTTCATTGACAAATCTATTACAATCTGAATCTTAAGAGACTTGTGCACAAGTGTGCTTTTATTGGTGATCCCAAATAAAGACTACTATTTAAAATCATAACATGATTTTAGACATTATGGTGTTGGAAAGGGGAGGATATGCTTGTGTTGTTTTAAAACATCTGCTTTCTAGTTTACATGCTTTTTTAAGTAATTGTATTGTATAATTTCCAAACCGTCCTTTAGCAATGAAATCTACAAACTCTATTTGGATCTCAGAGGCTACAGCAAATACTACTAGAGCTGTATACGTTGCTCCTTCCATCTAAAACATGGAAAAATTCAAAGGGAAATCTTACTGACTTTCAAAAGGACATAGGGGATGCCTGACTTTTTCTGGATTGCAGCAACAGTTTCCAAAGATGGTTAACCTAAGTTTTGCTGAATAGAGAGCTACGTGCCCATGAGTGAACACATACCTCCTATTTGTTCCCTTCCTTTCTTTCTCGCCATTCTCCTTAAACGGTGTATGTGTTATAAAACAAAAATGCATCATTATTAGCTAGCCAAACAAGGCAAAGTTGTTCTTCAGCAATGGCACCTCATTCCAGAAGACACAGATAATTACAGAGAGTGAACCATTTGCCTGCTGCTTAAATACATGGAAACATGGCTAATTGCAGCCTTCCCTTTTCTCTGCACAATGAACTGAACGACAGTTGTTTGTTTGTAGCAGAGGCAAAGCATCATGCCAAGCTACTACTTTGAATACTATTTAAGGAATAATTTTCTTCAAACAATATAAGGAGACTCTTTTCCAAACTATATATACATCATCATCATCAGGCTTGCTGACTTGACTTCATGCCAGGGAATATTGCTAAAGTACTTCCCAAGCTACAGTAACTTCCAAAAATGTATGATTTATCCATTGCTCCTGAAAGACAAGGAACTCTGGGTGCACCTCCAAAATGCTTACAGTAATTCAAGGCTACTAAGAGAGCTGGAATTTGTCGTATATAATCCAAGTCACTCTTGATTACTAAAGGAGTCTAAAAAATGTGATACTTTGCACCTAAAAGTCAAAATGCAGCACATCAATCCATGTGGCATGCCGAACCAAATATTGGGTTATGGGGCTACCAAATCCTCCTCAAATGGGTTGGGGAAAGATGACACTTCCAATAGCAGTTGCAATATGAATCTAGGATTGCAGAATACAGGCTTCATTTTTGTGTGTGCGCACTATGAATGTATATATGTAATATGTGCCATATGTGAGAGAAACAAGAGTATGCTCCATTCTGAGTCATTCAGCTGGGTGTTCACAGGCATGTTCACATATAATTGGAAAGATTTTGTTTAAAAAGCAGTCTATATATAATAATTTAAATAAATAGATAAATGTTAAATCTATTTAGCAGCCTGAACCAGGGAAGGCACACCAACAGGGCTGGCCAAGGGAAATGTATTTGAAGGCAACTTGATGCCGAAGCAGGGTGCTCATGTAAATGCTTGAACTACAACAGCTTCCTTCTGAAAAGTTCATTAAAATAATACTGAAGCTCATCAGGTTGCCTGTGATGTCCATTTCCAGCCCCAATTCAAAGTGCTGTTTTTGATCCTGAATGAGCCACATTATATAAAGGACCATCTTCTCCAATATGAATTTGCCTGCCAATTAAAATCATCATCGATTGGGGAAGGGCTGTGTAGAGCATCTGCTTTGCATGCAGAAGGCCCCAGGCCTAATCCAAAGCATCTGCAGGTAGGTCTGCCTGAAGTTCTGGATAACCACTGCCAGATGGAATAATGGTCTGACTTGGTACAGTATATGACAGCTTCCCACTTTCATGTCTCCACAGATCCTTTTCCTACTTGTGGTTTTGGAAGCTAACATATTGGCAAGAGAGCCTTTTCTGGTAGCACCCAAACTATGAAACTCCTTCACTAGACATCCTCACTTGGTACCTCCATAGCTATATTTGAGGCATCAGGAGACGACCATCCTGTCTTCCTGGTTCTTGTGGTATTTCAGATATATTACTGCTTTCAAGTGCTGTTCTTATAATGCTGACTTTTGCAGTTTTATGTTTTGCAGTTGTTTTATTATGCCACTGAGTCTGAATCCAACCTATAATACAATGGCTGAACTTGAAACCAATTGAAATGAATGGGACAAATCAGGCTGCAATCTGAACTCCACTCACCTGAGACTAAGCCCCAATGAATACAACAGGACTGACCTGTGAGTAGACATAGTTAGGATTGTTAGTCTGCTATGTTTTTGTATGGATTTGTTTTGTAAGCTACTTTGAGGAAAATTAAGGCAGCATAACAGACATATTATTTTAACAGAGTAACATATTCAGTAACTTTTTTTTAGACAGGAGACTGGCAGGCCCCCAGGTAATTTTAGTTATCAGGCTTAACAGACAGGAAAAAATGTATTTAAAAATGGGATACTTGATCATCTTTCCTCCTTCCAAACAGTCAAGTCTTTGGAATATTTTGTAAAGGACTGGAAGTCTTTGCATTTCAAGGTTTAATTAAATTCAAGTAATGAGCCAACAAAAGCCACTGGTTACTCAAAGGCAAAGATCTATTCAGGACTGATGTAGAAAACGAAAATATGTAACTGAAGATCTTCCACCTTATGATGATATCAAAGTGGTACAAAGGCTTATTTTTAATAGAATTGCAGCTGGGGGAGAAAGAAGTAATATGTAGAGAACCTGTCTGCCAGCAGTAAAACTTAATGCAGTATAGAAATGAGGCTGCTGGTGGTGGAACAAAGTAGTCAATTGGCTGTCAAGGGTGGAAGCACAGATTCAACCATTTAATTTGACATAGGCAAAAAGATGGCAAGAGTGATTAACATCCCTTTCTAGCATTCCAGCTGAGTCAGACTTAGCTTTGCAGAGTTTTCTGGCTTGGAGGCAAATCAGCTTAAAATAGAGAAGAAAAGTCCAGCGGGAAAAGAGTAATGATCAGCTTAGGATAAAATGTTTTCTCATCAGGCTACAGAGATTTTTGGACTTACTTGTGAAATCACGGCTAAGTATGCACGACGTTCATCATTAGCTTTATGGTAAGCCTAAATTCCAAAACAACAGATAAGTAGTTACAACAGAAGAACAGACAAAAGATTAAAGAAAAGCATAGCTCAGGATTTATTTATATATTCATTCTCGTATTCTTTTCATCAATGTTGTAAACAACAACATATTGGACAACAAATAAAAACTTCTAAAGTATTTGTGGTGCTGGTTATGGCAAAATACAAACCTTTGCTTCTTGTTCCAATCGAAGCTCGTAATCTTTCAGTTGGTTCTGCAGACTTCTCTTCTCTTCTCCCAGTTGTTTAAGAAATTGATTTAAAGAATCCTGCCATTAGGTACAAAATAAAATAGAATAAAATCAACAGATTTATACATAGTTTCTTGTTATTTCACTAACTGAAAAAAGAAGATGACAATTTCTACTATCCTGAATTTATGGATGTGCACTTTTAATGCTTAGCAATTGCGGTCACTGTTCTTCCTGCTGTTTATTAGTCTCCTGCTGACTTGCCCAAAAAGATGAAGACAAGAAAAAACAGGCCATATGTTGCTATCAGTTCTGCACTGTAAAGTTTCAATGTCTTAATGAGATGCTTGCAGCTCACTTTGATTCTTGTCCTCCCCCAACTGAGCAAATTGTGTTTTCTGTAACTCCAGTTTAGGTAAATGCCGTGGGTAGGAAAGATCATGGTTCAGTTGCACAGACCTACTTTGCTTTACAAGCTTCTTGCTGATTTGGCAGCATCGTTTTCAGTACCATTTACATAACTCTGTGTCAGTTCTCCTCCTCCTTCAAAAGTCTTAGGCGCTGGTCCAGTTCAGACACAATGGGAAACTATGGCTTCCTGCTACTTGAACAAGTTGTAAGAAGCCTTCAGCTTATGCATTTCCTCTTCCTCTCTTGTCCACCGGAGGTGAAGAGTGGAAACCTTCATTTGGTTTTAAAACAACCACGGTTCCCTGCGATGTCCAACGTGATGGAATTACGGTTAGTTTAAACTATAGTTTGAAAACAAGGCAGGCTCCAAAACTTGCAAGTTCAGACATCATCACAACCTTACTGGGCTTAAAACTGGAAGAAAAAAACTTTTGAGCTCCACCTTGCAGTCATGAAAGAGGAGAGGAAAGTGTATGTGAACCAGAAGCTTGCCCCAGCTCATTCACACTGTAGAAAACCATGGATTGCCATTACATGTCCAGGTAGGGTTGGGAAAGACCGCTTTCTAAAACCCTGGAGAGCTCCTGCCACTCAGTGCCAACCAAGGTGGTGAATCTCTGGCCCACGGTTCTAATTAGGCCCATCAGCCTTCTCCATTTGACCTGCAAACCATTTCAGTCAAGCCTATGCAAAGGCAGCTTGTGCCTGAAAAATCTTATGCAAAGCACTATGAAAGATACTGCTCTGAAAGTTCTTCACAAGAAAGCCTCCTGTGTAACCTCCAATCTCAACATTTTAAAATGAAGAGGAAGATGTTTGTGTGTCATAAAGGTCCAGATTATAAAGCAATATGGCCACTCCATTATCACCGTGGAAACAGGTAGGAATCAGCTTATGCAAAATGCATCCTGACAATGCTCTCCTATACAAATCTCTTAGAAGGAAGCTCCATTACGTTCAGTGGGACTTACTTTATGTAAATGTGTTTAGGACTGCACTCTTACTAGCCAAAGAGTAAGGCCCATTGTACAAAGTGGGACTTACTTCTGAGTAAGCAAGCATCAGATTGCACTGAAAAATTTTCACTGTGATGGGACTACTGCAAGAAGCTCATTGCAGAAATTCTTGCAAGTTCTATGGAGTCAGGTATTGTACAGGTTATGGGGGGGAGGAGAAGGTAAACAGCATATAGTAAGAAGAGCTATTTGGATATGATCATTAAAAAATACATCACACTAGTTCCACAATAGAGCTGTCCATTTTTTAGCTTGCTGAGAGAAGTATTCTTTTTATATAAAAAAAAACCCCCAGAGAGCACAGTTTACAGAGAAGTGAACAAAAGTGGCATGTTATTAAAAAAATGCTGACATATTACAATAAATCCCCTGCTGGTTTTGAAGTCAAAAACTGACACCAGAGCCACAGACTGCAAGACGAATTCTCCCATAGCTGGGTAGCTGACTGTTAACTTTAATCTTCTCTAGAGGAAGTAACACACAGCATGGAAACATGAAAAACTACTTTTTCTTCTTGAATAAACACCAAAGTCATGCATGCATCTTTCATTTACGGGTGATTCTCTCTCGAATGAAGAACCTCCACCATTGATATACTAGAGCCTAGAAAACCAGTAGATCTGAATGGCAGTGGATTTAAGTCAAACTAATTGGATCTATGCAGAAAAAGGATAACTAACATTTAGGAACTCCTGTTCTCATATCAACTTGCCTGTCTGACTTTGGTCATCTGATGACCCTCCACATGGGGTCCCCATCAGTAGTCCAGGGAAAGGAAGGGCCTTTTATGCTGTGACACCCTGCCTGTACAATCTTCTTCCCCTCCAAGCTCATTTGGCTCCTACTCTGGTAACTTCAGGCACCAGGCAAAGTCTATCTTCTGTTCCCAGGCCTTTCACTCAGTAGTTTTGAGTATTGTAATAGATTTTGTGAAGTTGCTTGTTGTTATTTTAGGATTTTTAAAATAGTTTCTTTTTTGTCATATAAACCAACAGTTGATCACTGTCATGGAGAGAATGTTGGTCAATTCATATGTGTGTTTGTTCCATGTCAGTTTTGCATGTGTTCAATCATTAGTTTGTTCTGTCTCATTTCCTGTGGAATTTTTAAATGCATGAAATCTTTCTTTTAAATCATGCACATTTTTGTTCGTACTCTCCCCTAAAGTATGCAAAAATGTATGTTTTTCTATACATTTTTCCTTAAAATCTGTATTTTATGCATTTCTGTACACATTTCCATGTAAAATATGCATTTTTGCACCAAAACTGTATCATAAATACACAGAAGTGTATTGTCAACAAAATCTGATTGTCAACCCATGCTCCACACAGCATATAAATCTGGGAACTGTGAAATAGGTTGCAGTTTAAAATGTAGGCTGAATGAAATCTCCTTCTATTCTTGATTCAGAGTGTGTGTGGGGGGGATCCCTAAAACAAATGAGTTTTCTCCCCAAAGCAAATGGGAAAAAGAAATCTTTGTAGTGCAGGCAGAATGACAACTTGTCAGGAGCTATAAGCCTCATCTGTCATACAACTCTCCTGGGTTTTGAGAAGGCGAACTGTGAACTAAACAAATATTTACCAGTGAGTATCCCAATTTTGCTTCAGACACAAGAAACAATCACTAAAAGAGCTGATGAGTAAACCAAAGAACAAATACAGTGGTACCTCGGGTTACATACGCTTCAGGTTACATACGCTTCAGGTTACAGACTCCGCTAACCCAGAAATAGTGCTTCAGGTTAAGAACTTTGCTTCAGGATGAGAACAGAAATCATGCTCCGGCAGAGCGGCAGCAGCAGGAGGCCCCATTAGCTAAAGTGGTGCTTCAGGTTAAGAACAGTTCCAGGTTAAGTACGGACCTCCGGAACAAATTAAGTACCTGAGGTACCACTGTAATATTATTTTGTCATCCAAAATGTTACCAATGTAACTGCCATTTGAAGTAGCCTACTCCTTTGTTGAGGAATTGGTGAAGATATGAAAGAACACCACATTCTGCAATGAGATACTCTTTTTGCATTGGAGAAGCATCAAGATGCACCAGTAAAATGGAGCCTTTTTACTTAATGTATTTAACACTTTCCTCCTACTGCAAATAGTAGGCAAGGATGGAGAGGTGATTCTGATTGGGATTGCTATGGAGGTGGGCAGGATTAAAGCCTCTTTTTTCATCTCCTCAAACATCATAGTCGTGGTTTGAGTTCGGCTTCCCTGCACCCAACTATTTATTCTGTAATAATCAGCTACCCAAGTGCAAGCAACTATGTGACAGACATCATGGCTAATTTGCTCCTGAGAGAAAGAAAGAGCTATAGGAGCTTTAAGCTAAAGCTTTCTAGGGGTACAAAACTGCCTTCTTTGCCCAGCAGTTGTAGGACTGTTGAATTTGCTGCTGGTAAATGGGTTAGGCTGTGTGCCTCCGCCTTTGTTCACCTTGTGTATTTATAAATAAACTCAAATTATTACAGAAATGCCTTAAGTCTCCACTGAGATCTTTCTCCAAAGGAAACCAAACTGGAGTAATGGCTGCCCTTGGAATGCCTCGGTACTCAGGGAAGTGGGGAATACGTACCTGTACAATCACGTGTATGTTGACTTCCAAGTGCGTCCCACTATGTTCAATAGAGCTTACTCCCAGATAGGGACAGAGCAGGATGGAGGAGAGAGAAATGTGCAAGCCTACCTAATTTGCACTTCCCAAAACAATTTGCAAACCAAAATGCAGCAAGCTATTCTTCAAAATTTGTACTTCTCCAAATTTTGCAATGCTGTTCTCCAACCAAAAAAATACATAAGTGTATAAAGGATAAAGTATACACAAAAATGTATATATTCATGAAAACAATGTATAAAAGTGCTTCAGATGAGGGGAAATTGCTCACAAAATGTGTATATTAGGCAAAACTACATTAAAAATATGCATATTACATGGCATGTGTACAAAATTTCATGCAGGTGTTGTTTTTTAAATCACAAAGTGATATGGAAAGGGTGAACTGAAGTTAAGATTTGGAAAAAGGAACACTGAGAGAAACTGAAATTGAAAGATTTATCAATTCATCCTAGGTAAGTGTGCAAAAGATTACAAACTAAAAGGCTGCGGAGCATCATAATTTGGTGGGCTGCTCCCTTGATTTCATATCTTATTTTTGGCATTTAGCAAAGTCTCAGGTTTCAGAAGACAATTGCCTCATCAGATCCTTGTTTCTCCACTTCTGCAGTATTGCTGGTTTAACCATTATTCAACTGTTTTATGTGGCTGCAGGCAGCCTCTGGTTTTTTAAAGCCACTAACATACACAGTAATCACATTCTGGATAATATAGCATATTGCACAATTAGCAATGCAAGTAGCGTTTCTAATTAATTAGTCCCTAGTATTCAAAATGCATTTTAAGCCCCTTCTCAAAGGACTGCAAATTTGTTTCCCCCAAAATTTGGCATATCAACTGCTGAGCTAGTGACATTTATTTTAATCTCAATTCCCTTTTACTTTCTCCATCGGGTAGAGGCCCAGATGTGATGTATTTGTTTGACATGTTCTGGAAATGACAACCACTGTGAAGCCCCTGTAAGCTAGTCAACCTGCCATTTGAAACTGAATGCAAATATCCATCTGAAAGAGAACAACATTCCCTCCTTCAAAAGCCAATAGGTGGTCTCTATCAGCTGGCTTAAGGACATATTTTAACATTATAAGCCACAACTGTGACGGTCATGGATGCCAGCACTTAGATTTGCAACCAATTAGTGAAAATAAATTAAGACTAGAGAGGCTGCATTTTAATTAATTTATTTATTTTGCTACTGTAACAAAAGTCCCATTGCACCTATATGGAATTATTTATACTGTACACATGATGGTGCTTGTGGTAAAACTGACAACATGGCTACTCTTCAATTAAACATAAACCACACAAATACAATGGGCACAACACAGCCAATGCTAGAGCAATTTTAAGCCTCCTGTAATCACTGAAACCAATGGGACTGCAAGGTGGCTATCATTACCTGAATTGTGATCAATATGTAAAATATCTCACTAACCTATGTCAGGAGCTAAAAGACTCTGAAACTAGGGACCTAAAAGCCTGGACCATATTTAAATATGAAGTGCCCCCTGGTGGCTAATTTTAAATTTTACAATCAGGTTTATTGAATAAACCTATACAGTGGAACCTCGTGTTACATGCCAACCCGAACGCTGCGGGTTACGAGCACCGCTAACCCGGAAGTAGATGCCCCTTTTTGCGAACTTTGCCCCGGGATGCGAGCGGAAATCACACGCCGGCAGCGCGGCAGCAGCGGGAGGCGCCATTAGTGAAAACGCGCCTCATGTTATGAGAATTTTGGATTACAAACAGACCTCTGGAACGGATTAAGTTCGTAACCGGAGGTACCATTGTATTACTTCAGCCATTCTTAACTAGTTGTTTTTCGTAGGATATACCCCAGAACACACTAGGAAGGCCTGCTTCACTCTGCAACTGATGCAATTGCCAGTGGGAGCATCATGCCCTTAATTAAGACTTCAATTCAGAGTTTTATCATGGGAAAATCAGTGCCAAGTTGAGGGGGCACAAAATTGAGAAGATCCATAATTGAGAAGATCCATTTGTGGGCGCCAAATCTTGGCCTTCCACATAGCTCCATAGTACAAAAGATTGCCAAAGTCCATCCCTGGTCTCACCCAGTAAAAAGACATTCCCAAAATGTCATGTGATGTCTGCTGTGATGAAATTATTCTTAATTTCAAAATAAGTTGTAGTGCCAATACTCGCATGAATCTGAAAAGAAGGATGCTTTTCCTGGCAAGTGGGAGTTTTCCTGTAAGTCAACGTGCTCATAAAAAATGGCATCCATATCAGCAAACTGGAATATTTCCTTACAAGTAAATTGGCATGCTCTTGTGATCTCTTATTTGCCCTTTTCTGCACAAATATGCCCACATTTACTCAGGTGCAATTCCTGCTGAATTCAGCGGAGCCTACTCCCAGGTAAATTAAGTTAGGAGTGCAGTCTTAGTGCTCCTCTACTACTCTCTGCATATACATATGACACACATGCAAAGACTAGAAATACCACAGCCCTATGCTTCGTCTTGCTGGCATCATTATCCACAGCCATCCTCCTTCATCTTGAGAATATAAGATCCCTGTTGGATGAGGCCAATGGCCCATTTAGTCCAGCATTCTGATCTCACAGAGACCAACCAGGTGGGAAACTTGCTAACAAGACCCGAGCACAAACATAGAAACTTGAATTCAGAATCACTAATGTCTCTGAATCTTGAAACCCAAGTTCTGTAGCTTCCCATAGGAAAACTGGTATGGATGAAGGTTACAGAATGAATGGTATCCACTATAAGTTACATCATGTATCCCAGCTTCCTCAATTGTTCCCAACAGAAATGTTGCTAAGACAGTATCACAACTACATGTATCATACTTATGAAAGTCCTGCAATTTTCACCAGTATATTTGCCTATCAGGATCTGTCTATTAGGTTGCTGTCGTGCAGGTATTGTCACCATGGCAGAAGCAGAGGAAGGCCACCTCTGCTAAAAAAAAAATTTCTGAAGAAAATTTTTGTTCATTCCCTGAAATCTCTTTTGATGAAAGGATGCTGGCTTCCTAATTTTGCAGAAAGCAAAATTCACTGTGCATGATGCTTCCAGTGAATTGCATTTTGATTGCTTCATAATTGTTGCCAGTATAAAATAAAGCACATGGAGCACTAACGAATGTGCCAATGAAACAGAGCTGACAGCAGGGATGCCGCTGAGCTGCCACTTGATTTTAGGGAGCAGTTTCAATATCTACCTTGAAATGTAAAGACACAGATTCTCCTTGTACGTTACACCTTTCAGTTCTATCCTGCTGCATCTAATCATGTGCATTGGTTCTACTCCACCACCATTTTGGGAAAGAAACCAAGCTCAAAAGATATACTTAGAAATACCATTATACATAGATAACAATGGACTGTAAAAGGCACAGAGAGAAAAACAACTCTCAGAAAGATGTCTCTTTGACAGAGCAAACAGAGTGACCTTTAGCAGAAATTGAACACTGAAAATCCAATTTGCTCCTGCATTTGTCATCCAACCATTTTCATTACCATTAAAAATTCTACTTTGATTTCAGTATGCCTGTCCCCATGATACCTAAAAACCTATTTTTTTATTATTACCTTATTACTTTAACTCAAGCATATTAACCTTTGCAGGCTAAACAAAGCTATAGGGGAAAGCCAAGTTCTGGTAGAATAGCCTATTCTAATTTGGTTCTCCTGTTATAAACGATGGTCGCTGGCTTCAGTTTGATTAGGAAAGGGGTCAACCAATAATAAGCTATCTTAGAGAAATCTCAGGAAAAATTGCTTCTCCCTTAAGAGTTCTAAATTAACTAATAATGTTGCCATACTATCTTAAATTGGCGTAAAATGTCATCTGTTCTAAGTCGAAGATCTGCAGCTGACAAGGAGCAAAGCAATCACTGTCCAAAAGATTTGGCAATGGGATGTTCAAGGCTCCAGGGACCAAACCCAGTGACACTCCCAAGCCTAAGAAGTGGTACAGTCTGAGAGTTTATCTAACCAAGCTCTGAACACCCTTTCTAACCTTGCCCAAGTCAGAAGCAGAGGATTTTCTAAATGGTTCTGCCAGGTCTCCATTTAGCCTACGGTATGTTAACCTTGGACTTCAGTAAAAGCATTTGAAACAAAAGCAAGCAAACAAACAAAAGACAATACCGTATTTTTCGCCCTATAGGACGCACTTTTTGCCCTCCAAAAATGAAGGGGAAATGTGTGTGCGTCCTATGGGGCGAATGCAGGCTTTCACTGAAGCCTGGAGAGCGAGAAGGGTCGGTGTGCACCGATCCCTCTCGCTCTCCAGGATTCAGGAAGCTATCCCCCCAGCCCGGCAAGCTCTGGGAGCGATGGGAGCTTCCAGAACGGGTCCGAGAGCAATGGCGAGGTTGCACACGGACCCGTTCTGGAGCTGGGGTCGGGGGAAGCTCGGGGTTCCCCCACGCCCAGTCCCGCAAGCTCCAAGAGCGATGGTGAAGCTGCACGCAACTTCGCCATCGCTCTTGGACCCGTTCTGGGGGCTGAGGTCGGGGGAAGCTCCGGCTTCCCCGCCCCCAGCCCCGCAAGCTCCGAGAGCGATGGCGAAGCTGCGTGCAACTTTGCCATCATTCTCGGACTCTCCAGGCTTTGCGCAGCTCTCCGCAAGCGGTGGGAGCCCGGCGCTGGGCTCCCACGGCTTGCGGAGAGTTGCCTGCATGCTCAGCGCGCCCAGGCTTTAAGCTTCGCGCAGCTCTCCGCAAGCCGTGGGGCCCGCGCTGGGCTCCCACGGCTTGCGGAGAGCTGCCTGTTCTGGGGCTGGGGTCCGGGGAAGCTCGGGCTTCCCCCACCCCAGCCCCGCGCCTGGGGGGGGGAATAAATTTTCCCCCCTTTATTTCCCCCCAAAAAAACTAGGTGCGCCTTATGGGCCGGTGCGTCCTATGGGGCGAAAAATACGGTACTTCATCCCACACCTCCAGTATTAAATGCAAATATTGTAAACTTTGAGAGAAACATTTTTTCTCATATTATTTTAAAGTATTACAAAAATACAGACAGGTCATTTGAGGAGTTTCCCTGGCTTCTCTAATCTCTAATTTAGGGTTAGGGGTGAGAAGTTCCTGATTGCGTATGTGTCAGGAGTCCAAGTTTAATGCATGTTCATAGCATTTTGCAGTCATTGTATCACTGAAGTTTATTCCAGATTGTCATGCGTGGAGAAACTGACTACTCTGGATACTAGAATTCAGTGGATTCTTAATGAGACTGCACCCCCCCCCCCCCACATCACATTAGCAGTTAGGGTTAGCTTCTCACCAAGGAAGCCCAGGCAGCTGCTACCACCAAGAGCACTTGTAAACAGCTTCAATTGGCATGCTAGCTGTGACCTGCTCTAGAGAGTCCAGATCATGCAACTTCCAGTCTAGACTGCTCTGATTTGCTTTACACGGGGCTACCTTTGAAGATGGTTCAGAAATTACAGCTGGTACAGCCATGTATTAGTTGAGACGAGGAGATTAGATCATGTTTTGCTGATACTACATCTGCTGCACTAGTTGCCAGTGTGTTTCCAAGCCGTATTCAAGTGCTGATGATGACCTTTAAAGCCAAATAGTTTGGGACCAGGTTATCTTAGGGACAGCATGCACCCACATCAGTCTAACTACACCTTAAGATATGACCTTTTAACATGCTCACCAGCAAAATCTATCAGGATGGTGAAAACAAGAAACATGACTTTCTCTGCAGCATCCCTGCCCTCTGAAATTCAATTCTAGAGGAAGTTAGGGAGATTCCTTCTTTGATTTTGTTAAAATAATGTTTAGAGACTAAGGTGAGACGCCAGATGTTAGTTGGAAATTAGGCCATTTGTCCAGTGCTGGTTTTCGTTGTCAAATTTTATTGATAAGGGTATTGGGAATTTGTGAAACAATTGTTCTAAAAACAGTATAGAAGTCTCTTAAACAAATAGGCCAGCAGGATATCCCCACCACCCAGCAATGCATGAAGAAGTCCTAAGAAACAGGGTTTATTCTCAGCATTTGCCAATTTGTACACAGATCAGTGATCACATATGACAGTCTCACCATAGGCTGGGTGCCGACCCATGCAGGCTTTTCCTACAGCCATCATGGGAACAGTCCAAAAGAGGCTGGGGTGGTTAAAAAGCACAACAATTCAATGGTAAAAGCCAGCAATTATTTAAGCCAAACCACTCTTCGATGAAATGCTACAAGGCAGAATGAGAGGGAAGTAGATGTGTCTCAAAATTACCAATCTATCTGTAATATAAAACATACATTTCCTTATATAGTAGAATATAGTAAAACTACTAGACATTTGTTCAGTTAAAATGCCACCATACTTACCACATGCATTTGATCAAAGGAGCGAACAGATGCCAATCTGTCTACAAATAAGAAAAAAATGCAATGAGCCTTCTGATCAACAATATGCAAGCACAGAGAATGTTTGTGAGCAATAGCTGTCAATGCCAAACAAAAAATCTTAAGCCATACCTGTTGGGCTTTCATGAACTTGCTCCATTTTTCCCTGGAGAAGGCCAATTTGCCTTTCTAACTGTCTGTTCAATTCTATTTGGGTTTCATATCTGGTTTTCCATTCATTGTCTTAAAGGAAAAATAAAATGCAATTCAGTATGATTCATTTAAGGTTAACAATGGTTTGTTTTAAACTCTGAGAAATTTGCTAAAATATTCATCTGCAGCACAAACTGACAAGGCTACCAAAATCCATAACATGCTAGAACAACATCTCATAGGTTCTTAGTCCACAGGGCAGCAAAATGCAGAAGGGATGAAGCACCTGATAGGGGGAAATACTTCTTTCCCTGCTTAAAACTGAGCAGGTTGACTGTTCATTGGCAGAGGATGCTTAATGGTTTTGGTACCAGAGCAAGTGAGCTGTTGTCCCCACACATTGGAAACCTGAATCCAATTTCATTCTTACAGATGGCTGGCAGATTCCATTTGCTGGGAAGATGGGCCAGCTGATGTCTCTTTCTGGTAGCTAATTGTTAAGACAGGGGTTGGCAACATGGGGCCTCCAGATGTTGCTTGACTACAACTCCCATCAGCTCTGACCATGGACCATTAAGATATTTCCTAATAGAGATTTCTTGAGTGTTTGCAATGGGAAAATCATCAGAGCTTGTGTGTGTGTGTGTGTGCGCGCGCGCGCGTGAGTGAGGAGAGAACAGCACCACTTGTGAGCTTCTTTGGAACATGCAGGTAAGAGGCAGAATCAGGGAGTGTATGTGTGAACATGTGCTAAGTATTGGGCCTGAAGCACCTTGTCATGCAGGGGCTTTCTAGAGAACTGATGTGTATTGGTGTATCTGCTGTCTTGGAACTGCTGTCTCTGCCCCCACTTTTGCTGAATATTCATAAAAGAAATATTACAAAAATGCTGCAAGTCTCCTGTGCTTTTTCCTCCAAAAGAACCCCAAACCCACTTACTGCTGTTCCTGCAGCTTCTTGCTACTCATGGAAGTGAGAAAAATGCAACAGTATGCTTTGATCAGCATGCACAGCTGGCACTTAAAAGGCAATTTAATATCAATGCCTGAAGCTCTTGTTGTGTTTACTTTGTAATTAGATGTACAACATCATGGGCTTTTTATTACATTTGCAGAAGGCTAGAATTTAGTCTCTTACCTTCATCCTCAACACTGTTAAGTCTTTTCTCCAGTTCTGCTACTGTATTTTTCATTTCGAATACTGAGAGTTCTAGCACTTCTCTGTAAAGTGGAAATAACAAATAGTTACATAATTTAGAACCTTCTAATAGACAAGGGGAAGGGAATGTTTTTCAGCCCAAGGGATGCACACAATGGTGGGTGGGCTCAGAAGCAAAAGTGGATGGACAACAGGTGTGACTGTTATCTTTGTACAAAAGGCTACATTCCACCCACAAGAACCAGAGGTTTCTACATCCACACCCACACCCACACCTTCACTCCCAATCCAGGCAAGGAAGAGACATTATCATGGTTTTAGGACACATTCCAGCCAGGAGCAGCAGCACTAAAGGAGGATGCAGAGCAGACCTCATAAGGGCTGCGGCTTGGTGAAAGGGGTCATGGCTTGGGGAGAGTCCAAAGGCCAGATACAGAGGGTTGCATTTGGCTGACAGGCCAGACATGTACAGAATGCAACATACCGTATTTTTCGCTCTATAGGACGCACTTTCCCCCCTCCAAAACAGCTGCCTGCAGCCCAAAGCCCAGGGAGCGAGGCGCTTTGCACCCCAGGCTTTGGGCAGCTCTCCGCAAGCCTGCGGAGCCTGGCGGGAGTTCCCGCTGGGCTCCCAAGGCTTGCGGATAGCAGCCTGCTGTCCCCGAAGCCAAAACAGCGAGACGGGGCGCTGCGCAGTCCTTCGTCTCGCTGTTCCAGCTTTGGGATGGCTGTGCAAAGCCTCCGCAGGGAGGCGGGGTGAAGGCACCCCGCCGCCCTGCGGAGGCTACAAAGGATGTCCCCGAAACCTCAAGCCTTTGGAGTGCAGCTGCGCTCCAAAGGCTTCAGGGATCTTTGAGGCTGGCGGTGGGGGAAAGCAGTGCTTCCCCCCACCGCCAGCCCCACAAGCGGGGGGGGGGGGCAGCGGCAAGGCCTGCTCTTGAACGCACCTTGTTTTTGAGGGGGAGAACAAGAGGGGAAAAAATTTCCTATTCTCCCCCTCCTATGGTCCGGTGCGTCCTATGGTCCGGTGCGTCCAATAGAGCTGAAAATACGGTATATGATAACTGGGGGGGTTTTACACTGAGGAACACATTCTCATAAGGTACCATTCGAAACTCCTGTGACTGCGTTTTGAACTAGTTGCAGTTTCCCGACCATATTCAAGGTCAGCCCAGTCTAGTGTGTGTTGCGGTATTCTAGATGCATGATTCTGGTGGGGTGGTATTATATTTCTGCAAGCACATGGAGCTGCTTATCTCATATCCTTTCCTTCATTCCAATCCCACTCCCAGTGTCTCCACACCTAGGAACCCTACTTAACTAGAATGCAGCATGTATTTAACATTTATAACCCACCCTTCCATAACAATGCTTTAGCATGGGTTATAACATATCAAAAATAACATAACCCAAAAGGCACCTGAGTGTTGTGATGTACAGTGTACTTTGGTTTCACAGAAGACATAGGATAACAATGGCATCTGGCATACTGAATTCACCCAAAAACAGTTATAGATAGCAACATGAAAAAATGAGCTCCAGTCACAAATAAGCTGACGGCCAAGTTCCCACAGATGACACTATGCTCTAACCTCCACATGATTTCAGGCGGTGTGGCCTCTTGTGAAGGCAGAAGCCAAAGACACCACCCATCGATGTTCTAACATGGAACATTTAATTAAAAACTGTGCAACTGATGTCACTGGTGAGATTTGCCGAGCTGTATAATTGGCCAAGCATGCTACGCAATCCGTTTGGAAGTGTTGGATTCAAGACTCTCCTCTTTGGTAAACCCAGCAGGTCCTTCAGGGAGGCAGAAGCCATTATTCCTCTCCCTCTCCGTCTCCCTCTTGTCTCCCGATAGAGGTATTCCTACTGTTCTACCTTGAAGGGCTGTTGTTGGTAAGGCCCATGAATACAAACGAAGCCCTTCGACACTCCAGCTAAAATATAATTATTAATACAGGGCGCAGAAGGGGACACCGTGTGTGAGAGCACATGTAGAAAAGTAGTTTCTTCAAGCAGTCAAACAATTATTAATTATTATTATTATTATTAGGGCGGACTCTGGCGCTCCTGCCAGTCAGAAACGAGGCGCGGCGTAATAATGCGCCCCTTTTGCGCGGGGCTCTGCGCAGCGCTGCTGGGCGGAGGAGACTCACTTCATCTGCTTCTCCTGCCCCAGATCCAGCACGAGCCCCTCGAAGTCCGGCTGCTCGCCGCCTTCTCCCATGGCGCCTCCCTCCCTTCCCTCAGCCGCACTGCGTCTCCGTCGCCTTGGAGCGAGAAGACAGCGGGTGGGGCGGGGGCGGAGAAAGGAACGCTGGGGCGAACACGTGACAGCAACGGTCGCCCGCGTGCCTTATTGTCCACCTCGCGGCGCCCATCGTGTTGGCGCTCTCTCTCTCTCGGGTTTACGTCAGCGTGCGGCCGATCGGCAGAGGGCGCCGTCGCCGCTCAGGGGAAGGCGCGCATGCGCTCGCCTGCAGAGGCGCGATTTGTTGACGGGAGCGTTTCAAAAGGGACCCTCGCCTCCTAATTGTTGCCAAAGCGGTGGCAGCAGCAGCTGTTTGCTTGTGCTGGAGTTTTAAAAGGAGCTCGTCGGAGCCCTTCAGGTGCCTAGTTTGAGAAAGGAGGCTTTAGAGTTCACTGCAGCTCGGGCCATCCTGCTGCTGCCCTCCAAGGGTTGTTAAAAACGACAAAGTGAGGGGTGGCAGCGAATTAATCTTCGGAACTCGCTCCCCCAGGAGGCAGCGATGGCGAGCAGCTTGGGTGGCTTTAAAAGGATGGTTAAAACAGGCGGCTATCAGTGGCATCCATTCTTAAGGCAATCAGCCCTGAGTGCTCACTAGGACAGATCATGAAGCTGAGGCTCCAATACTTTGGCCACCTCATGAGAAGACTCCCTGGAAAAGACCCTGATGTTGGGAAAGATGGAGGGCACAAGGAGAAGGGGACGACAGAGGACGAGATGGTTGGACAGTGTTCTCGAAGCCACCAGCATGAGTTTGACCAAGCTGCAGGAGGCAGTGGAAGACAAGAGTGCCTGGCATGCTCTGGTCCATGGGGTCACAAAGAGTCAGATACGACAGAACGACTAAACAACAAAATCAGTGGCTACTAGGCAGGCATCATGGCTATGCCCTGCCGCTACATGCAAAATCAACTAGGGGTATTTTAAGATTGATAGCTTGCACTCATTTTGAGGCAGTGCTTTTTAAAAACGGCTGGAATGCAGCCTCCAGCTTGCTTTATTGCAGGTGTTTTTTACAAGTTCCTGACACCCCAGTGTGTTAGCAGTGGCATTATTCTTAGCTGCTCTAGGATGCTTCCTCAATGCTACATTAGTTACTGTTTACAACAGTAAGGCAAACCCCACCACCACCAAAGATTCATGGTATAAAAAGCTAAGGCTTTCCAAGTAGGAAGTTGCACGATACACACCAAGAACATAAGAGGAGCTCTGCTGGATCAAGCCAGTTAATTATTCTCCTCCATGAATCTGTCTAGTCCTTGACTTAAGTCCTCCAAGTTAGTTGCTATCACTGCTTCCTGCGGGAGCACCATAGTTCATGTGCTGTGTGAATAGGTATATTGGAACTGAAGCAATGCAACTACTCCAAAACCTTTGCAGGTGCATCACATGTGACCACCCTCTCTAGGCATCATGAACACAAGTCAACAGGAATGTACCATAAAAAGATTTCTGGAAGGACATTCTAGGCTACTCCAGGGAATGTAGCACACTCTACCTACGTAAGCAACTTTTACTGAGATGGTAAAAAATCAGGAGGGGCAACTTCCGCTATCTTCTGCCTATGTAGAAGGGGGGAAATGCAAATGTTGGATTGTGACAGATGTGTGTAAATGAAATGCAATTCTTCCTAGTCCACCTATACAAAATGCAATAACCGTCTACTGTTTCTCAATCAATTCTCCCCGTAACTTTCATTCAAATAAAAAATACACTTAACCAAAAGATGCATGTTAAAGTTTATTTATAGTTTTCAATCCATACAACATTTCAAGTAGTTAGCTTCTTAACCAGTGGATGTGTCCCTCCAAAGTGCCATCATTTCTCTGTTGCAGACTACAGCGCTACAATTTTTAATATCTGCAAAACTTCACATAAGTTGAAGTCAAAAATCTGAAGCAAGCATAGTAAGGGACTCACAATTCCCACATTAATAGCAGATGAATCCCTAGGTAATGATGGGGAGTGAAGTTGAATATCTTAAAATGAAATGCATTGCATTCCATCACAAGGCAGCAATAATCATTTCTGAATACAGGCTTTTCAGTAAGACAAGTTACAGTGCAGCAATTCTATATAAAAAATACAGAGGGTAACCATTAAAGCTTTTACAGAGCCCAACCTTTTCTTTAGTGGTCTCAGAGCAAACATTGTTCCCACACACTGGCTGGATAACACAAAGTATAATGAATCCAAGTCCTTGCTACTGGAGTAGGCAAAAAAATGCCATGTATTTCAATGAAACCTAGGATTACACCAAAGTTTGGTTGACTCTGATACACTAATTCAGGAAATAGCAGTATTCCAGTCTTTGGTTTGTCTTAAGAGTTTGGATTTTCCTAGTTTTTAGGAGGAATTACTCAAGCCTAGTCAGTTTATTTAAAGCTAAGAAGAGTGCATACTATTTGATCAGACAAGTTCAGTTTCAGCCACTATTCAAATCATTAGCTTTCTGAAAATATTTTGTCTAGAAATAGTTACAAAAATAGTCCCTCTATACATGAAGCTAGAATCTAATTTCCACATTTATTTGAAAAAAGGCATTTAAGCCCTCCTCGTGGAAGTTTAATGCAAATTCATTTCCATCATCTAGCTCTAACAATAATACTAGAGTTAGAGATTCCAAAAACTCATTTTAAAAGACTTCCCAGGTATGATATATTTAAGTCCAGCAATCTTAGGAGTTAGAAATACAACACTTGTTAATCAGTTCAACTCTTTTTAAATAAATTATGTAATAAATTAAGGCTTTGGGTAATTTATTCACACAGTGTCTTCAATATCCATCTTCTTTTTTCTCGTTCTTTTCTATGATTTTATATTCATCCAACACAGCATGGCCTGTCTCCTTTGCAGTTTTCTTCACTATAGCTTTGATTCCAATGTTGTCGATATTGAAAGCTGCCACACCAACATTGATAGCAGAACTCACTGCGTTGTCAGTAGCATGGCCCGCATCATCCCCGTACCTTAATGCAAATAAGGAGCATGTCAATAGAGTGTCCTCATTTGTACACGAATGCTACGATTGTTGTTTAATCTTTGTGTGCATGCCCTCATTCCCAAGTAGCTGCTTAAATTTAATTTGGAAAACCTGAAATCAGCATACTTCCCAAAGCACAGAAGATGATTAGCGAAAACAATCTTAATGTTTTAGGGCTGCTAGTCTGTCCCAGTTTTTGTCTCTCGCTTCAGTTTTTACTTGGCCTTCAACGCAAATTCCAAAGTTGTGCTTATACTTGGTAGATAGATAAAGCTTTCGTCTCCCCAGAATTACCACATAAAACAATTTTTTTTGCTGAAGCTGCTAACTAAACCATGTTATACCATGTGCTCTGTGACAAAGAGAAATTTAAAAGCTCCAGGTTCAATAGGTTATCCCTGCAATAGTTAAAGTACTGCTGTTAAAATGTTAAGAATTTTTAAAATAAGTTAATACATTTTATTGTAAAAATAAGTCTGAAAATCTACATTTTTGCCCTGAAAAAAATTAAGAATCTCCCAACCCAACCAGAAATTACAAAACAGTTGAGAGTGGCCCTGTACACCGCTCAAAGTTCTTAGTATATGCATTCTTAGTATATGCGTTCTTAGTATAGAACGCATATACTAAGAACTCTTCAAGTTCTTAGTATATGCGTAAATGACGACTGCCCAAAGCTATTTCCCTTGTTATTTAGTTACTCAATTTCCACAATTATATGAGGATAACCTTTCCCTCTGGTTGAGAAGAACTAAGCAGGTATTTCAACCCCATTCCAGTGATGTTTGAGAGAAAACATTTTATCAGCTGGGATTGATGATGAAGGAATCCTGCCGAGCTTAAGTCAAATTTTATTCACATGCCACTCTGGGATAAACTATGCAAAGGGGACTTCTGATACATATGAAAAAATGCAAACAATTATAAAAAAAAGTAACCAAACAGGGCAATAATACAACCTACTACTTAAAACGCTAAAATCCTACATGTTAACTAGCTGCAAAAGAGTAACAATACAGTACACAAAAATGCTGAAGCTATCCTTTGCTAATCTACTAGAGTGGCCAACTAAATTTTAAAGCCAAAATACTGAAGTCTCCCTTTGAAACATTGATTGCTGTTGGCATAATCAATACACAGTAGTAATCTGCCTATTTCAGAACACACATTAAAACTGAACGGAAAAGAATCTCTAATACTATATTTCTTACAATGTGACAGCATAGCAGCCTTGGAATTATTTGCCGAACACAACAAATCTGATAAAATTAATTGGACAGCAAAAGATTTTCATTTTTGTTAGTTTCCCCATGACATTAACCATAAACACCCATATTAGAAGAAAGCAAAACTGATTCAAGCTGTGCCCAAAGGAACAAGAGTATTCACACCATCTCAAAACTATGCAGAACCAAGAGTGGGCAGGAGTTTACATGATAAAAAAATTTATTGAATGCAGGTGGATATAAAAAGTGCCAAGAACTTAAAATATTTTGCGGCAATGCAGATCTACATTTGGAGCTTGTTTCTCATATTCTAGTGCAGCTATTTATTGTTAGTGAACAATTAACATTGCAAGATTTCTGGACCCTTTTAAATGCCCAGAGGGTTGGGTTCTTCCAGGTTGAAGATCATTTTGCTAGGTATGCATTATGGTGACCTAAAATTGCCAATCTTCTTCACACGAGTGTACACACACTTAAAAAAAAATAAGCTGCCTATTATGAGAAACACAATAAAAATGATAATATATATGAGGTGCATCTGCCATGCTAATGAAAATACTACTAGGGTTCACTGCACAAGTTTTAAAGTACCGGTAAACCACAATCCCCTTGTATGCTACAGATTTTTGATGTGGTCTTTTGTCTTGGAAGAATAAGTCTACTTATTTCATTAGGATGTGTTTTCTATTATACTCTTACATAAACAGGAGATGGGGTGAATACTTGAATCGTTAGTTAGTTGGAGATAACTGCAAGTTACTTATTGCTTTTCACTCTTAGTGGCAACTGAAGACTCATCTCCTTTTCCCCTACTTTTAAATCTAAAATAAGAACAAAAGATTAACACAAACAGTAGTGTACAAACAGAACATGGTTCTTCAAACTTGCCAAGGAGAAATATTTCATGGAGATATACCATTATTTTGGCAGAAAGCAATGTAGTACAGACTAGGTGAGCTTCAAACCAAGAGAATTACAGAGTAAGTACCAAGTAAATCCTTGCATCCTTATAGGTAAAATAAAGCAGAAATTATTTTCAGAAGTCTAATTGGCAGCCTGACATTTCCCTACTGCATTTTGCTCCAATGTTGATTGCAAACATTTTTATTTTTTTGCGAACTAATGGGCTAGTACATATGTTTCATTTTTCCTTAGCCCAGAAAAAAGACTCAAACTTCAGAAAGCAACCCAAAATTAGACTCTATGCAGTTTCAGATAATTACATAAAATTGGGCAAAACTTTAAAAAAAAGCTCAGATTTTCATTTTTTGAAATATGGCAACCCTAATTTATATAGACAGAGGCTTCCCTTTACAATTTCATCACCACTCATATTCCAAGAACTGAAATACATCCAACTGAGTATTCAGATGGAATCGGCCTGGCAACAATCCCTCTCTGCATTAGGTAAAACCTAAAATGAACTGAAAATCCAATTTAGGGGTGCAGCTGCCCCTTAACTAGAAGTGACCTGCACTTGCTTGACCTTTACACAGCAGCAGCAAGTATGTGTTGAGGATAGGATCTGCAGGGAAAGAAAGTGAAGGTGGCTCCTTCACTTATACTGTACACTCCTCCTTGTTTGCTCCTCCCTGCCTATGTAACTGGTTAAGTTCCACTTTTAGATACATGCAACTGTGATCATTGTGCCTAGTTTGGTTCCAACAATAGCAAAGCATTTTTACTTTTTTAGCAAGTTTTGTTTGACGCATGTAGTGTAGGCTCCCTAGTATTCATGCACCACCAAAATTTATTGCAGAGTAAACATTAACTTACTTGTACTTGACAGTCTGAACCGTTTCTTTAGACACATTTTTAGCAATACACTTTGCAGCGCTTTCCAAACCGTGCCATATTGTTGAAAACCCTGCAAGGAGAGTTAGCGTATTGGAACCGGAAGGTAGCAAACAAACGACGTTCAATAAAAACTTGCACCACACATTGTGGAAGCGTTATTTTCATGCTACCTTGAACACCACTTGCTGCAACAACCAGAGCACCATCAAAAGTAGATTTTCCATCTTTGTCTTTCTTAAGGGATTCTGGAACCAGTTTGCTTCCATGCTTCTTGACATGGGGGGCTAACTCTCTTCCCACAGAACTTGCTATAGAGCACACACCTTCCACTAAAACAGAAAGCATTAAGATAATTTATAGGTTACAGAATGTTCTGGTCAGATAGATTAAGCCACTGAATTCAATGAATTATTGAGGATCGTGAAGCCAATTTTATGTTAGTGGCTCCTTTTCCCACAACAATTATATTTGGAGGAAACTGCAGATGCAAGTTGCTGGTACTGGCACCCGCCCTGTGGAACGCCCTCCCACCAGATGTCAAAGAGAAGAACAACTACCAGACTTTTAGAAGACATCTGAAGGCAGCCCTGTTTAGGGAAGCTTTTAATGTTTAACAGACCACTGTATTTTAATACTTTGTTGGAAGCCACCCAGGGTAGCTGGGGAGACCCAGCCAGATGGGCAGGGTATAAATAAATCATTTATTATTATTATTATTATTATTATTAATAATAATAATTTCCACTACTGTCTATATTGGCTCTTAATGAAGCCAGGGCAATGAAGACTTCTGAAGGGTGATTAAAGAGTTTGTATACCACCCTTCATCCAATACGATTCCAAGACCGTGAACATATAAATATGTTTATATAAATAACGAACCATTCCAAAATGTAAAAAAAAACCCATATGAACAACATGAGTAAATAACTAAAAACATACGAGTTAAGGCATTTTTTTTAAAAAAAGAGCCTAAACCTGATGAAGTCCGTTTCTCTCCCAAAGAGGACTTAATGAAAAAGAAAACCAACATTATTCCCTGTCCATTTAAAAAAAAAAAAAAAAGACTGAAGAAACAAAGCATTATCAATTCCTGTCACTACTTTTTCAAGGAAAGTGGTTGCTCACATCTCACCTAAGAACTGGCTGACTTTCACAGCTCCTCCTGTAGCCTGCTTGGCTACATGCAGCCCTTTAGCTACGGTTGGGTTGACTTCCATTGGCTTTTCCTCTGGCTGAATGTGCTCTCTTAGTTTGGAAGCTCCCTTGTGGATTGCTTTCCCGGTATATTCTGCTCCTTTGACCAGGCCCCAGCTGACCCAGGATGCTCCTTTAAGGAAACAAGAACAGATTGACGGATGCAGCAACATTATCATGTTATAGGACAGCATTTCCTACCCACTTAAGTTCAGGCTAGTAAGCTGAAAAAAATACAGCCTGAGCTCACACACTGCTGAGTCTCCCATATCCTCTTAATTAGCTACAATTCCATCTTCAGCAATGGTGAAAATAGGAAAGCTGGCCACATGACCCAGAAGCTGTACGCCGGCTCCCTCGGCCAGTAAAGCAAGATGAGCACCACAACCCCAGAGTCAGCCACGACTGGACCTAATGGTCAGGGGTCCCTTTACCTTTTTACCTTTACCATATCAGACCAATTGCGCTGGGTGCCTCATATGTTTGAATGTGCGCTCTTTCTTTCTCTCCCTCAGGAGCTTCATGCATGTGGCGAAAAAGAGGGGTGGGTTTACGCCAAGCAGGTCAACATGGCAGAGAATTAAATAAAATATTCCCCCTCCCAACCAGTAGTCTAATGTGGTGCAGTCTAGAATTCTACCACTTTGAGCTGCATCAGATGTAAACAGGATTTAAGTTAGCTTGCGAGTCAGCCCCTAGTTTATTCATCCACCAGCATAATTCAGATGAAAATCCCCAAACATGCACTAAACTGGCAAAACAAAGAACAAGTTGTTGTTTTTAGCAACCATTACATAATTACTGAATAAGTCTAGCTCCTGAAGATTGGACAAACTATAGAATCATAGAGTTGGAAGAGACCACAAGGGCCATCGAGTCCAACCCCCTGCCAAGCAGGAAACACCATCAGAGCACTCCTGACATATGGCTGTCAAGCCTCTGCTTAAACATCTGCTATAACATCTTCTAGAGCTTATCTCAAGAGCTTTATTTTGAGTTGCCATTTGGTTTTGGGGAATCTATCTGGCAGGGAATTAACTTACTATTTATCTTTAAACTTTGCCTCTTGATAAAAATACCAAATTCTCTTAAACAAAAAATTGCATGTAATTAATATGCTGAAAAAGTCATATTAATAATAATAATAAAATAATAATAATACATTCTTTTACTCTCTACTTCTGAGCCATGTAGACCTGCAGCTAATGAAAACTTGAAAGTAACACAGACATATTAACAGGATGTAATTAAAGGACTGTAGTAGTAAAATATTTCTATCAACAAGATGGAACCTTTGGACTGCAGAACTTGACCGCAGGTCAATCCATGTAATTGATATAATGTGTGGTAGAACCATTTAGTTTTCTGCTACCTGAGTGCTGAATAAAACTAATATAACAGGAAACACAGACAACGAAACTATTTCTTACAGAATATATTCTCATGCAAAGTTATAATATGGAAGTGGCTGAAATTAATAGTTTAGCTTATGATTTTAGACTCGAAGACAATTTCACTATACTGCCAGAATGAAGAGCAATTTTAGCCCAATTCAGGTGAGACAGGTGGGTTGGAAACTGTGACAGTTGCATCCGCACAAAGCCTGCCCCCTACAATCCTTGCACGCACCAGCGCCACTTCCAACCTCTGCATGCTGAGTGTGGAAAACAGAGCAGATTTGCATGGGGACGCTGGGGTTGGAGCCAACACTGTCTTTCAGATGTTGTTGGGCTGCAACACCTACCCTTGAACATGCTGACCAGCTTGTGGGAGTCCAACAACATTTAATGGCACCATGTTGGTTAGTACAGCTTTAAGCCCAAACACCAGAACAGGGTTTACACCAAGGATCAATCTAGAGAATCAATCCTAAGGGTACCTGTTAAGATTCCATGGGCCATTTTCTCACTCCAGTCAGGTAACTCTCTTTCCCTCTCTTCAGACGCTGGCTCAATACGTACAGTCTCAGCCAGGTTAATCGCATCACTAGAAGCTTCTGCAGGCTGCAAGATCGAAGCACACATATATATACAGCAAGATCAAAAGCTAAGATAAAGCAATTAAATGTCAAATTGGCCACCATTTCAACAAAGAAATGCACACTGTGACCATAAAGCTTCCATCTTCTCGCAGATAATTATAGGTTTTACAACAACAGGCAAAATGCATCAGTTTTTTATTCATCTGCAAGAAAATAGCATTTCTGGTCACATAATTCCAGCCTATTTTACATGCACAGGAACATTACTGTTGCGCCTGCCTTGGCATTTGGAGATCAGACCAACATGTACCTCTTTGGAAAGATAATTAGGGTTTTCTTCACCCCTGATTCTTTTCACTTCAGTTAATATAATTAGCATGGTTTTGTATTATAGTTAATGCTCTATTCGCCTTTGAGAACATTTTGCACAACAGACAGGCAGGGTATGCATATGTTCATATTTATTTGATCAGGAAGGAAAGTTGCCCAAGTCTACCACTCCCTTTCATTTTAAGGGGAAACACAGTTCTCCTCATTCTGTATTGTTATGTGTCTTTACATTGCTTCTCTTTGTTCAGGACGGCAAGACTGAAAGAATGAAGCTTTTTGGGAGCTGGGCTGGATTTACTCCTCCTCCTCCCCATACAGATTTACAAACAACGAAAGTGCATTCATTCTGTTTTTTCTTGGTTTTACACATTGTTACTGCCAAAACAAGACAAAGTTGAGCATGTGATGGGTCCTTTCTTAGAGAAGAAGCCAAGCTAAAAGGCAAAATATCTGGGATTCGGAACCAAACACCACCCCATGAATTAAAAGATTGCAACAACAAAGATGGAAACAACGACATTAAACATAACTTGTTTTCACATTAGATTATTATGAAGGATTAATCTATGTGATCAAATGAAGGTATTATCACAGGCATGTTATCGTCACAGCTCCAGACTTTCTATATCACTTTGGAATTAGTAAGGTTCAATTCTCCGCACAGAAATTTCACACAAGCAAGTAACACAAGGATCTTGCATTAGAATGCAAAACTGACATGGATTTTGCATTTTCTGTGTAGCATCTTTTATGCATTTATGAAACAATATGACATTGTAAAATCAGTCCCTAAGTATAAGCAGGATGGCTACTACTGCATTAAAGTGAACCAAAGCAATCCTGAGACATCCGCTCCAGGTTCTAACTTAACATCCTATTTCGTCTGCATAGCCTAACATACACACTTGAGAGTTAAAATAGCCTACACTCATGTGAACAGCAGGAACCAAATATAAGCGACTGGTGTGTATTTCTGATTGATCCCCTCTAAGCTACTAAAGTGAGTCACAGGCCAAAGCTCAATCCATTTTGTAAAGTCATGCCATTATGTACAGTTGCTATGAATATACTCCGAGTTCTTAAGAAGTTCTGCATTAGGTTAGCTAGAGCTCACAAAGCCAGCCGTAATATTGTTCCCATTTTCCCATCTATTCCTAAACATTACATTATGTTGAACTGGGTGGTACTGTACTTTAAAATTCGAGCCATTCGAACATTCTTGACAGTGTTAAAGATTGTGACATTGTGGGTTATGATATCTTTTATTTTTTTTAAAAGGGAATAAATAAGTTAAATAACCATAGCTGTTCTAGAACTCCCTCATGGTTCTTGCAAATATTAATTCCTCAACAATTAAAAACTCGTAAAAATGTCATGTCCAGGTTTATAAGCACTTAAAAGCAGTTTACTGCTTTGGCCACTGTGGGAAACGAGATTTAACAAATGACTGTATTTTCTTTGAAGCTATTAGCATGAGGAGGGAGCACAGAGATCAACAGATAGGTAGCCTTTTGTCAGCCTCTGTAAAATATGGGGTGTCCTTTGGAGATGGGGAAGTGGAGAAGAGGTTGTGTCCCACCACAGCACAAAGGCCAGAGCCAGTTAAGCCCAACTTCTGTCACACACTTATTCCAGAAATCGGAAACAGAATTAATTAGCCTTCAGTTCACACCTGCTCTCCCTGAAATAATGGAAGTTTTCTCCAGCCTTGGGTCCATTTCTCATAGCCTGTGTCCTTCATCTATTTTGGTTCATCCCTGGTAACTTCTGATACCTCAACCGTATTCTATTACTTGAGAACTACAACAGTAGCCATTGGGCCTTGCGGGGGGAGAGGTTGTCCACTAAAGAATTTTGTGCTTCTGTAAACCTCAGGGACCCTCCACCCTGCAGATACTCTCATGTGTGGGTGGGCCTTGTTCCGGCTGCATAAGGACTGGCACTTGAAGAACCAAGATTGCTTCTAGTATACATGATTAATATCTTCAACGTTTTCATTATTTGTTCTCTCTCCAAGAGCCACTGTTGGCGGCAGATACATTTTTCAATAAATACCACAAAACAAAGTAATTTCCATTTCTTAAAGTTTAAAATGTGTTGGCTTAGTAAAAAGTTTGCCACCACCTCTGAAGTTTACCTTGGCTCTGAGATCAGATCTTTGTTTAAACAGATCCTCAAAAAGCTCTTTGTAAGATCTTGAGCGTTGGGACGGTAACCCTAGTCCCTCATGGGATCCTGGAACCTGTGATACCATATCAAGGACATTAATAGATTCACAAGTTCAAAGGCTCAACAAGGAATCTGTTAGGTACTGTTGTACACCATCAGACAATAATATCACACAGTGGAAAGAATTATCCTTCTCATGAACCACATGCAGGTGAATTCATGCATTAGTAAACGTCCCCACAGGTGAATAAGTAATTGCAAGATCAGGTTGTTCGTCACCATATGGCCAGTTCTCCAACAGATTAGAAAGTATTTTAACATGTCAAGTGGCAAATGTTCTCACTTCTTCTGGTAATTAGTTTTAACCCCCATCATTCTACCCAGACACTGAGGTCCAGCACCGAGGGCCTTCTGGCGGTTCCCTCACTGCAAGAAGCCAAGTTCCAGGGAACCAGGCAGAGGGCCTTCTCGGTAGTGGCACCTGCCCTGTGGAACGCCCTCCCACCAGATGTCAAAGAGAACAACAACTACCAGACTTTTAGAAAACATCTGAAGGCAGCCCTGTTTAGGGAAGCTTTTAATGTTTGATGGGTTACTGTGTTTTAATATTTTTTTGGAAGCCGCCCAGAGTGGATGGGAAAGTCCAGCCAGATGGGTGGGGTATAAATAATAAATTATTATTATTATTATTATTATTGCTAAAAATGTGCTGTTATAATTACAGGTATGCCTCCCTCTAACACCTGCCGTTTAGATTTCCCACCTTCTTAAAAAAGAGTTTGGATTTGATATCCCGCCTTTCACTCTCCTTCAGGAGTCTCAAAGCGGCTAACATTCTCCTTTCCCTTCCTCCCCCACAACAAACACTCTGTGAGGTGAGTGGGGCTGAGAGACTTCAGAGAAGTGTGACTGGCCCAAGGTCACCCAGCAGCTGCATGTGGAGGAGCGGAGATGCAAACCCGGTTCTCCAGATTATGAGTCTACCGCTCTTAACCACGACACCACACTGGCCTGGGGGTAGGAGGAGCGTTGAGGTAGCTCTGGGGACTGCAGAGGGAGGTGGAATAGATCAAAATCACCTTCTTTCAACCAGCAGGAGCCCTTTAATAATAAAATGACACAAGTGGAACAGCTTTGCCGTCCCAATTGGATTTAACTACTGCCACCACCCGGTTCCCCAGATTATGAGACTACCGCTCTTAACCACTACACCACACTGGCTCTTAATACTGACCTTGTTTACTAGAGTGATAATCTCTTGGATAACCTTTCCCTGCACTTCACAAATGAACTGTGATCTACCAGATTCTTAATTATCTTAGAGAGACTTCCTATATATGTAGCATTTTAAGATTTTGCTTAGTCATTGTTGCACTCTGAGCAAGTGAACTGGATGTGATACTTCTGACACACTGCAAGCTGCAGTAATGCCTCTCTACGTCTGCTCAATTGATCCTGCAGGAAAATCATTATCAGCCTACTTGCCCTGCCCTTCACAGCACCACACGGTAAATTTATTTTCAGACATTGCCCAGCCTCACCATAAAACATGCTCTATATTGCCAAAGGTAAATCCTTGCAGAGGCTATGCTGAAATTCATTTATAGTGCTCTATGAAGCGGACAGTTTAACAGCTCATCAGTGTCACCCGGTGATACTTGTGCATTGAAATTATTCTGGATGGTGGCATAACACTGTTTACCTGCACTCTGAGGTCAGACATCTGTTTTAGCAGATCTTCAAACAGTTCTCTGTCAGCAGCTGGAAGTTCTGAAGATAACACTACTCCCACATAGGACCCTGGCACCTGTGACATCAAGTCAGGGAACATGTAGACTCCTGTGCTACAGGAGAGGACAGGAGACTGGTTGCACATAAGAGGATACAGCCAGTCACAAACCTGGAAAAGAGAAGACCAAAATAACATTTTGCACAGAACACCGTGGATTCAAATGAATGATACATTAGCACTCATGTCATAGAACCGTTAGCACTCATTTCACAGCTTGTGAACAGCTGTGGCCAGCAACACAAACAAAATGTGAAAGTTACCTGAAGGAAAGCAGGGGGGCGATTCTGGGCCGCTGCAGCATCAGTGTCCAAGAACTTCACAATGCGAAGGTATCCGGGATACGAGGGAGCACTCACTTGTCCATCAGGACTCACAAAGAATATCTGCACCCCGTGGGGAATGAGGATCAGTTCATCAGCATCTACCCCTAATGTCTGAACAGGAGGAGGCTGTGTGCATTTCGTGTAGAAATCATCTCCGACCGAGGAGAACTCCCCAGAGTCTGTTCCGTACGACACAGTGTAGTGCCCACCTGTAGCCTCAGGTGTATAAGCTGGGGGTTCCTCACTGGGCATTGCAGACGAAGGACTCATCACAGCAGCTTGCCCTTGGCTTGTACATCCAGCATTTCCACCTGCTGCAGCCAGGTGTGATGGAGTCATCAGTGAATTCGGTACAGGAGGCCTCTCTGGCTTTTCTTTGGCTGGAATTGTTGGGTATATCCTGGGCGCTTCCAAAGGAGGACACATGGCAATGGGTTTAGGCTGTGCATTTTCATCTAGAATGCTTAGGCGTGCAGTAACGTTTTGTAGCGTCTCTCTCATTTTTTGCTGCATTTGCCTAGCAGACTCCCATCGGTCTCCAGTGCATTCATGACCTTGGGACGGGACGCTAGTTCCCCTGAGCAAGTGGTCAATACCCTGCCTGTAATAATTCCTTGCTTCTTCCTTCTGTCCAAGCTCATCTGCATTCAGGGCTTTATTAACAAACACAAATGCTTCCTTGTACTCTTCTTCAATCGTCTTCAAATTTGCACCCTCTTGCGCAGCTGAATCCCGTTCTTGATACATTACGGAAAACTGGATCCCAGCAGGAGTAACTGGAGACAAAGCGGAAGAGAACACTTCCATTAAAGAAAACCAGTAACAGCTTGAATTAAGGGATATATATAGTGATCCTAACTTCCCATAAAACAGGCTGCTTTGCCTTAAAAAAGGGTTAGGGTGGTATTCAACTAAGTTTTACCTAACTTAGCCACGATCATTAATTTCAGCAGGTCTACTTTGAACAAGACTATGGATACATAATCTTGATCTGTAAAGCACTTTTACAGCATTATATAGCTGCTGTGCTTCTATAGTTAACCTTTAATTTACACAAACAATTGAATTATTATAATTAGTAGTATTATTTATTAACTTTATACAGCTCCCTTCTTCCAAAGATCTCAGGGCGGTTCACAAGATACAGGATAAAAGCACAAAATAAATAATTAAAAACACCCCCCCCACACACACACTTAAAAGGCCATAGAATATTAATCAGCCAAAGGCCTGGTTGAAGAGGAACATTTTTGCCTGTCGCCTAAAGGAGTATAATGAAGGCACAAGCTGTACCCCCCCTGGGGAGAGCATTCCACAAACAGGGAGCCACTGCAGAAAAGGCCGGTTCTCATGCTGCCACCCTCTGCAAATCTCGTGGAGGAAGCACACAATGAAGGGCCTCTGGTTACGATCACAGAGTCCTGGTCATTTTATATGGGGTTCTAACAATCCCCCCCCCTCAAGTCACTTAGCACACTAGTGTTAAGAGTAGCCTTTCAATGACTGAAAAGCTCTTGAAAGCTATTTATATTGCATGGTATTTCAGCATTTGTTTTGACAGGCTGATATGCTGCTGTAAAGCTCAAGTTTCCCACCATCTGCAAACTTACGACAAGTTTATATAACCAGTGACATCAAGGGATAAAAGCTGAATACAGTGGTACCTCTAACTTAATTCGTTCTGGAGGTCCATTCTTAACCTGAAGTACCACTTTAGCTAATGGGGCCTCCCGCAGCCGCACCACGATTTCTGTTCTCATCCTGAAGTAAAGTTCTTAACCCGAGGTACTATTTCCGGGTTTGTGGAGTCTGTAACCTGAAGTGTTTGTAACCAGAGGTACTACTGTACAGCTAACATCTCCACGTCTATGTTAGCCCCCACCCACAGAGTGCTGATGCCACCATCATTCTGCCCACAGTAAGTTTAAGAAATGGGGTGATGGGGAGATGGAGGGGCTGAGCCAGCCTGAGATACATCAGATCCTGAGCTGTAACAGCTCCAGGGTGGTGTAAGTTAGAAAAAGCATTTCCAGTCTCTCTCCCTCTGCCCCCCATACACCCCCCCTCCTGTTACTCCTTTGGGACTGCTCTGCTGGTTATTAAAAAACTGTTTCACTAAAAACATGGGAAGCGACAAACTTTTTTAAAAAATTGTCATTCAGAATTGTTCAGGGGTAGGATGGTTTGGAAGTATGAAACATCCACCACAAATACAATTGTGAACTCGTGATGTTTCGGGAACAGTGCTCTTTTGATTTGCTCCAATTAGCAATAAGCATGCAACAGAGCTAGCTGCTAAACAGCAACCATCAGCAAAGCACATGAAAGAGGAAGGAACATGGTCAGAGGCTTATGGTGGATTGTGGCCAGCTTTAGCCTTCTGAGCTTCAAAGTTTGGCCTCAACTTCACTTGACTAGACACAGGCAGTTAATAAGCTGCCCCATAAACTGATCAAATTGCATAGTCTGAGAGAGCATGATACAGTTAGCTTGCTAATACTAAGTGGTCTGGATCTGGTCAGTATGTGTCTGTGGTTCTGTGAATTCATACCCAGTGCCCCCTACCCCATAAAAAACAATATTCATAATAGCTGTTTACATAAACCACTAAGGAAGTTGGTAACACAATAAAATTCAAAACAGTAACAATTAAGTGCACATTTATTCAAAATCTAATTAAAATTATTTGGTCTAATTCCATAAAATTGATTAACTTGATCCAGCGCCAACGACCTTAGGGGGCAGTACTGCCCTCTTTGGGAACCACTAATCTAGACGCGGGTGGCGTTGTGGGTAAAACCTCAGCGCCTAGGACTTGCCGATCGCATGGTCGGCGGTTCGAATCCCCGCGGCGGGGTGCGCTCCCGTTGTTCGGTCCCAGCGCCTGCCAACCTAGCAGTTCGAAAGCACCTCCAGGTGCAAGTAGATAAATAGGGATCGCTTACCAGCGGGAAGGTAAACGGCGTTCCGTGTGCTGCGCTGGCTCGCCAGATGCAGCTTGTCACACTGGCCACGTGACCCGGAAGTGTCTGCGGCCTATAGAGTGAGATGAGCGCACAACCCTAGAGTCTGGCAGGACTGGCCCGTACGGGCAGGGTACCTTTACCTTTAATCTAGAATCCCATGTACTGTACACCTCAAGTTTCATGGGATGTACATGTGGAAGGAATAAGTACACAGCTTGTGGGAACTTCTGGATCCATTGCTGTTGCTTAAGGCTTAGGTGGCATTGGTGGTGCAGAGTGCCTTCCATCGGCTTTGGCTGGTGACTCAGCTGCACCCCTATTTGGACCAGGATACACTAACTTCTGTTGTCTACATTCTGTTAGCATCTAGGTTATATTACTGCAATGAGCTATACATGGGGCTGCCTATGAAGGTGGTTTGGAAATTTCAGCTGGGGGGCAAGACGGTTTGATAATAATGATAATGTGCTAAATAAAGAATGCCCCCTTCAAAATAGACTATTTATAGATGAAATGAGCAGTGACAAAGGTAGCCAAGTATCACACTATTTAGAAGACAAGTGCAAGGAAGCTTCTTCTAAAGCAAACATACACACAAACTCCAAATAAATGTGTCTGAAGCCCTGTGTGCATTTCTGTGGGGGAAGAAAGTCCTGCTGAACTTGCTTCAGAGTAAACAAGCAGAACACGGGCAGCCCTCCTTACAGCCCGACAGACTTAACTGGGAATTAAACCTCATTGAATCCAGTGGCCTTAATTCTGGTGAAACAGCCGCAGCACCAGGCTGCAACGCGAATACAGGCACCAATGAAGCCAGCAGCAACCTCCTCCCAGAGTCAAGACGGTATGACTGATAGGAAGAAAGTACACTAGGAAGTTACTACCAGCCAAGGAACCGGCTGCTACTTCCAAAGATCTCTCCTCTCTCTTACACACACACACACACACACACACACACACACACCTGGCAACAACCTCCTGAGACAGGAGTGGCGGAGCCTCTACTTTGCAAGCGGAAGGTCCCCGGTTCCATCCCTCCAAGTGCGATGGGGAGAGCCTCCTCCTGCCCCAAATCCTGGACAGCCGTTGCCAGTCAGTGTAAGCAAAACTGACCTAGACGGACCGACTGCCTAGTTTTACCAGCGCTCAGGGCCCAGCTCCTTCCCCGCCCCCACAAAAAAGCAAGGCCTCTGAGCATACGCAGAGTGCATTTACAGCAGCAGAGCGGCAATGATCTGCTCCACGCGCGCAGGTAATCAAGGAGGGGGAGACGGAAGGCGCTTGGAAACAGGAGGCAAGGGAATGCTATCTGTTAAGGAATTGATCGCCCTAATTACAAGGAACTTTCCCCCGCCCTTCCTCCTTCTGGCTTTCCCTTTCACTCACGGGAAGCGAGCAGCAGCGACCTCCCAGGCTCCAGCGAGACGCCCACCCGGCCACGCGCCGCAAACGACTCCTCCTGCCTATATCCGCTCCGCTCCAGCTGTTGCAACTTCGGCCCACGCAGCGTCACGTGATCCGCTGCCGTCAGTGGCTTGTTGTCCTTTGCCGCCTGCCCGCCCACTAAGAAGCTTCTGGGCTCCGTTGCAGACGCTTCGGCCGGGAGGGGGCGCTCTGCGGTGCGCGCGCTCGCACACAAAAAGTTCTGCTGAGTTCGCTGTTCGCTTTACAGTACTGTATATGCAATTGTGTTTGATGTAAAAGCGATAGCGACGCCTGTTTTTTGTTTTGTTTCGTTTTTTACGCAATTATAGATCATTGTGAGCCGCTTTGAGCCCAATGATTGTGGTTGGGAAAAAAGCGATGCAAATACTAATTCCCATCACCCTGATCAGAGGTTCCCAAACTTATTTGGCTTACTACCGCCCACTTTTCGGGGGGGGGATTACTCAGCGCCCCGCTAGAATTCTACCTTCTTTAAGCGAACAAACAAAGATGCAGTGACAAATTTGCGTTCTTTATGTATCTATATTTCTACCTAAGGCCTACCACATAGTAAAGAAAGATGTCCAGTGCCTGATTTACCGGTACGTTTAAGCTGAAGAAGCTACAGCTTAGGGCCCCACTTTCTTGGGACCCCCCAAAAAATTTAAAGGGGAAAAAATTAAAGGGGAAAATGTACATTTCCAAAATATAAGATAAAAAACAAATAAAACATACAGCAACAGTGTTTTGTGTTGTGTATGTAAGTAATGGGCCCCGCCTGCTAGCCTGCTCCCTAAAATACCACTGGTTTGGTCATTTCTATATATAGGGTGTATTCTGCATGTGCAAACGGCTTTAGATACCTATTAGGTCCATAAATTACTATATAGCATAAAACAGTGACAATTGGTTGTTGACAAAGGACACAAAAAACAGGGACAATTTGTTGTTGACAAAGGACAGCCGGACATATAAAGGGCCCCATTAGCTTCAGTAGCTTAGGGCCTCATCAAACCTAAATCCAGCCCTGAATAGGACACATTGAAGGGAGGGCATTGTCACCGTCCCGCAATGGCACCCGACTTGGCAGTAAACGTCATTACACAACAGATGAAACATGTATGAACAGTTTTTCAACATTTTCTTCTCTTCTTTACGCTTCCACTGCCCTCTTATTTTTATTCAGTGGCCCCCAATTGCACCCAAGGCTGCTACAGGCCCCTGGATTGTTCCAGCGCCACCCCCAGGGGGAAATATCACTCACTTTGGGAAACACTGACCCTGATGGGAGCTTGAGAAGATCAGTAATAATAACCGCAGCAACAAAATCCATGCCGCAAAACAAAAATCAACTCACTCCATCTGCAATTGGATAAAGGCTGCCGCTACACCCCAGAACTCTAGGAATTGTAGTTTTGGGGGAAGTGGTGGATTAAAACCCTCACACAAATGTAGTTTGCAAGCAAGGGATAGCATCTGATGGTGGGAAGGAAAGGAGCCAGCCTGGCTTGCTCCTGTTGCTTTAACAAAGGTTTTCTCTGCTAAGTAATCAGCATGGCATGGAGCTAAGCCTTCTCTTCCCAGCTGCAGTGGCATAGTGTGGGTTGCTGGTGCCTGGAGCGGAGCAAGTGTTGTGGCCTTTAGCCAGTGCAGAGGGTGAACGGAGCCCTCCTCTAACAGGCTCCTTGCCCGCTGCTTCCATCCACCTGCCCACTAAACCAACCTGCCTGCCACCACACCTCAGCTGCCAGGGCTCTGTGTCTTCATGGGGGCACCTGATTATGCCCCCTAAAAAATGTGCACCTGGGGCCATGTCCCCCCTGTACCCCCACGCTACCCCTCTGCACAGCTGTAGTAGGGAGCCAGGTTCAAAAGATGGGCAACTCTCGAGAGGGGCTATAGGAACCATTTCAGCACCATTTATCCTGTCACGAGACTCTTAAAGCCACAACAATCTTCTCAAGATCTGAAGTCTAGCTGCTATTTTCTCCGGAACTTAGCTTGAGCATGAACAGATCCTAGAATTCCTGGCGAAATGCTGGAAGAGTTTCTGTTGAATTTCCACCCTTCGAATTTCTGTCTGTTGTGCAATTCTTAAAGGGACGGAAAACCTTTCAGAACAATAGTGGCAATGGAGGGTTGATAGAGCCTTAGGGATAGAAGGCCACAGATTTGTGATGCGTTGTGTGATGAAAGGTTTCATACACGAGAATGGGGAAATCTTGTAAGAAACCTTTTCTCTTTTCACCTGGGAACAGCAGTTCTGTTCATTTGTGGATTTGGCAGTCCAATCGCATACCATGACACCTATAAGTGTCAGCGTTTAGAAGGCCAGAGACCTGACAGTTCTTCATTACTGAAGAAGCTAAATTCAGCTGCACCTCTGAAACACCTGTTCTGTTTTCACCTCAAAGCTGCCTCCTGAAACAGACTGCCCTCACCTGGCTGCAGGGCAACAGTGGCCTTGAGAGTTTATTTTATCTTGCTTTTCCTCCCAAAACTGGGCCTCCAGAGTTATAATAAACGTAGTAAATACAATAAAGTAAACACAACACCACAACAATTAAAGAATACAGCAGCATGCATTTTTAACATTTCAATACCCTTTTGTCACTAGATGGCAGTCTTTTCATTGCTTCCAAGTTAAGAAGAGCATGACTAGTCAGATTCTTAGCCCAGTTTCGGAAATGTAGTCTGATGTAATCTGAAGTCACATTTTGCCCTCCCAAACCTGTCATTTTCAGACAATGTAAGTGGTCGTCATCAAATTTAGCCGAGAAAATGTTACATACAAGTTTGACGGATGACCTGTATTTACTTTGTCCAGTTTGCTGTATTCAACAGCATCAAAATCCTGCAATAGCCTGTGTTGGAACATTATATTGGAAATTATACTGTGCCCCATTCAGGCTGTTTGCTAAGAATACATAAACTGCACACCCAAGTGCTAGTCCAGCCTTCCATATCTTAAAATCTGCAGGTCTTAAGGCTCCTTTTGTTGCAGTATGTAGGGTTGCAATATGTCCTCTATTTCCAGGATACGTCTTCTTTTTTGTGGGTATGTAAAATGAGAATCGTCATAGTGATCCATAGTTAAAAGCAGAAGTCGGCAAATGTGTCCTCTTTTTTGCTCTTCAAAATATGGCAACCCTAAAAGTAACTTAGAAGCTGAACAGAGGTGCAAATGGAATAACCACAATGATGGGTTTTCTGTCTGGTTTTGGTCAAGGGAGGGGGGCATGTTCAAATCTTCACTCAGCCTTGAAGCTCACTAGGCAACCTTAAGTCAGTTGATCTCTCTCAGCCTAAACTACCTCACAGGGAAGTTGTGAACCTAATACGTGGTTTAGCATGTTTGCTGCCTGGAGCACCTTGGGGAAAAGGCTGGAGACAAATGCAGCTTATACAATAGCCAAATTTAGGTCACCACCCGAATGTTATTCCAAATTTTCTAACAGGTTTACTGAGATCTGCGATGCTTTCATGTTTATTGCAGAAGCTAGGGGTGCAAGCAGACAGGACGAGATCTGGGATCAGATATCCCGTGTTTATTTGAAGTTAAAAGTAGCTGAGGGATGCGGATGGCGCTGTGGTGTAAACCACTGAGCCTTGGGCTTGCCGATCGGAAGGTCAGTGGTTCAAATCCCTGCGACGGGGTGAGCTCCCATTGCTCTGTCCCAGCTCCTGCCAACCTAGCAGTTCGAAAACACATCAAGTGCAAGTAGATAAAAAGGTACCACTCCGGCGGGAAGGTAAACGGCGTTTCCGTGCGCTGCAGCTTAGTCATGCTGGCCACATGACCTGGAAAAACTGTCTGTGGACGAACGCTGCCTCCCTCGGCCAGTAAAGTGAGATGAGCGCCGCAACCCCAGAGTTGTTCGCAACTGGACTTAACTGTCAGGGGTCCTTTACCTTTAAAAGTAGCTGAGGGATTGGGGATTGAATCAGGTTGCAGCTGTGGTAACAAAGGAGGGGGATTTAGCTCCATCCCTACATCATTTCACTGATTTCAATCCTTTCTGATTGCAGAATCTGCCTATGGCAGAAATACACAGGTACCTATTCCACACCTTTTTCAGGGGGAAGTGTTAAAGCAGGAAGACCCCGCTCTCCCATAGAACCTTAGTCTTCTGCAGCTGCTAAAAATGCCCCATGGAGAATCTCATCACAGATCCCCTGCCATCTCATATGTTTTGATCCTAATAAGGCTCTGCTCATAGGTGGGAGGGATGGTCAGTGTATGGATTGAAGCAATAAATAGTTTACTGTGGGTCGCAAAGATCAGGTGTGCATTCAGTTCCTCCTATGGCTCATGGCTACTGCAGCTAAGTATCATTCAAAGCTTGTCAGTTAGATCTCATCTGATGTACTTAGCAGAATGAATCCTCGAAAAGGACCATTTGAGGGGAGTTTTTGTTCAATAGGTGGATTCCTAGGAATCACAGCTGAGCTCTTTCCTAGGTATTCTCTTGTGCGCAAAAGTTTGGATCAAATGAATATTTATCCAATAAATTAAAACATCCACAACATATTCTGGTCTGTTGTGCAAATAATTCAGTTTTTAAAATGTGCTCATAAACATTTTTTTAAAGGATTTCTCTAATAAAACAAAGAAAAGTTCAGTGGCACCTTAAAGGAGACTAACAAATATAATGTTTAAATGTCGGGTGGTGATGTGGTTTTTGGACCTGGAAAGCAAAGAGGGAGATGCATTCCTTATTCCTAAAGGAACCAAAGAACTCTATGAAAGTCTATTGAGAGGGGTTTTTTTTCTTACATCAGACTCTCGTGGCTTGAATTTGTAATGAACTTGTAATGAAACGTTAGTTGAAAATTACCCTGACATAGCAATTAAAACAAACATCAACACATGTTTTAAAGCAACATATCTTTAGTGGTGTGATTCCACAAGTGGAGAAATTGTTCCTAGCTTGTTTTTCAAGAGAAAAAAGAAGCATAAAACCATCCTTTCTCTGCTTGAACACGTTACAAAAGAGGCAGCTTATTCATGGATGAAGTTTCCCACATTTTATTTAAACAAATTAGATTGTAGCCAATGCTAGTCCTACCCATAGTAGACTGGTTGAAATTAAGAGCACAAGTTAATCTCATATATATAGATATATAATCACATATATATATATATATATATATATATAATCATTCATATATATATATATATAATATCATTCATTCATATATATATATATCATTTTCATATATGTATATATATATATTATAATAATTTCAATGGGTCTACTCTGCGTCAGACTATCTATATAATTGGGCTAAAAGAAACAAGTTGCACAAGGAGATGCCCAAAGCAGTTTACAATTTACTTGTTGCTCTTTTGAGGCCATACTATTATTATAACAAGTTCATCAGTGAAGTGTATCAGAGCCAAGGAGGGTCTATCATTCACATACAGTGGTACCTTTGGTTACATACGCTTCAGGTTACATACGCTTCAGGTTACAGACGCTTCAGGTTACAGACTCCGCTAACCCAGAAATAGTACCTCGGGTTAAGAACTTTGCTTCAGGATGAGAACAGAAATCGTGCTCCGGCGGCACAGCAGCAGCAGGAGGTCCCATTAGCTAAAGTGGTGCTTCAGGTAAAGAACAGTTTCAGGTTAAGAACGGACCTCCGGAACGAATTAAGTACTTAACCTGAGGTACCACTGTATTCAGTCAATCCCAGAGTTTCAGCACTCATTTGAGCCCAGAAGCTAAACATGGAAAATGAAATGCCAGCGTGAGGATTTCAGTCTGTTTTCTTCTGTGTCACGGTTGAGCGCTATGCACTGTAAAACGTGGGGAAAGCAGCCTCAGAGGCACAAATGATCAGAGAACTGAAAGTAAAGTTAGCCTGGGCCACTGTTCTGCCTACGAAGAAGACATAATTCAATTCATCTGGAGTTGGCTTTGCTGCAGCTGCACACTTTCTGGCCTGGGGGATAAACTGTGTCCCTGTCGAACGCAGATGTGCCAGTGAAAGTTCTTTTTATATTGTTTTTATTGTTTTTTCAGGTATACTGGAACAAGTTATCTCAAGCAAAAGTACAGAATGTAGACAAAAATAATGAATCCCCGAGTCGACATGAGGCACTTTGACTTGGCTGAAGCGAAAATCATCTCCCTGGATTGCAGGAGGACACTCTGATGTCAAATAATAAAACTGATACATTACAGTCACACCCAAGAAAAGTCTAAAAACAATTATTAACAGTTTAATATATAAAGCAATTAAATCAATTTCATCTATAAAAAAACAATCATTTAAAAACAATTCCATGTATAAAAACAGTTTAAAATAGCTTCAATGCAGATGCAGGTTGGGATAATGAACCCCCACTTAGAACACGTGTTGGAAGAGGGAGGTCTTCATTCAATAGGTGCCAAAATAGGTGAATAAGAAATGGGAAGAAATGCTAAAGGAAGAAGAAGAAGAAGAAGAAGAAGAAGAAGAAGAAGAAGAGTTGTTGTTGTTTGGATTTGATATCCCGCTTTATCACTACCCTAAGGAGTCTCAAAGCGGCTCACATTCTCCTTTCCCTTCCTCCCCCACAACAAACACTCTGTGAGGTGAGTGGGGCTGAGAGACTTCAAAGAAGTGTGACTAGCCCAAGGTCACCCAGCAGCTGCATGTGGAGGAGCGGAGGCGCGAACCCGGTTCACCAGATTATGAGTCTACCGCTCTTAACCACTACACCACGCTGGCTCTAAAGGATAGCTGTCACATCACTACAGACCTGATTCCTGTATCAGACAGAATGGACTTTCTGATATCAAAGACTTGAATATCAAAGACAATCTTCGGGTCATGCATCTTATCTTTCAAGGGGAGCACAACCCCATTTAGAACGAGCTGAGTAACCTCTCCCAGATGCCAGAATTCCTGGGTAACTATCTGGATTAATTTCCATCTTGTTCAGCTCCTATCTGTCCTGAACTGTTGCCAGTGACTGTTGATGTTGTAATCATTTGATGTTATAGTTATTAACCATCGGCCCATGATATCCCTTACGTTTGTATGAAATAAGAAATGGAGCACTTACTATGATCACTGGGCTGTCTAAATGGCTCCCCCAATTCAAGCAATGCCCTCCCGGTTCAAAGCATCTCAAGGTCTGCCTCTCCCCATTTGCACCAACCCTGTGATCATCTGAGCCCTTGTCTCCACAAGAGGTCTAGAGGGTGGCAACAAGAGAGTGGACCTTTTCTATGCTGGCTCCCTGTTTGTGGAATGCTCTCTGGAGGGCACCATCATTATATACCTTTAGGCGCCAGGCAAAAACTTTCCTTTATTTTCCTTCGGCCTTTAACTATCTGTGGCCTTTTTGAAGTGGGTGGGGTGTTTTTAATGTGTTTTCTTTCACCCCTTGGTTTTATTGTATCAACATGGAGGGCATTGTCTGTTGTTGTTGGTTGGTTGGTTATAAGTCGCTTTGGGTTGCCCTGTGCAAGATAAAGCAACTAAAAACTCAATAATAATAATAAGCATTTGTAAGTGGTCATCATGCTGAGAGTTTGCATCCTCTCCTGTTGCTTCAATAATTTTCAAAGGTATACACAAAATGTCTGGGTTGAAATTTGGAAATCGCAGCTGGTGACTTTCTTTTATCGGTGGTGTTTTGAAGGTGTTAGCATGCCCCAATTGTGTATTATTTAAAATTGCAGTCAATTTTCTTATCCTATAGTTCGGGTCATTTATTCTTTCCTTTTTTATGACAGGCATAAATAATGCCTAAGTGGTTCTATTTTTCTTTTGCAGAGGCACATAAAAGACGGAAGATTAATCTTCCAATTTAAACTGCAGCTTGAGGCATTTGCTAGATGCTTAAATGACAGCTAAGAGATAGTTTATGATTCCCTAGGTTGGGGCTCAAGGAAGAATTCAAATGCCCAGAATTTATGCAACTATTGTGGGGAATCAATAGCTACCTTTATGAAATAAATTACACCAGCGTTTAGCAGATGGTTATGCATGCAAAACAGCAATACAGGGAACATCAAAGCTGTTTATTGCAAGTTCCTTAAATGATTTTGCGTCAAGGTGTGTAGGTTATAAAACACGAAATACTTATTCCCTGCAGCATCTGGGACAGAACAGAGAATCAAGAAATTGACTTTGTATTGTGCCTAAAATCCCAATCACTTTCCTCGTGCAGTTAAGATATCAAGGGCAGCAATTTGCGGAGGAAAGCAACTCTCATTTTGACTCATTTTTCAAGAATTCATAAAGCATTTGATTTAGCATTGTTCGCATGGCAAACAACAACAGCTTGCCTATACTACAGATTAACTGTAATTCATGGGTGTAGCCAAGGGGGGGCTCCCCCCAAATCAATAAAAATCAATAAAAATACATAGCTAACTCAGGTTCTGCCCCCTCCCCAGAAAAGGCCTGCCCCCCCCCCCCCACAAAAGTCCTGGCTATGCCCATGCTGTAATGTGGCTTGTTTGTTTTGGCACCAGCTTAACTGTAATATGATTTACAGGTATTTGTTTTGGCATCAAGTAGCTTTAAGAAAACATCCCATTTATATCGATGCCTGTGAATAGTCCTCTGCAATTGCACGCACTGTACTTTGGGATAATTATTGTTGCACATCACTCCAATCGCCAAGCAGCCAAGAGATTCCAGGGCTTCCAGCGCTTATCAGGGGTTTGGTGTCCTTGGAAGGAAAGTCAGAGGGGCCTTTGGCATCTTCTGGGTATATGGTTTTATTTACACTTATATACAACCTGAGCATAAGGCAGAGGGGCTCACAGCACAAATATCCCTAAAGATCTTGCTTCTCCATTGGTCACAGCTTTGGACCCAGCATAGAGCAAGCAGGTGTCTGTGTTTCCTGCTTCCAGCTCAGTTCACACACACGATCTCGGGCTGTTGTTCTCCTACCTAGCAGCTATAAGGGGCATGGGGGTGGAAAGGCTCACCCATTTGTTCTATGTCACAGAGCATCTTCTTTGGTTCTGCTAATCGTGGTGTTTAACTAGTCAGCCAAAACCATTATCTAGACCAGTGATGGCCAAACTTGGCCCTCCAGCTGTTTTGGGACTATACTTCCCATCATCCCCGACCACTGGTCCTGTTAGCTAGGGATGATGGGAGTTGTAGTTCCCAAAACAGCCGGAGGGCCAAGTATGGCCATCACTGACAGACAAAGGGACTGGTTGGGCAAGCTTACTGACATACATTCTACCCCCAACAGATATAGGATCCTAAGAATTGGAAGGGACTCAGGGCATCATCCAGACTTACTCCCCCCCTCCACAATTCTCAACATTATTATTGCTGCATTAAATGGTGTCAGAGACTCTTGTCATTTTCAGTTCACACGCAGTAACTTTTTCTACACATTTCCTTGCAAGCTGAAAAAACAATCTGGCCACATGATAGAGTGAGCAGATGACCAATTGCACCCTAATAGTCTCCCTTAGCTGCAATCTATCATACATATTAGGGTTGCCCAGCCAAGGATGAGACCTGCCCATGTGAATTGCATCTAAAGGGGGAAATTAAGGGGAGAAACTTAATTCGGTAGACTGGCAGCTCTTATGAACATAGCTTACACAAATCATTCACGGCTGATTCTGGTATAGTAAGTTCTACTACATTTTTTTTTAAGATTTGCCTTGAGAGCATCTTTAAACCTCTTTTGTTGTCCACCGGCATTTTGCTTTCCGTTCTTAAGTTTGGTGTAGATCCAGAATTGGCCTCCACAGTCACCTACAGACTCACTGTTAAGACCTTATTCATGGGAATAAAATCTTACTCGGCTACAAGTGATCAAAGAAGAAGAAGTAGAAGAGGAAGAAGGTTCTACATATTTTGATCTCCAAAATGATTCTAGGACAGTCCAGGGTGGAAAATGGTTGTGTCCTAATAGCTATTCCTGTAACTGGGATGTGGCAGGAATCTGGGGTGGTTCCAGACAGGCTGTTTATTCACATAAGGTTTGGTGGTTAGCTCATGCTTTCTAGTGCAATTATACATCTATTTTTCTAGCTGCGAAAAGAATAAGAAAAGTGACAAAAATTGCACCAGTGACATCAATCACTGCTGTGTAACCACTGTGTGAAGATATCAGAACAATGCTAAAAAAAGAGAGAGATAAGGTTTCGTGCCAACTTCTCAGTGCAAATGTCCCATTAACAGCCAGTCTGGAAATTTCATTTGAAGGATCCTGCTCACAAGATCACCCTGTGAAACATTTTGCATGTGACTTGCTTCTGGCATAAACTTTCCTGTTGCTGAAGCCTTGTTTTCAAGCATAGCTTTGCAGGAGGTTTTTCCTGTAGTGTAGGCCACCTGTCCACTGTTTGGCAGCTTCCTCTGCCTCTGAGGTTCTCTCTTGTCACCTGTCAACCTGATTCAGAGGGGGAGACTCCAAGAGCCTCCTTTTTTGTGAATTCAAGATAGATTCAGCCAGCTGCTGTCAAGAGGACCCCAGCTTGTCACACTTCAAATTTTGCTTTGGGGCACATGAGGGGGAAAAGGGGGGACACCAAAAAAAGAAAAAGAAAAAACACCCAGCAATAAGTAATGTGAAATATATGAAATTCAGAGTTTATATACTATTATTTTCTCCAGGAATATATCCTGAAGCTGAGGCTCCAATACTTTGGCCACCTCATGAGAAGAGAAGACTCCCTGGAAAAGACCCTGATGTTGGGAATGATGGAGGGCACAAGGAGAAGGGGAGGACAGAGGACGAGATGGTTGGACAGTGTTCTTGAAGCTACCAGCATGAGTCTGACCAAACTGCGGGAGGCAGTGGAAGACAGGAGTGCCTGGTGTGCTCTGGTCCATGGGGTCATGAAGAGTCAGACACAACTAAACAACAACAATTTTCTCCAAGGAGCTCAAGGTGTATATGGTTCTCCCCCATCTCATTTAAAACCTACAACCCTTTAAGATAGGTTAGGCTGAGAGCAGGGGCAGCATATTCTGTTTTGCCGCCTGCAGCCAAACAGGAAAAGTGCTTTCCCTCCCACCGCCCCTCCACTAGAATCTTGCTTACTGGGTTTGTGCACCAGTGGCAGCTTCCAGTGAGATCTCGTTCTGCGAGATCTTGTGAGAACTTGCTGGGTTCTGCTGCCACACCCACCCAACCTTGGCGGTGGAGGGGCAGGTGGGGTGCCCACGGAATCCTCCGCCACCCAAGGTGGCTGGCTTCTTCAGCCTGCCTCATGGGTGGGCCGGCCCTAGCTGAGAGGCAGGGACTGGCCTAAGGTCACCCATTGAGCTCCATGGCCAAGTAGGGATTTGAACCCTGGTCTCCCAGTTCCTAGTCCAACACTAGGGAAATGCACTTAAAAAGAGTTGGACAGGGAAATGGTTAACAGCAAGACATATATACACCCCACAAGCAAATCAGGATGAATGCTGAATGTCCTGTGGGCTTTATGGAGATTGCCCTAAACCTCCCATGACTTTCATTGTGTGTGGAGATCCTGTGATTAGTTCCACATTTTGTTTTGTTCTAAAAATGCAGGCCAACAGGCCTTCCTCTCCTTCGGTGGATAATAGCCTTCTGCCACTTCTCTTGCTTTATTGGAGCATTTTTGCACCTGTGTTTCACAGGGTTGTGGCGAATTAACCAGGGGAACATTACGATTCCCATTGTGCCAAGAGGAAAACTGATGGAAAGAGATACTGGCATCTCAATTAAGCCCAAGGTACCTGGCTCGTCTGCTGATTTGGTTTCATTGAAGTAAATGGGAACAAATCAATTTAAATTGGAATTACTTTGGCGAGTAGAGGAGAGAATAGAAATGCTTTCAGCACGACCCCACAGATTAGCTTTGGCACAGCAGAATCCTGTTTTAGCAGCAAGGGAGCACCTGAAACCACCAGCTCCTTGTGTTGCTTCCTTTTGAAGTTGGTTCTGAAAATCTCTAGGATCTCTGCTTTTCACTGCCGCATTTGGATGAATACAATAGATTGTGCTCTGAAGGGATTAGTAATAAGGATATTTATCTGTGTGCCACTTTGGACTGGGACATTTTTCCCGTGGACAGCCTCATGCAAATATTCTTATCTAGCTGACAAAGATCAACAAATGAACATAGAAAAATCCTTTGAGTAAACAGTTTCTGGTGAATGCCCTTTATAACTGCTAACATTGTAAGTCAGCGATAGTCTGTTTGCTTTAGATAAAAGTGCCTCTGTATATTAGCCACTCTTGCAAGCTCATCTGAACGATCCTTGATCCATTCCAAGCTTTGCAAATGTCTCCTTTAAGTCATGGGAGCAGCAGCTTTCCACATCCTTCTCGGTAGTGGCGCCCACCCTGTGGAATGCCCTCCCATCAGATGTAAAAACAGATAAACAACTATGAGACTTTTAGAAGACATCTGAAGGCAACCCTGTTCAGGAAAGTTTTTAATGGTTGATGTTTCATTGTGTTTTTAATATTTTGTTGGGAGCCGCCCAGAGTAGCTGGGGCAACCCAGTCAGAGGGGAGGCTAATAATAATAATAATAATAATAATAATAATAATATAGCTAAAAGTATTTTGTTGATTCTCCAATTAGGTTGCAATGTACCTCTTCAGATGCTGGAGAGCCACTGGCAGCCAGAGTAAATAATACTGGGGTAGTTGGGCACATGGTCTGGCTTGGTGCAACTTTGTATGTCCATGACGTAAACCGGAAGAATCTTGCTTAACTACAAAATGAATAATATGCCAATAACTAAAAAGGATGCTAATGGTTTTTCTAAGCTGCTTCACTTATTATGATGAAATCCCTGCATCTTTTCTCTGTTCCTTTTGATAACACCTCTGTATTAAAATAAAATAAAAATGGTGCAAAAACCAAAGCATGATTAGTCAGGCAGAACATAATGCATTTAAACGAATGGCTGAAAGAATTCTCTGCCTGCTCCAATCCAGGCACCTGGCAAGCACAGAATTCTATGAAGAAATCATTTTATTGCGCTTGACAGTATTATTAAACTTTAACCGCTTTCATTGTCTAATGCCGTGATGTTCCTTTAGCTGAAATAAAGAGGCTTAAAGAAGTATTTACTAGATTCTCTAACACAATGTCTCAAAGTGAAACAAAATTAAAGAGTGCTGCCAATCCAGGATTTGCAATAAATTGGCACCCATTTTATGTAAGATTTCAAATGCCACGCAGCACCAAGCAGTGTATTGAACAAGCAATGTGTGAAATGTTAAGCCTTTGGGAAGTTAATGATCAAGGACTGATGTATCATCTCCCCCTTAGCTGTCAGTCCCAAAGTTACTTCAGGATTTGTAGAGACGAGTGGGGAGCTGTTAGTCGTAGTAGCTGCAGCGTTTAATTGCCTGTCTAGAAGCAAATCATACACAACCCTCCCATTTGTTACTCCTCTCTTCCACTATTAAACTGCACAAGAAATGAGAGAAGAGGAACCCTCCAGACATATTATATACAGATTATGAATCATCTTCATCCTTATTTTTCCCCCCTGCTCATCAACTGAAAAAGCTCCCATTGGCTTTCAGAACAAGCAAGTTCCTGCCCTCAGGCTTACAATCTTAAAGGCCTATCACAAAGGGAAAGGGGAATGGAGAGGGCAAAGGAAAAAAGCAAATTCAGGCACTAGTTCTTAAATTTACAGAATTGCTATAACAATCAACTAGAATGAAAGAAGAGGTCAAAAGGAGCTGGTCTCTCAGCGGTGTTGATGGAATACCCTTGCTTTTGCAGTCTGATGAAATGGAAACTTTTGTTCTAGGTGACAGCAATTCTAATTACACCATCTGAAATCCACAGATGTTGTACCATTACATTTAACATGCTTCTCAGGTCTGTTGCAAGAGATTGTGCAGCCCCTTCCTCTTTTTAAAATAATAATAATTTTTATTAGTTTTCAATTATAGTCCGATAATAGCTTCATTATAACAATACCAATTTGTTATAACATACCAATTTATAATACAATTATTAATACCAGTTGTTCAAATACCAAATTATATAATTTAGATAAAGTAGCCCCCTGTGTGCTAATTTGATGGTTTTCTTTACTTCTACATTCCAAAATCTTATAAATTTCAATTACATTCCTGTCATAATAATAATCCCTTATACAACAACTGCAATATTAATAACTTCTATTCAAGTTGACACATAAAATGATTTATAAAAATACAAGTGAGGAACTCAAACTATATGCTTGTTCTTCCTGTGTGGGGCAATTATTCTGTCCGTAGTGTTTCTTCCTGTCCTTGTAAGATGTCTTTCTTTCCCACAGTTGTTGCTGTTATCAGTCATACCTTAAGCAGAGCTGATATCCCATTGCTGTTCCAGAAAATTCTCCATCGTTCCGTCCCGTGCTTCATTGTTTTGCAACTTTAACAGCAGCTGCAAAAGTCACTCTGTCCTAGTAAATAACCTGTTGTTACCATTTTTCCTCTCAGCATGGGAAGAAGAACGGTCTGTCGAACTGCAGATGACTCAGTAAAGAACATTATCTGTTCCTTGGCAGTTCACAGACTCCTTTCATCCTTCCTTCCAACTGAAGTTACATGAGCAATTATACTTCCAATTAAGTTAAATTAATTCCAAGTTCTCTTAGCATTGTTCAGTTCACTTCATAAATAATAAAGGTCGGGGAAGAGTCAGCTCAAAGTTTCCATCGTAAACCTTTTGCAAAATAGAGCTTCCCTCTCTTTTCCCTTTTTTTACACAAACAGTTCCGTTTGATGTTATATTCCATATTTATAATCCAATTTCTTCCATGCTTGCTTGTACAAATATAATTTGAACTAATATTCAGAGGAGGGTTGCCAAATCATAAATGTAGAGAAGAAAACTTTAAATAAAGAAACTGTAGGCTACCCCCCCACTGCCTTTTGCACAGAATGAAGTCTTATCTCAAGTTCAAACTTTAAAGTCCTTGCAGTTGGTTTGTTCCGCAGTTTGCGATCTCATCTATTCTAGCACATGCCTGTACTTTAGTTCAATTAAGCTCTAATTAACAGGAGAGCCCCTGCAACACAGCCCCTTCCTCTTGTCTTCCCCCTGCTGCCCATTCAACCTAATCTCCCTCCCCCAAATTATTCCCCCACCCCATAGTTTTGCCACGAAAATTAGCAGCAGCAGCACTGGTGCTTTCTCTCCCCTCCTCACTCTGAGGAAGAACCCACAAGAACCTTCCTCAGAGCAAGGCATCCTGGTCAAGGGGGCTAGAAATGTGCCTGTACTGATCAAAAATTATGTTTGATCTTAGAAATGGTTCAAAGTTACTGTGAGCCAATGAGCACCCTGTGAGCTCCCTCTCAACCCAACCTATTTCACAGGGTGGTTGTGAGCATCTTGCAGGGAAGATGAGGTGGAGGTGGTTATAGTTCAATCAGTAGAGTATGAGATTCTTGATCTCAGGGTCATGGGTTTGAGCCCCACACTGGGCAAAAGATTTCTGCATTGCAAGAGGTTGAACTATGGTCCCTCCTGGTCCCTTCCAACTCTACAATTCTATGATGGTTAATATTATTTAGAAATAGGGGCTCATCTAACTTTGGAATTAATCTGTCAATAGCATGTGTTAGGGCTCTCATTGAAACAAGGTTCACAAACAGCTGGTCTCATGTTTAGAGGGTGTTGAAAACTAGACCTCCAAGTGGATTGTATAGAAGGGTGCGCTTGGTATAGCTTGGACGATGGGTTTTGTTAATATGCCCTAACATGGCAGAGGGCCTTCTCGGTAGTGGCACCCGCCCTGTGGAACACCCTCCCATCAGATGTCAGACAGACAAACAACTACCGTACTTGACTTTTAGGAGACATCTGAAGACAGCTCTGTTCAGGGAGGTTTTTAATGGTTGATGTTTTATTGTGCTTTTAATACTTTGTTGGGAGCTGCCTAGAGTGACTGGGGCAACCCAGTCAGATGGGCAGTACATATAGATATAGATTATTATTATAGGCAGGTATGCAGGGGATTGGACTAGATGACCCTCGGGGACCCTTCCAACTCTACAATTCTTTGATTCTGTTATTCTAAGTGCTGCACGTAGTGGGTAGTGTAGTTCTGATAGCGTGCTTACCATACAAATCCAAACCTCCTTTTTTAGCGGCATAAATTCACAGACAGCTCATTTCAATCTAGAGATGAAAACTGTTCGCTCATTCACTCTGCAAGACCTGATCCAGCGTGGTCTGAACCTGGTGGCAACAACTCCTGCTGCCTTCAATGCATATAAAACCAGGCCTGAGCATTCTTGAGTTGATGACAAAATCCATAAGAGGGAAGCTCACTTCAGAGTCTAGCTAGTGCATTTGTAGTTGATTAAAATCAATAGTTGTGAAGTTTCTGGGCTGTGCGAGGTCCTTTTTGATCTTCGCAGTCCACGGAAACAAGTGTCTGTGTCGAGCTTTTCTATTATTTCACAGGAAAGAGATCAAAGTTCAGTTGCACATAAAGAACACACACCACATGCAATTCAATCTGGTCATAACAGGCAAGGTGCCAACGCTGTCAGGGGAAGGGTAAGCAAGCTCACAGAGCAACAAGCAGTATAGACTATCTGTCCATTGCAAGGCTTCACATACTGTTTCATTAGAGTCTGCACCAAGGTGTTGTTTTTGAAGACAAACATTTATTGAAGACATACTCCTACTCAGTCATAAAGGGCATTATGAAAGAAACTGAAACTAGATTAAACTCACGGGGGGGGGGGAGCACGTATGTTCAGTATCTTCCAGACATAGCATGTGATCAGCGGCCTCAAAGAAAGTGAAGTATTGGGGGTGGGAGAGCTGAAAATAATGCCAACATATTTCACATCTGGCAACCAATGGTTTCAGATAGTACATGGGTAGACGAGTCTAAAAAGCCTGGGACAAAATTTTCACAACGCACTAGCAGCTATGGTGACATTGCTGGGGCCGGACACGAGGGGCAGGTCCTTGGGAGACAGGGAAAAGTAGCCTGGTTGTCATTGTGGGGCTAATGGCTGAGTAAGTTTAGGGACTCGCAAAGCCACTTTTGTGTGTTTGACATTAGGGTGTGCCTGGACACAGTCGGCACACCCAGTACATACACCTATGATGCTGACCCTGACAACAGTCCTTCCCTCAGACCATGCTCATCAAGTTTATGCTTTCCTTATGTCCTTAGTTGTTTAGACTGTTGTCTTTTTAGTGACTGGGTAAGCAATCCATCTCACTTCATATAGATATTCCTGTGGCTTTCTTTCAACTGTCCTGTATTGTGAATGATGAATTATGCATTTTGCTTTGCTCTATTTTCACCAGAATTCCTTATTTGTCAGAGTAGCTTGCCTCCACTTTAGAAGAGACGAGTGACACCTGTCGCCTTTGTTGTTATGATTTGCTAGAATCACTGAGGACATATTTTGAGAGGCCTCTCTGATCCTGGGATTATAAAACTAGGCCACTGCTTGTGAAATACTTGTCCTGTTCTTGGATTCCTTTGCCCCACCATACACTCCAGTTCCTCCAGTTCAGTTTCTCTTTAAAATAAGCTTTGAACAAGTGCTTATTTTAATTTTTGACAAGAAGCAAAAAAGCAACGTTGAACTGTATTAGAAAGGTAAACTGAATTGGAAAACAATAGCATGATCTTCCTCAGAGACTCCATTTGCTTTGATGCCCCAGCACTGCAATTTGCATTTGCAAATGATTTCTCCCCATGAACATACAACTGTGTGCCGCATATTTAATGGCAATATCAATAAGAGCCCTTAACTGTATTCCCAGCATACTTCAAACATTTTGTCATTGTGCAATGTCACTGGTTGGCCAAACACATTAATATCGAGATTCACTCAATATTCTGCATGCCAGAAGTGACTTAACTTCATTAGCAGGACGTGCATTTAGTTAAGAAATTGTATTTCCCTGGCAGTAATACATGTCAGGGCTTTACAGAATATGCAAAAGCATATATTTGCATGCCTAATAAACACTTTGGAATACTTGCTTTGTAAAATTAACTACAACACCTAAAATGCTTAGTTCTATTTCCAGCGAAGTTAAGTAACAAATAAGGCAACTTCATGAAGCGGGCCAGCTTCATGGTCAATGTTTAAGAAATTGCACAACTACTTAAAGAGAAAAAACAGATTTTTTTTTAAAGGTACAGTATGAAAATAATGTGGGATACATTGCTGTCACCTCTTTTGTGTTAAGGGTTTTATAGGCTTTCACAATGCAGAGTAAAACCTTGATAATTTTTGTGGCTAGGGAAACCTTCATCCCACTATGATAGGAGAATCCTGATTGGATATGTTGTCACTGTAACTTCAGGAAATATATAAGGAATGTGGATCACAAATATGCTGCAGTGCCCAAGTGATTAAAGTGTTGGACAAAGGGAACCTGGATTCAAGCACCCACTCAGTCTGGGTTTATCTCTTTTCCCATAATGGAAACTGTGAATTGATTTCCCTGTTTCTCAGAAAAATGTGTAGTAGAAGCATGGACATCCTGATTCCACAAGCCCTTGTGCTATTCTTTTTCAAAGAAATAAACAAGGAGAATCATGCTTACCAGGATCTAGTACAAAAAGCAAAGGTACCATTTTAATGTCTCTGGTAAATGTTTGTTATAGACCAAAAGTGTCCCGTCATATGTGTTCTGGGACACAGCTGTCTAGGAAAGCTTCCGATGAGTTGCTTTCATCTACTCGACAAATTGCATCTAGAGAGAGGGAAAGAAAGAAATAATTAATTCCTCTTGCTTCGGTGTTTGTTTGATGAACTCAACAACAGCAACGGAAACAAACAAATGTTGGGGGAAGAAAAGTATAACCACAAATCTTCATAGGGGTTTTCAAAGCTCCCAAACAGCTTCTAATGAGCTTTCAAACCCAAAAGGGGACTTTAAAAGAAAAAGGAGAGAACAATTGACTTCTGTCGAATCGCTTCTTGTTCTTAGCTATCACCAAAAGCAAACAAAATAAATCAAACCGCAGGTACAGTTTGAAAGATACTGACCTAATTAAATAGAAATTATAGAGAAGCCACACACAACATTTGTAATGCGCTAGCAGATGACATCAGTGTAGCAAAAGCCAACAGTGACTGGCTGGATTACTTTTGTTAAGGTAATGCAGGAAAGGAGATTTCTTATTCCCTTTGGTGTTGCTGCTTTGGGGAGCCATTCTGAGGCACCACCAGAAGTGCTCCATCGGAGAACCTCAGTGATTGAGGTGGAGTAATAATATCCACTAAAGGCATTTTTGAAATCCATTCGTCTCACAAACATAAGGTGTCAACCTTCACTTTGCCTCATTCAGGGACATATTAGCATCATGATAGCCTGACACATTACTAAAGTTTTAAAAAGACACTTTAATCAGTGATGTAATCCTGGGGAATTTTTGTATCTCATAACCTATTTATGTTGCTATCTACAAGACAAGATTTCTGGCTACAGTGAACCATAATCACCTTGCCAAGACCATGTTTTAACACTAACCTAATTGTGATATGCTATCCCTTCAGGAAATAAGAAGAAAATCCCCTAACAATAAGTGAATTGTAATCTGATCATAGAAAAGGCATTTGTATTTGTTTTTTATTATCTCATAAATGGCAGGAGACCTCACAGAATACCAAGGGCAAACAGTGCCGATTGTCTAGTTCACATGGATACTACAAAGCTTGGCTTGCTCAACTCCTCAGAAGCTGTGACGGTTCCCGGCTTAGTCTCTTGAGTTAAGTATCCAAAACACAGTTTGTTTCTGGTGTAGAGGGAAACCTTTTCTGCTTTTGAATATAAATGAGGGGAGATGGCTGAACTGAAGAATGGTAGCTGCACAACAAAGGGATATACCCCAAAGTTACCTGTCTCCAAAACTGCAAGAGGTAGGCAGAGGTGGCTGTTGATCTGGGATTGTGCTGCTAAGTGTTTTCAATTTTCGATATTGAAATTTGGCTTGAATTTTAAAATAAATCAAAATTGGAGTTGATTATAAAAAAAGAGCAGAAATAACCAAATTAATCAATCAATACACATTGTCTGTTATAACAAGGGGGAAGGAGGATTGAATGTCCTTGCAATCAATATTATTCCAAAATCTTTAGTCTTTTCCCCCCCTTTTATGGTGTTATCAACTTGCTATGTTTAATATTTTTCATATTGTGTTCCCCCTCTAAAACCTCCCAAACTAACAAAAATCAGCTTGGGGAATGCATGAACTTGGATTATTTTTAGGGTTGCCATATTTCAAAAAGTAAAAACCAGGACACACCGAATGTTGTGGACAAACCACAAAGTGGTTTTACAAAAACTCCCCCAAAGAGTGATTTTTCTTGCCTAAGATCCAGGACAAAGCACCGCCTTTTGGAAATCCCACCCCCACCCGGACATCAATTCTGCCTTTGAAATCTCAGTAATGTCCAGGAAATTCTGGGCGGAGGACAGCCCTAATTATTTTGAAAGGAGGCAACCTGTGTAGCTGTAAGAACTTGAGATGCGATCCATAGAGCTTGGTCCAAATTACCGGTAATAACCCAGCAGCTGAGTTTTGCACTATCTGTTGTTCCTGGAAAACCTTCAAAGGCAGATGCACCTTCAGTACATTGCAGTATTCAAATCTGGAACTCTGTATAGTTTTGTCTTAACCCACCCTAATCATTTACCAAAATCCCTGCAAGCAATTATCCCATTCAAAACAACACTATTTGCCTTGCTGAGTATTTGTATGTAAGGCACATACTTGGAAGTGTTCTAAAAATAACACTAATTATCAGGCTTTCATGAATCAGGAAGGTACAGTCGATAAATTATTACTTGTTATAAGTTTGATTTTTTTATTTAAAAAGATTATATATAGACCAATAAATGACGAGCTCTTTCAGAGATTAGATCCCATTCCTTCTGAGCTCTGATAAGTGACTGTCTTCCTCTGCGACATCAGAGATGGTCCCAAGTAAATAATGATGGGTCAATCAATCAGCTGGATGGATGCTAAAGGACCACAACAGCTACTTCTCTTTCAGAGACTTGATGAATGGTTGCATTCATGCCCAACCATCACTTAAATTTATAGTAGGGAAGAATTTTTTCCCTCTGGCTAGACTGCCTGGCAACTCTGGTGTTTATTTTTGTGGGAAGAAAAATAGATACAGATCACCCATGTGGGGGTAATTAATAAAAGAGTGTGCTGGACGCCTACCATCCAGAAATGCAGGGCAAGCAAACTCCAGTAAGAAAAAGCCCCAGCAGCAGAGTTTTAAAGTCACAAAAGCAAACAGCATGGGAATATAGGCTGTTAAACCTTTTAAACATCCCATCCTGAGTCTCTACCAGCACTTCCCTGTTTTTAACCCTCTTGCAATGAACAGATCACAACGCTAGTCAGTTCAAACACTTTACTTACAAAACTTACAAAAATGTCAGATTCATGCATTTATCTATGCAGCAGCAAGTAAACACAGTTTAAAATCTTGGGATACAAGACTTCCGGGGTGGTGCCATCGGTAATGGCGGACTCCCTCTGAACTGGAGGGACCAGCTCCGCATGAAACGGGTCTTTTCCGCTACGGCGAAGCGGGGACCCTTCTGGAAATCACAGGCGGATGAAGCCTGTGACCGTGGGACTCGGTGGGCACCCTTAGCGCCCCCCCAACCCACAAAGGAACCCACTAACGGGCTCCGAAGCGAAGAGGGGGAAGTGGCGCGGTGCTGTGAGTCAATTGCTTTTTCTGCGGAGCGAAGCCGCATAGCCGTTGCCGGAGAGCGCTGCCTTTTTCCTGGGACAATTTGGCATCTAAAATAACCACCCGTGAGTACTGGAACATTGAACATTTGGACTTTAAATAAGAACTGGCGAAATAGAAAGGAATTTGGACTTTAAAATTTACCTTAATTTGGTACTGAAACGGTAAGGTCTAAACAGGAAGTAGCCAGAATAAAGCAAAGACAACATAAACTAGAGCTTTAAAAATCACTTTCAAAGGATTGGTTTTCATCGTTTAAAATCGCTGAACCCCCCTTCGGCAGCAGGAGAAGAAGGGGGATCTTTTTTGGGCTGTTTAAACCTGCAGAAGTGAGTTTAAAGCAAAGTAATTTTCCACCGTCCTGATCCTGGAGCGGGGTTTCAGAATTGACGTTTGAAGCTCATTGACCAGAAACAAATGTTATTGACAGATAATTAAAAGAAGAGAAACATAGTGATTCCATTGTTTCCTTTCGCATTTTAAAAAGAACAAATATGGACAAAATACCTTAAAAAAGAAACTTTGTTGCTATTGTTTTTAAAAGAAAGAACAATCAGAAGATTTCCCCCTAGAGGGGGACTGTGAAATTGTAACTAATTCCTGGGAGCTTGCAGCTGCCACAGATTACAACCGTGGGAAAGGATTTGTGACCTTGCAGGACAATGTCTTCAGAAGCACTGTTGGGTGCTCTCTGCAAAATAAATGCCCTATTGGATCAGTTAAGCCAGAAGACGGATTTGATGACTAATGCTGCCAGAACCTTTGAACAGGTAGTGGGAAATTATATGGAGCCCACCCAGGAGCTAAAACAGGAGTGTGCCATGACAGAACAGCTGAGAGAAGAGGATGCTGCTGAATCTTGGGCGCCAGAGACGGGGGAGCTGCGGCCCAGCAGGAACATAAATTTTTGGATTTGACAAATGAACTTGGAAAAAACCAGACTTGGAAAGATAAAGTTTGGTTTGGTTTGGAAATGGGGGGTTGGACAGACCCCCCTATACAGGAGATTTGGACTTTTCGAGTCTGGCAATGGGCCGTCAGATGTTTGGAGCTGTGGGGGCTCTCAATTTTGGAGGGAATCTGAAACATGTTTTTAAATACCACATAGAGTCTAGTCTGGACTATGGAAAAGGATTAATTTACTTTCTTGGGATATTTTTTGTAATCCATTTGTCTTCAGAAATCGGTCTATATCCATTTCCTTCTGTGGCCCTTGTGTATATAGTTGTTTAAAATGCCTCTGGAAACAATTTCTAATTGTTGGGTTATGTATATTCTTTCCTTCCACTTCTAAATTTGTAATAGTATTTAGTTTTTGTCTTTTTTTTCATTTGCCAGGCCAGCAATTTCCCACATTTGTTGGCTGATTCAAATTTTTTTGTCTCATTTGTTTAATTTTCCATTCTATTTCTTGATTCATCATTTCCATATATTGTACTTGGTATAACTTTATTTCTCTTGGACTATGGAAAAGGGGCTGATTTGTTGAAAAGGGTCAAAAATATTACCAAGCTGGAGTTCCCACGAATGAAAGGAAAATATGAAGAAGAGCTGCGGAAAGGACATGGAAGAGACTTGAGGGCTTCAGATATAAGATTACCAGGTTAATGTGCTAGATTAATAGGATAAAAAGGACTGACAAAACCCGGGACCAGGAGGAAGGGACGCTGGATAAAGATTGGATTGTTTATTTCTTTTTATTATTATTATCATTAGGATTGTTCTATAAAATTGATGAATGCTAGAAAAATGTTGAAATGAAATTACTTGGCTCTTGTAAAAATGTCTAAAGAATTTGGTAAGAATGTTATGGTTAGGAGAAGTTGGTAAAAATAAGATTTAAGTTTTAAACTTTAAGGTTTTCTATAAGATGAAAATAGATTAAGGTAATGTAATGACAGAATACTATGAATTATGGAAAGGATTTGCTGCGATTATTATTAATCAGGATACAAGAAAAGGGAGGAGGAGGAGGTCAAAGAAAGAAGGTATTGAAAGGGGAGAATTTGAGAATGATGGTTTTTGTTTTTGTTTTATTTTTCTGTTTTGTCTTTTTTGTGTGTAATTTAAAAAAAAAAAATTTCCAATAAATATCATTTTTTTAAAAAAATGAAATCTTGGGATACAAAATATAGTGAGATAGCTCTAAGCATATGGCCTGAGCTTATAGTGAGCAAGCTCAGGTATGTCCTATCTCAGTGAGTTCACATGGTGAGGAAAAAGGACGAACAAAAGAGGAAACAAGAGATGAGGGGCCTAACGTAGCTGAGTCTATGAATACAATTCTGTGGTCTTAACCCCTTCATGCATTAACTAGCCCTAAGCTTGCTTGTTATATTGACTACAATTTCCCACAATTTTTACCAGTGACTTGGATATATCTGGGTTTCACCACCTGGCCTTCCCTCCCCCCCAAAAACCCCCAAACTTCTGCTTTGTATTTAAGGCAGACCAAAGGATTTATTACTATAAAGCAAAACTGGTGGAATTTATTTCACCTGCCAACAGAAGGACAACAAGGAGGGAGCCAGTCTAGCTTCTCCAGGAAGGAAGTTCCAGGGTCTGGAAGCAGCTACCAAACTGCCTGTGAGGGTGTTTGGACTGAGAGAAGGGCCTCCCCTGTAGATCTCAAAACCCAGACAGGTTTGTATGAGGGAGTGCCGTCTTTCTGAAAGCTTGGACCTAAGCCGTATAGGGCTTTAAAGGTCATAACCGGTACTTTGAATTGTGCCGAGAAACAGACCAATAGCCAGTGGAACTGTTGTAACAAGAGAAGTCATATGCTCTCTATAACCATCCCCAGTCAGCAGTCTGGCTTCTCTGAGCCAGTTGAAGTTTCTGAGCACTTTTCAAAGGCAGCCCCACAGAGAGCATATTACAGGAATCCAAATAGGATGTAGCTAAGGTGTTTGTCACTGTGTCAAATAAATAAATAAATCCAAAGTGTTACATTTTATGGAGAAAGCACTGATGCTCAAAGTTTAATGTGCTTTGTACTTATCCAGACAATCTTGGGAATATTATTGGGATTTGATTTTTCTCAGGAAGCTTAATAGGACTCATTACATGCTTATAATTACATATACATATAAGTGCAAATTTGGATCGGGATCTTCATTAGCGGTTATTGTAAAGTTATTCTTCCTGTTGTTTTTGATCCTTTGCCATTACTTTCAGTTCAACATAACTTTGGTTTCTTTAAAATGGTCAGGTCTCCTGTCAAAATTGCCTTTCTAAGCTTAGGTATATAAGTGTGTGTGTGTGTGTGTGTGTGTGTGTGTGTGTATACATGCTGCATATGTCAGTGTACGTACATACACTGCTTAAAAAATGTTTTTAACTTTCAAAACTTTATTATGCAGTTAAATTAATAACAACCCAGTAAGGAAAGTAACCCCAAGTCATGTCTCTTATTATTTTTTTGTTGAGTCGAATATGGACTTTCTTTCTGTATCAGGTCGGTTTTTGTTGCAACATCTAATTCACTCCGTGGTCTCTTGAGAATGTTCTTTATTTTATGTGGTAGTGGCTGTGAACCCTGCGGGGGTTCCCCCCTTCTTTTTTAGTTATTTTATTTCACACTTCTTCCTGCTTTCAAGATCTGAGATGCAGCTAGCAAAGAGATAAGTGCTTGATAGTGACTTGTAACCTGAAGCCAGAGTGTCACTTTCCAATCACAAGGCTCTCAAGTTGGGACATGAATTCCATTGAACGGAGATTAATACCAGCTGTCAAAAATATGCCATAAATGAGGGCCCCAGTCCCTGCAAATGTGCTTTGGTTTCACTGAACAGCACTGTGCAAGAAAAAATCCAAGTGATTTTCTTCCCGTAGTGAAAATACAAGATTTACAATACAATAGAAAGCATACACAGAACAACTGCATATATATATATATATATATATATATATATATATATAGTGAAGCATTTTCATATATAAAACAATTATATATGTAAAACAATTGTAAAACGACAACGCATGTAGAATCAATTCACATCCATCACAGATACAGATAAAAGTCTCCGCTTAGGATTGTTGTAAAGGGAACGTGTTGAAAGGACAATAGAAAAGCATCCAATAATTGGGCTATTGTCGTTTAACCATTTTTTGTTCAGTTCATTTGTATCTTTTAGTTCAAACCCCGCCCCCCAATTTCTCCAAATGGCTAACCAACAACAATTAACAAAATGCCACAAAACATGGTTTTAAAAACAGTGATATTAAAGCCAGCTTCAAATAACATCAGGTATTTAAAAAAATAAAAAATTACAGCTGTAGTTAAAGGAGGCCTCTCCAAAAAGTAATTTACAGAACTAAATGTGCATTCTCACATCCAAAAAAGCTAAGTTAAGCTTTATACCAGGAGTGTCCATAACTTAAGCTTGTAGGGTCTACTTTGATTTTTACTAGATCTCTGAGATCCACCAACCAGAACCAGTGTAAAAAAACATACACCAAAGCCGCAATCTATACAGTGGTACCTCGGGTTAAATACTTAATTCGTTCTGGAGGTCTGTTCTTAACCTGAAACTATTCTTAACCTGAGGTACCACTTTAGTTAATGGGGCCTCCCGCTGCTGCCGCACCGCCGGAGCACGATTTCTGTTCTCATCCTGAAGCAAAGTTCTTAACCCGAGGTAATATTTCTGGGTTGGCGGAGTCTGTAACCTGAAGCGTCTGTAACCTGAGGTACCACTGTACATGCTTACCTAGAAGTACAAGACCACCAACGGATGTGCCAACTGGGACCCTTAGACTTTCAGCTTTCTTTTTTTAAAAAATACAATAAAATATGTAAGTCTCTACCCTCCCCCCCCCCGCCCCAAAAGTTATGAAGCTAAATGTTTAGGTACTCTTCTAAACAAATTGTGTCAGTTAGTCAGCCTGGCTGCTCCCATCTAGCCAATGAGCGAAGGTAGAGCTGTGATTGACAGATGAATTCTGTGGGTTCCTAAAGAGCTGCTGTTTTGCCATGCCTTTTAGTGCAACACACACCCCCCTTTCTGGTTTATTTTGCAGTCTGTGGATTTCTGTATTTTGCCCTTCTTTCCCCCTCCCCCTCTAACAACCAAGATGTATCTTTTCTGTGGTGGATTTGTCTGAGATAAGGGATTCCCTAGGAGTTATTTTGTGTTTAGCATGGCTTGCTGACCCCCAGGTAAGTGAGGGCAGGATTACAGCCTAGGCTTTCGTTTAGGTCTGGCATTGGGGCAAAGCATAGTTCCTGGGCATTTAACAGTAGTGTGGCAGGCAGAAATCCAACAGGTTGAGCATCTTCTTGTATGCACATTTATGCACATTTAACTTGCACACATTCAGCTTTACACGCTTGGCAATTAAAAAAACCTTTTTTGAAAAAAATAAATAAACAGGTCTTGCTTCTGAGGAGATAGCAATAGGATTGCACTGTTAGAATTACAGGATTTTGAGCCCAGGAATTCGTTGTGCCAGAACTGAACTGATACTGAACTTGTTCTTCCCTGCTTTGAACAGTGTTCAGTTAATACATCCTGACTCATGAAAGGCAAGATACCAAGCTACAGTTGACCTTGGGGCTAGAAGCTCAACATTGTCCATCATGCCTAATAATTAACTTCCAACGGAAGATACGAAATGCTTTCTTAATACTCTTGTAGTTAAAGGAAACTATGGTGTCTGTTCTGTGTAACACAGCTGGATGTAAAATGATCACAAAGATGAATTTCTCTTTGAGGTAATGTTCCCCTTAAGGCTTAGATGAAGGTAATTTGCTGCCAGAACTCTAAACCTGTGTGCATGTGGCTGTAAAACGTTTGTCCAGAGTTGGATGTAATGCCCTGAAGTTCTATTTAAGGAGTCTGACCATATATGAAAGGTACAGTGTGGCTTCATCTAAAATAACACATTTTATTTAGGAGCATATGGTAGGTGGCAGTGGAGATGCGGTGTGTGACCTGAAGAATTACAAAGTTTCAGATATGCCTGTATTTTTTATTACTATACTGTGAGGAATGATCCAGCCCAGCCAAAGCACTTCTGTCACATTGAGAGAGTAATGGAAGAGATTCAATGGGGTCACGAAGAGTCGGACACGACTAAACAACAACAACAAATTCTACTGAAATTAATGCGTGGCAGAAGTGCTTAACTTTGGATAGATGATGCCCTGTCCCCTGTGTGTTTTCTGTTGATTGTGAAAGTCTACAGCTGAAACAGACTATCAAAAAGTTCCTTAGAAATAAAACATCATTATTTTTGCTGGGGTTGGGAAGAGTGCAAATCTGAAGCTATCACCCTGGCAGAAACCTAGAGGTGGCATCAAGTAAATGGATTTTTACACTCTCAGAGTTGATTCTCTGATGTTTATTTTGTTGTTGTTGTTAAGTCGTTTAGTTGTGTCCGCCTCTTCATGACCCCATGGACCAGAGCACACCAGGCACTCCTGTCTTCCACTGCCTCCCGCAGTTTGGTCAAACTCATTTTAGTAGCTTTGAGAACACTGTCCAACCATCTCATCCTCTGTTGTCCTCTTCTCCTTGTGCCCTCAATCTTTCCCAACATCAGGGAGTCTTCTCTTCTCATGAGGTGGCCAAAGTATCGGAGCCTCAGCTTCAGGATCTGTCCTTCCACTCAGGGCTAATTTCCTTAAGAATGGATAGGTTTGGTTTTCTTGCAGTCCATGTAAAGTAAAGAAAGAACAAAACCCAAACTCCAGTTTTCCTTAATAGACATGACTCATTCTATGCTTGAAGGCTAACAAACAAGTTATGGATTAAGGTGTGCTAGAACCAAGAATGCTAATATTAAATAAATATATGATAAAAAGATAAAGGCAAAGGATCCCTGGATGGTTAAGTCCTGTCAAAGGCAACTATGGGGTTGTGGCACTCATCTCGCTTCAGGCCAAGGGACCTGACGTTTGTCCACAGACAGCTTTCCAGGTCATGTGGCCAGCATGACTAAACCACTTCTTGTGCAACAGGACACTTTGATGGAAGCCAGAGACAACGGAAACGCCATTTACCTTTCCACCACAGTGGTACCTATTTATTTACTTGCACTGGCATGCTTTTGAAATGCTAGGTTGGCAGGAGCTGGGACAGAGTAATGGATTTGAACCGCCAACCTTCCAGTCAGTAAGCCCTAGAGGTTCAGTGGTAATACCCTCTTGTGAGTGTCATAGGAAACTCTCTTATACTGAACCAGATCACAGGTATTGTCTGCCCTAATTCCAGGATTTCAGGAAAGTCTTTCCCAGCCCAGCTGAAGATGCTGGAGACTGAGTTAAGGATCTTCTGAATGCAATGCAGGTCTTCTATGGCTGTGCTATGTCCCTTCCTCAGAGGAAGGTCAGTGTGGGATAGTGGGTGGTGTGTTGGACCATAGCTGAAGGTTACCTGTCAGAGGACTTCAGTTTCCAGAACCTGTAGCAAACTACAGTTCCCAGGATTCTTTGGGGGAAGCATATGCTTTAAATGTACTGTGTGGATGTGAATTTCAAATCACTGTAGGTGAATCTAGGCTGGTCACTTTCTCTTAACCCAATCGACTCCACAGGCATGGGCGTAGCCAAGAAGGGGCAGCTGCCTTGTCCCACCCCCCCATCAAGTAAAACAATTGAAATACTTAACTGACCAATCACATTAGTTCTGCCCCCCCAACAAAAGTCCTGCCCCCCCCCAAAAAATCTTGGCTACGCCCATGTCCACGGGGTAGTTGCAAGGATAAATTGGGGGTGGGTGAGAGCCAAGTCCTTTCTGAATTCCCTGGAGGAAGTACGGGATAAACAGAATTTTTAAAATCTTCACCCCCTGCTCGATTTAAGTGCTGCCTCTTGGTAGCAATTTCTCAGCATTTCCAAGGCCTTGCTTCAACAGGAAATGCATCAAAAGCAGGGTGAACTGTCCGTTGCCACGCTGTTCAGTTCTTTGCAAAGAACACCAAGGACTCAGCTGTACAGCTGCAAATAAAACGTTTTAAGCGCAATGTGCAATGTGACACTGGATGGCGATGGTGAGCCTTATGGAAAATTCAATGTATTTTTTAAAACACTTTTTTAAAAAAGCATTTTCAGAACTTTTTTTTTAATGTGCGTAGATTCCACCCAAGTGGGTCTTTGGAGAAATGGCTCTTGGGCCAAGTTGTGTTTGAAGGAGCACTTTCACTCTGTTTACATCTACTGAGATGTGTCACTGTTTCTCTCTCTATTCTGCTTCCACATCCACATGTACAGTGGTACCTCAAGTTACAGATGCTTCAGGTTACAGACTCCACTAACCCAGAAATAGTACCTCGGGTTAAGAACTTTGCTTCAGGATGAGAACAGAAATCGTGCTCTGGCGGTGCGGCCATTAGCTAAAGTGGTGCTTCAGGTTAAGAGCAGTTTCAGGTTAAGAACAGACCTCCAGAACGAATTAAGTTCTTAACCCGAGGTACCACTGTACTGTACTCCCAACAGCCACCAGCAATGGGAAATGGCAGAAAGCCAGGATCACACCAAAGCCAAAATCCTACGTGAAGAAGCACAAGCACAACTGAACCTGCCTGAGAACACATCCCACTGAATATAAATAAGACTGACACCTGAGTAAACCTATAGAATTGGACAGTATGGCTGCAATCTTATGCATACTTACATGGGAGTAAGCCTCATTAAGGACAGTAGAACTCTGTATGATACAAATAACAATCTTGCTGAAGCTTGTGTGAAATCTATTTAGCAGATGAGTGAGGAAATCCTAGCTAAATCCTGCCTCACTCAGAAACTCCCCTCTCTGGGGTTGCATTTCCACTACACACTTACTTGGGAGCAAGTCACATTGAATTCAATGGGGCTTACTTCTGAGTAGGAAAGTCAGTGTGTTATTGTCCCTCCCCCCACCCCCAGCTCGTCGAAGAGAGTGAAATATGAAAGTGATACAAACAGCATAGGGATAATACAGAAGGACAGATCACTAGAAGGACAGATTGTGAAGCTGAGGCTCCAATACTTTGGCCACCTCATGAGAAGAGAATACTTCCTGGAAAAGACCCTGATGTTGGGAAAGATTGAGGACACAAGGAGAAGGGGACGACAGAGGGCGAGATGGTTGGGCAGTGTTCTTGAAGCTACGAACATGAGTTTGACCAAACTGCAGGAGGCAGTGAAAGACAGGAGTGCCTGGTGTGCTCTGGTCCATTGGGTCACGAAGAGTCCGACACGACTAAACGACTAAACAACAACAACCTTTCAGGCTTGTTGTAGCAATTTCTGAGATAATGACTGCAAAGTGTTTTGAACACATAAAGCACTTGCAAGTCCTTCTTGGCAGCCAAAAGCCAAAGTAGAAATCATTTTAAACATAGAATAAAACAAAAGCTTAGCAGTATTATTACTGCAGAAGCAAACAAACACAGGTTCTTATACCAAGGTCTCTGGAGATATGAGTGTCAGTGGTACAAAGCATCTTTCTTCCAGCACTCCTGAAGTTGCATTATGTGCTTCCCTAAAATGAAAACAGGGACGCGGGTGGCACTGTGGGTTAAACCACAGAGCCTAGGACTTGCTGATCAGAAGGTCGGCGGTTTGAATCCACGCGACGGGGTGAGCTCCAGTTGCTCGGTCCCTGCTCCTGCCAACCTAGCAGTTCGAAAGCACGTCAAAGTGCAAGTAGATAAATAGGTACCGCTCCAGCGGGAAGGTAAACAGAGTTTCCGTGCGCTGCTCTGGTTCACCAGAAGCAGCTTAGTCATGCTGGCCACATGACCCAGAAGCTGTATGCCGGCTCCCTCGGCCAATAAAGCGAGATGAGCGCCGCAACCCCAGAGTCAGTCACGACTGGACCTAATGGACAGGGGTCCCTTTACCTAAAATGAAAACAACTCAGAAAAATCCTGAACAGGAAGAGAAACATAAGTATCTGTAGCTCAGATGAGATAATCGGATTCATTCCCCCCTATAAAAAGTATCCCTCCCTCCCCCAGTTTTTCGAAGGAATCTCATAGACTGAGTTTGGCACTACACATCTGCTGTTATTGCAGCTCTCCATCCTTCAAACCACAAAAGACTGGCACAAAACATTAATTACGAAGAGCAGCCCTGATGATCTCAAGCAGGGAGTCTTGAACAGCCTCTCAAACACACAGAGGGAAACCAAGGAAGGAGAATAATTAGATCCTCAAGACTTGGCTTTATTCGTTTTTTCCTTTAACTAACAGATAAATGGGAAAGCAGTACTGCTCTCAGATTTACATCTGGCATCAAGTCACAGTTTGAAATATTTGCTACAAAGCCTCTTGAGGATCTGTAGCAGTTTTCTTATGAGAGTGATAGGAATAAAGAGAGGAATGAGCAAGTTAATATTTACAAACATTCTGTTGTTTTGCAGTCTGTGTGTGCATTTTTATTTATTTTTTGGTGGTTTGGCAAACACCTGGGGTTACCCAAGCTTTCCAGTTGGGCTGCTTCCCGTTTCTGTTGGCAGTCAATACCTGACCTCAGAATTACAGGGAGTCAAAATGCTCACATTGCTGGGATCTTCTTAAAAAAGGTGCCTTCTATCAGCAACAGAACAGCTACAAGTAGCTTGCAACCCTGTCAAGTTGCAGTCCTTTATCATGGATGGGTAGAATCTCTAAAATGTTTCGCCTTGCACATTATATAGAAATGATTGGGTATTAATCACACAACCCGAGAGGTGCTGAAAAGCAACAGTGCTTTTCATTTTAAAGCGCAAGACTGTGTACCTGGCCTGACCAGGGCCGGATTTAGGTTTTGATGAGGCCCTAAGCTACTGAAGGTAATGGGGCCCTTTGTATGTCCAGCTGTCCTTTGTCAACAACAAATTGTTGCTGTTTTTTTGTGCTGAATATAGGCTAATCTATGGACCTATCAGGTATCTGAAGCCATTTGCACATAACAAAATATGTATTTTTTGGAAACGTACATTCAGGGTTTTTTTCCTTTAATTTTTTTTTGGGGGGGGGGCTCAAGAGAATGGGGCCCTAAGCTATAGATTGTTAAGCTTCTACGTAAATCTGGCGTTGACCTCCGCAGCGCACCAAGGCAAAGGCAGGAAAACGGACGGGGAGAGAGAGATCCGGCTTCCTCCTCTCGCCCGCAAGATCTCCGGTTGCCACGGGAGCAGCCTGCCGCCTGCGGGCGAGCGCGGTGCCTGCGCCAACTGGCCGCTGCTCCCAACAGTCGCGGGCGGCTTGAAAGTAAGCAGCGCGCACGCCGAGGCGCACCCGGAGGGGCGGCGCGACGGCGGTCTCCACTGATTGGCCGCCGCCTATATAGGCTCGGCAAGCGGCGCCCGGGAGCCACTTCGAGTCCTTGCCCACTAGTCCCCACCTGCGCTGCGCCGGGAAGGAGCAGGGCGCCCCCTTCAGGCACCAAGGAAGAACCGCCCGCGTCAGCCTCCGCTGCGGGTGGGGAAAGGCAGGTGGGCAAAGGCGCGGCGAGGGTCCGCGGGGGTCCCCGGGCAGAGTTTAGGGAGGCGCTGCCAGGGTGGCTGGGTGGGTTGGTAGCTTTCCTGCGGGTGTCTTTGAAGACCGGGCTTCGTTTCGGGGAGGGTCCGAGCGTTCACAGCACAGGTGCCTTGGGGCAATCGCTGGAAACAGTGGACTAGAAACTTGGGACGTTGGAGACAGTGGACTAGAAACTTGGGACGTTGCCTTTGGTCCATGTAGCTGAACATAGTCCATATTTCTAGCATTTCAGATAAGGGAGTGTTCCTTCCCAGTCCTACCTGGAGGGGCTGGGGATGGAACCAGCGGTCTCAAAGCTTTATCATGGATGGGTAGAATCTCTAAAATGTTTTGCCTTGCACATTATATTCTACTCCTGAGCCACAGCCCTTGCCTCACTTAGTGATTCCCAAGTAGACCCGTCTGCAGTTATTGCCTCCAGCATCCTGTGTAATTTGTAACTGGCGCTGCCTGCGGGCGGGCTGAGATGGGCCCAGGTCACTTGCTCCAGGGTTGTGTGACCACAATGCTATTACAGCTCTCTATGGGAGCACCTGCTCATCTTTCAGCTGCCACAGGACCAGCAGAAAAGGAGCTCTGTTTTTTTAGAAAATGGTGCTGCAGAGTGGAAGGGGTTTGTGTTTTGAATAATAATAAAAAACTTGCTCTGTAATATCTCTTAATAGAGTTATCAAATCCCAGAACAGGCTTGTGTAAACTTAGTAAAGGTAAAGAAAGGGTAAAGGATCGCTGGATGCTTAAATCTGGTACCACAGTCCTATGTTATATTTGGCAGTAAGTTTCACCGAGTTCAGCAAGGCATGCTTCTGGCAAAGGTGATGCATCCCTTATTTCTCGACATGTTTACTTGGAGGTAAATCCAGTGGCACTTTGTTCTTAGCCTTAGAGTTTGGGGGACCTTCAACTGTGAGCCACCTTTGCTGATTTAATCCCATTGGTTTCAGCGAGGTAAAGCTATTTGGTGGAAGGATGCCAGTTTTAAAGAAACATGTAATGCCAAGGTTGCTTTCATCTCACAAACTCTTTAATAACTTTCTGGGGGCTAAGGATACTGCAGTATTTTGTTTGTTACATTTATATCCCACCTTTTCCTCCATGGAGCTCAAAGTGGCATATGTGGTTTTCCCGCTCCCCAGTTTATCCTTACAACAACCCTGTGAGGTAGGCGAGACTGCGATGGCTCAAGGTCACCCAGTGAACACCATGGCTGAGTGAGCATTTGAACCTTGCCTGATGGTTGTGGCCCAACTCTAATATTGCCAGGGTTTTGTTATTTTCAAACAAGTTCCTCCCCCTGTGCTTAGGGCTTACTGCGCTGAGTCTTGCGTCTCGCACACATTTCTCTGTGTACCTCAGTTGCTTTTATGGAGGGTCACTGAAACACTAGTGAGAGAGCAAAGATAAGAGAAGGCAGGCTTGTACAAACAAAGCTACGGGAAGATTTCCGTTTTCTAAGAGTCAAGTCAGAATCAACTTCAGGGTTGGGTTGCTCTTGAAGGGAGTCAATCTGAGGATATTGTCAGAAATTGGGTGCATTCAGGTATTACATTAGTTTTTCTGATTTTAGTGCTACAGCCTCTGTGCCGTTTCCTAACATACCTTTCACAATGCAGTAACTCTGGCTTTTTGACTGAGATACGGGCATGTCTCAGTAAACTTCATTTACACCAGTGGGGGTGGTGTGACACAACAACAAATGTCACTAGACAACGTTGCTACTCCTCACACTTCCTGCACATGCATGCTTCAGTTTCCTCATGATTCTCCTATGAAAACGGCAGGAAGGAACAACTGTATGCCGCCCCAAATCTTGTCACTGCTCTCGTGATTTTCTAGGTTAATTGGGCTGCAAATCTATTTTTTTCCCCCTGGAAGCAATTAATACAGAAAGGGAGCACTAAAGTTCCACTGCATTCTGCCAGGTTTCTGGAAGTGGCTGTCATATTGGGTAGAAGCTCAAATATAATGCAGGAATTACCGTAATAGTTAGGGAAACGGAAAGGACTGCCTTGTGGGTGCAGCCTCAATGTGTGTTTCTTTGTCTTTCCAGCATCAGCTGCTGACCCTGAGGAAATGCATTGCAGCAACAATGGTGATGAGAAGGCAAAAGATGAGCTTTGGGATGCCCTGCCGGTTGTTGTACAGCCTCGAACCAATCAAAATCTCCACCAAAGAGCTATTCTGGGGGAGCTGACGGAAAATGGGCAGTGTTTGAGACCCTCTGTCCAGGTAAATCAAGGAGGACTGGGATTCCTGGATAACTCATACGGAAGATTCTTTTATCACCTGGGCTTAGGAAATCAGAGATTTATTTTTTTGGAGTGGTAAAGGTGGGAATAAATGGACCAATGGTCTGTCTGTGTAAGGCAGCTTCCTAGGTTCAGTAGCTGTTTGCTACTTGTTTTGAGGCTCACTAACCAACCTAGCAGTTCGAAAGCACGTCAAAGTGCAAGTAGATAAATAGGTACCGCTCCAGCGGGAAGGTAAACAGAGTTTCCGTGCGCTGCTCTGGTTCGCCAGAAGCAGCTTAGTCATGCTGGCCACATGACCCAGAAGCTGTACGCCGGCTCCCTCGGACAATAAAGCAAAATGAGCGCCGCAACCCCAGAGTCGGCCACGACTGGACCTAATGGTCAGGGGTCCCTTTACCTTTACCTTTAACCAACTAGGAAGGGACAACAACCCTGCAGTTTCATGTTTATCTGCACCCGTGCATCTCTGAAGCACCTTTTCTGCTTACAACTCCACCTTTAAAAGGTTAGCTTTTTTTTCAACTGTAAATGAGAACTGTAAGACACTTTCTGTGTTTAAAAAAAGTGTTATGGCACTTTAAATACTAAACAGATTTTCTAAGGGCGTGAGCGTTCATGGACTCTGGGCAACCCTACAGTTTATTGGTGTTAAATCTAGCCAAGTCACACCCTGGAGTATTGTAATCAAGGGACATAACCAACTTAAGTTGGTCATTCTATTGGGTCTGCTTTGAGCACCCAACTCTTAAGCTACAATTCTAATCCTGTTTACTTGAGAGTAAGCCCACTTGAGTTTATTAGAACTTACTCATGAGTAGACATGGCTAGGGTTGTGGTGGTGTTATTGCTAGCACAGCAACTCCTTTGGGCTTTGTATGTTAAAATGCTGTAGGAATGGCAGGTCAGAGAATAGTGTGACTTGAGGTCCCAGCTGCACTGTACACTTAAAGCAGTTTCGAAAAGGTTGCCCTTCCCTTTGGGGGACGCTATATTTGCTGTCAAACGGCATCCTCTGTAGGAGGTACAGAGCAGCACTGTGAGTTGTTGACTCTTCTTTTGCTCCACTACTACCGACGTATGTTCTTTGGGCTCAACGGCACTCAACGAACTGGGCGACTGTTAAAGGGGTTTGCGCATGGCATGAGCTGTGGAATGTAGGACCACTGGAAAATGCATGCACTCTTTTTAACTGCCAGTGGGTCAAGTACTACTGAAAGGTTCCATCTTCAGTTTCTTGGAAACTTGAAGCGAGGGATTGAGAGGGACTAGAAGTCTTTCTCTCTGTGGTTTTCAGTGGGACTTAAGAATTCAGCATCTGCCCTGTTTTAGAGATATAGGTTTTTGCTGTTGTGCCAAGGAGGAGTGTTGAGCCACCAAACAGTTCTTTATGGGCTAGGCTTCCTCAACCTCGGCCCTCCCAATGTTTTTGGCCTACAACTCCCATGATCCCTAGCTAGCAGGACCAGTGGTCAGGGATGATGGGAATTGTAGTCTCAAAACATCTGGAGGGCCAAGGCTGAGGAAGCCTGGTTTAGCATGTTATGTATCATGTTATCAACCATACACCTCTCTGTCTTTCATCCAAGCAAGCAAGAGGTAATCTCAGAGCTCAAGGACATATCCCCGCCAATCAAAAACACTCAAGGAGGGTTCAAAGCAGGGCTGGTAGGGAGTGTGGCTGGACGGGTGGTGTCGCCTGGAGAGAGAGAGAGTACTGAAGGCTAGGTAGAGAGACTTGGAGGACTGCATTTGGCCCCTGGGCATTACCTCCCTATCCATACTCTAGGCCAGTGTTTCCCAGACTTGGGTCTCCATCTGCTTTTGGACTACAACTCCCATCATCCCTAGCTAGCAGGACCAGTGGTCAGGGATGATGGGAAGTGTAGTTCAAAAACAGCCAGAGACCCGACCCAATTTTGGGAAACACTGCGCAGTCTAGGCTGTTATCCTGCCTTTCAAAAGTTTGGCAATTGATCATAACCATGACTTTCAGAGGACTTTATCAGACGCATAGAGTGTTGTCTTCAGAGACATTTTAAGTGTGAGAGATAATATGTATTATGCGCATATGGGTGGAGAGAATTGTAAACTGTGGAGGGTCAAAACACCATGAAATGCAAGAGACTGTGAAAGAGGTCACTTGTATGCATAGTAAGCAGAGCGTGATGGACTATGTCGAAATGGCAAAAATTAACTGGGAAGCTCAGAATTCAAGAAGCCAAGAACATAAAAAAAAAGGGAAAAGTTTACAATTTATATATGAGATCATTGTAAGCAGGTTAAAACATTGGCAGGATTTTAACCACACTTGTAATGTAACGGAATGTATGGACAATTTAGAAAGACAAAAAATTGGAGAAGTATTGATAGGCAATTGAAAATATTATCAACAGGACCCATGGAAGGGATGGGGAGGAAGTCAGGAGATTCAGAATAATCTCAATATTTGGATTCTGAATTGGTTTTTGTTGTATGTTTATACAGTGGTGCCCCGCAAGACGAATGCCTCGCAAGACGGAAAACCCGCTAGACGAAAGGGTTTTCCGTTTTGGAGGTGCTTCGCAAAACAAATTTCCTATGTGCTTGCTCGCAAGACTAAAATGTCTTGCGAGTTCCTGCGGGCTTTTTCCTCCCCCTTTTTCCCAAGCGGCTAAACCGCTTATCAGCTGATCGGCTAAGCCGCTTAACAGCTGATCGCTAAGCCGCTTATCAGCTGATCGTTAAGCCGCTTATCAGCTTATCGTTAAGCCGCTTAACAGCTGATCCGCTAAGCCGCTAATACTGTAGCGCTAATCCGCTAAACCGCTAATGGGCTTGCTTCGCAAGATGAAAAAACCCGCAAGACGAAGAGACTCGCGGAACAGATTCTTTTGCGTCTTGCGAGGCACCACTGTACATTTAAAAAATAATTTAAAAAATTATATTAAAAAAGTAAGCAGATCTGCCGTCCACAGCCATGTGAGGTTTGTGTAAAAATGCCACTGGCCCCCTTGGCCTTGTGTGGCCTTTTGGCCTTATTTTTTCCTCCCTGTGTGTGTTATAACTATGTGTAAAAGATAAGGTGTTCTGTTGTGCCAGAAGTGGTTTAGTCATGCTGGCCACATGACCCGGAAAGCTGTCTGTGGACAAATGCCGACTCCCTTGGCCTGAAAGCAAGATGCATGCTGTACCCCTTAGTCTCCTTTGACTGGACTTCACCATCCAGGGGTCCTTTACCTTTACCTTTAACTTTACCTATAACTTTGTGTACCAACTGAGGGCAATGCTTCTGTATCGAAATTGTGGACTTCCATTTCCAAAGGTTTGTGCTGCAGTTAAATTCATGTCTTTTAAAAATGCTACAAGACTAGCCTGGCTGAACCACTTTGGCTGAGCTCCCCACCCTCCCACCCCGTCTCTGTCTAGCTTGAAACGCCTGGTATTCAGTCATGGAAATTACGGGCACAGTGTCTCTACTGCTGAATGGTAAATAGCCACACCATGCAGTGTTCTGTACTGATATGGAGTACTAATGATGGTTGCTTCAAAACCAAAATATCTTCTGGTGCTGGATTGCCAGGGCTCTCTTGGAATACTGATTTGCCGTTAACTTTAGTCTCTGTTTCTTGTTGGAGTTTTCCAGATCATCAGTAGGCTGCCTTCTGCTTCAGACTCTTCCTGGCCCACCTTCTTTCGCAATGCATTAACTTGTTATGTACTAAGCTTGGATCCTAGAACAATAGGCAGGTAGGATCCTAGAATGCAACAACTGATTGGCCTGCAGGAGGAGACCAATCAGGCTCCAGGAGGGGAGCAGAATCAGCCAATCAGACAGGACTCATTGTGTAAATAATGTGTATAAAGGCCTGAGGTTTGGGGGGGAAATTGAATCACTGTTTTACAAGCTGCAATAAAGAGCATGAAATCACTGCAGGACTCTGAGTATATTTCACTTGTGCTTCGGTGTACTAGGATGCAGTTTAAACAAGTCGCACACCCTTTGGTGTGAACAAGCCAAGACTCCTTCCATAGCTTTTTGCAAGCAGCTATGTTTTCTTACCAATGAGCAACCAAGTAGGAAGCAGCATAAGATTAAAACTCCTGCACTATTGTCAGTGGCGTATTCACTGAGAGATTAGTGTCACAGACTTGTACCTACATTCTGCCCACTCCTCCTTGTATTCTTGCAAGTTCTGTGCAGCTACATTGGAATGTAGGAGTGTTTTTCGGCTTGATCTGGGAAAGACCTCTCGCATTTCCCTTGTCCCGCTGGCCCTCAACAAGAAAGAGCACCATGGGCTCCCAAACTACAGTTTTGGGGAACTGAAGGCTTTCAGAGGCCACAATCCATATGCCTTGCCCTACCCTCCAGCCTTCATAAGGGAGCTGTTTCCAGAAGCACTGTGAGAGGAATGAAACTTTGCGCTGGCCATCAGGCAAGGGCTTTTTCTACCTGCCTTGTTCCACCCTTCAGCCCTAGGGGCCTTACGAAGGGAGTTGCTGCCAGGGGCATTATGTGTATGTGTCTTTTGATGAATTGAGTGGAAGATTGAGTCGTGGGGGTGGAGAGAGTCAGAGAAATTCAACAGTGCTTAGTTTGTTTTTGGTTGCTAGGCTGTGAATCATAGAATTGTAGAGTTGGAAGAGACCATGGTGGTCATCTCATCCAACCCCCTACAATGCAATGCAGAAATCTTTCACCCAACGTGGGGCTTGAACCCACAACCCTAAGATTAAGAGGCTTATGCTCTACCTACTGAGCTATCTGATATCAGAAAGCCAGGATTGTTAAGTTGTGGGTGAACATATCAGACGACACAGTGATTCTTCAAACAGCTCTTGTTTATTCACAGGCCAGAACTGAACTGAACTGAAGGGTTCAGTCAGCCTGCTTATATAGAGCTCCAGTACAACGTAACTGTAACAATTTTCTAAAACTATCCAATCACTGAACGTCACTTTCGATCCCTTATTTGCTTAACTATCTGGCCCAGGGTAAAAACTTCAGTACATAACAAGGATATATTGCCCATCTGTTTTAATTGGCCAGTAAAACATTAAGGGAGCCTGACCAACAGAAATCCTGTGAGAGGACTTCCACATGTGCAAGAGAGCTTTCCTTTGGTTAGTATTGCTTTGTGAATTATGAGTGCTGGAGTACTTTGTGAATCTTATAAGATGACTATTGTTGGGTTTGAGCTGCTTCACTTATAATTTTTTTAGTTAATAGGGCTTTATAGAATGTGTCTGTTTTACTGATTATTTGCCGTTGTTTTGCTGATGATCTGTTAATTACTTTATACGATTCGTGTTGTATTTGTGATGTACAGTGGTACCTCAGGTTGCATACGCTTCAGGTTCCATACGCTTCAGTTTACAGACTCCGCTAACCCAGGAATAATGCTTCAGGTTAATAACTTTGCTTCAGGATGAGAACAGAAATCGTGCTCCAGCGGCGCAGCAGCAGCAGGAGGAGGCCGCATTAGCTAAAGTGGTGCTTCAGGTTAAGAATAGTTTCAAGTTAAGAACGGACTTCCGGAATGAGTTAAGTACTTAACCCGAGGTACCACTGTACTATTACATTGTTGCTATTTATTATTTGCGAGCTGCTTTGTGATTTGTGCGAGCAAAAAGCGGCATAGAAATATTGTAAGCGAACTGAACTGAAATGCGTCTTTTCCTGCACTCCTTGAAGCAGGAATATAGGCTGTCCCTACCAAGAAGATTCTCATTCTTCTTTTCAGGGAGCAAACAGGCTGAGAGGCTTCTCTGGATCCGAAAATGTCTGTCCTGCTTTAACTACTGGCAAGAATATGATGCCCGTCTGCGTGGCGTCCAAACAAAGTTTTGCTGTTTACAGAGATGAAGTGGAAGGGAAAAACAGGTACAGCTGTATGGCTGTGGAAGAATCCAGCATGTGTGAAGTTGATACCTGCACCCGAAGACCTAACATTCACCTGCTGCTAAGCTTGAGTACAGGTACGTCCAATGGCCTAGCAGGGGCAGTGTTGGTGATGGTAGAAACCTGTGACCCTCCAGAGGTTGTTAGCCCTTGGCCAGTAGCCATTCTGGCTGGGGCTGATGTGAGTTGGGCTCCAACAATATCTGGAGAACCATCGCCTACTAAGCCTTCTTTTTAAATTACAGTGTATGTTGCCTATAACATCCAAGAAATCTAAGGGTTTATGACTTCTGCTGATGGAAGCATACGCTGAAACTAATGGCTAACTTAACATTTTTAAAATATATTTAAAAAATCATTCTTCCTGGTAATTTGTTGGTGAATCCAGGCTCTCCGATGCTGGTGGATAAGTCGTTGCAGTCCCAAGATGAGGATCTTCAGTGTTATAAAGAGGACGTCATGTGTGCTGCGGAATATGCAGAAGATATTCATCGCTACTTGAGAGAAGCTGAAGTGAGTGGCACTTTTAAGGAGCTCACTGTAGCCTTGGCTCAGAGATAGCACCAGTGCAACATGCACTCTGCATCCTCACTTCTTTCTAATATTCACGCCGTGAGTATGTACTTTAGCTTATGGAGCCTAAATTGCACTCAAATGCAAGTTTAGTCCTGTCCTCTGGAGGAACAATCTCAGTTTAGTATCATGGACACCTTGAATTCAAACTTCCTGTAAATTAACTCACAGAGGGGCTTCACACACACACACACTTACACCTCCTTATTCTGAGGCCGAACTCTTTCCATGCAGGTGAAATACAGACCCAGAGCATGCTACTTGAGGAAGCAGCCTGATATCACCTCGAGTATGCGTGCAATCTTGGTGGACTGGCTGGTAGAAGTCGGTGAAGAATATAAGCTTCGTACTGAAACGGTGTACCTTGCTGTGAACTACTTGGACCGGTTTCTCTCTTGCATGTCTGTCCTCAGAGGAAAGCTTCAGCTTGTGGGAACAGCGGCAGTACTCCTAGCTGCGTAAGTAGGCTTGGCGTGAATGAGCAAACCTTTGGCAGATGACAACTGTTTAGGGCTACCTGGTGAGACTTGTCTGGATCTGTCTCTCGAGTGCTCATGTGTCCTAGCAAAGGCAGGAAGCCACTTTTTCCAAGTTAGTCTATCTAGCTCATGGGTGAAGGGACCTGCAGCTCTCCAGCTAGACTCCAGCTCCCATCATTCCTTGCCACTGGCAATACCGGCTGAGGCTGATGAGAGCTGGAATCCGTGTAGATGGCTGCAGGTTCCCCGCGCCATTCTAGGTCATTACTGGCTACACCCCTGTGTTACAAACAGGGCTATTGTCCAGGCCAAATTGGGAGATGCCAAGAATTGAAGCCTGGCGCCTTCTCCATTGTGCTCTGCCAATGGACTACAACCCTGTTTCCCCATAGAGATACTTGGAGAGTGGGCTAACAGTCTTAAATGTTGAAGGACAAAATGGGTTTTCGCTTGCTTTTTCATTGGCATTGGCTCCTGTGAGCAGGTCCCAGTGACATTCTGCTGCTGCTGAAATCACTGTAGGTACATTTTTTTTGCAAGCAAATGTTTCACTTGCATCTACAACCTTAATCCACCTGAATAGTTTGTGGATCCCAAGTTCAGAGAATGAGGACATCAAATGAGTTGGTATGCTTTAGCTATTTGTGTGGGGATTAGCCCGGGAGACCCAGAATCATATCGCTGCTCAGCCACAAAACTTACTGGATGATCTTGTATCAAATTGCTTACCTCTTGGTCTAACCTATCCCACAGGGTGGTTATTGGAATAAGGAGAAGGAGAGATAATCATATATGTCAACATGAGTTGCTTGAAGGAAGTGCAGAATAAATATAATATAACTTACTAAGGGTGCATTTATCTTACGTAATGTTATTATCGGTTTTGTGAGGTAAAACTCACATCTGTACTATTGGTCCATTGTTCTAACATTCAATGGGTCGTCTCTTCCAGCTGGTGAATGAAAACTTTGTTCAAATTCTTAAGAGTGTTTACATACTTTAAGATTGGGACCATTTTATGGTTAGCATCCAAATGGTTCAGTAACAGGTTTATATAGGGACCAAGACATATTCCAGGAGCCTGGCATCATGTTATCTTAGTCTGAATGAAGTCTATTCTGAAAGGTATAAACAGACTCTTTTGTCTAGGCCATAATGATAACATAATGCGTGTGCTGGTGGTGCAGTATACAAATCACTTGGAGTGGTTCTGAAAGTGTGGGACCACCACTGAGAAGGCCCTGTTTCTCTTGTGCCTGGCAGTCTCAGGATGGTGATGCCAAGGGATTAGCTTAATGAAACAGAATTTAAAATATGCAGTAAGGCTTTGTAGGTTGCTATTTCTCCTGATTCCCCAGGAAATATGAAGAAATCTATCCGCCAGAAGTCAAAGAATTTGTGTATATAACCGATGATACCTACACTAAAAAACAACTGCTCAAAATGGAACACCTGCTCCTCAAAGTCCTTGCGTTTGACTTGACTGTTCCAACCATCAACCAGTTTCTCTTCCAGTATTTGCAACTTCATGGTGTCAGCATCAAGACAGAGAACTTTGCAAGGGTAAGGATATGACCTGTATGGCAAACACTTCAAAGGACACCCAGACCAAGTAATAATAAAAAAATCATTAGCCTAACTTCCCTGATCCCAGTGCCCCTCCAGCTGCATTTTCTCTAGAGAAGGATATGTGTCGTAGAATAATAGAATTGTAGAGTTGGAAGGGACTGTGAGGGTGATCTAGTCCAACCCCCTGCAATGCAGGAATCTTTTGACTAATGTGGGAATCAAACCCACGACCCTGAGATTGAGTCTCATGCTCTACCGACTGAGCTGGTTCAGTTTCAGTCTTCGCCTGCTGCCTCTGTTGTGCCCCTGTCCAGTCTTGCATCTGTCTGTCTGCATTTCAGTGGTGACCAGCATTCTTGACCATTCTTGACTATGGGATAGACTTGAATCTCTCTTGATTTCCCTGTGATTAAAATGGTGTCCAATTCTCTTTAGTATGTAGCAGAGCTGAGTCTCCTTGAAGCTGATCCATTCTTGAAGTACCTTCCCTCACAAATGGCAGCAGCTGCTTACTGTCTTGCAAACTACACCGTGAACAGGCATTTTTGGGTAAGCCTGACTTTTGAATATTAACCAACTCCTTACAGCTTGCCGGCTCCCGGTGTGTTCAAACCCTTCAAAGAATGAAACTGGATACAAAATGGGAAGATGCCTTGACCCCAGGTTTAGCTGGCTTTCCCTCTTTTTTTAGCAACAAACTTAAAAAATGGCTGATGCAGTAGAAATCCTTCAGTCCGACACAACTACATTTTTGTCACTCGGGAGGCTATTAACTCTGCAGAGAGATGAACTCCGGAGCTTTCTGGGTTAAAAACAATTATGGGTTTAGTTGACCTTAATGCATCTTTGTTGCTGCCGCTGTTCTACACCTGCTATCTTATTAACTTTATGGGTATAAATGAGATTTTTCACTGGCACCTTCTCTGATAATTATCCCAACATCTGATTTGGGAATGTTGCGAGGTAAAAGATATGGCTGGTATCAAAAATAAATTTTTCCCAAGCACTCATGAAAGCACAACTCTGCAGTGTTTCTTCCTGGGCAGTGCACTTTAGTATGGGCTGCTTCTCATGAAAAGAGCCACCACCTCCTGTGTAGGGTGGTGGAAAACCAAGGTTGCATTGCGTACAAGTGGAGCATACGGAAGCTGCCTTATACAGAGTCAGCAAATTGATCTGTATAGCACAGTATTGCCAACAATGGCTGCTGGTGGCTCTTCAGAATTTCATACCAGAGTCTCTTCTCCCGCACTGCTTGGGACCTTCTGCACCCAAAGCATGTGATTTGCCATGGCCCTTTCCCCTAAAAAAGTGTTCCCCAAGCTTAGGTCTCCAGATGTTTTTGGACTACAACTCCCATCATCCTTAGCTAGCAGGACCAGTCGTCAGAGAAAACAGCTGGAGACCCAAGTTTGGGAAACACTGTCCTGGAATAATGGGGTAGGGCGTCTACCTGATGTGAGTGGAGCATCTCTGCTGGATTTTGCTCTGTGCTTGCCTATTCAAGCAGCCTTTTTCCCTTGTACCCAGCAGCAATTGGTGAAAAGTTGAAACAAAGCTACTGAGTGAGGTCTCTCCTAAACTTGATGCTGGCTCAAGGCAGGAGAGTCTCTTTCCAAGCGTATGTGATTGTGACACGTTCTTACCTGAATGGAATAATAAAGCTCTAATCTCCCTTCTTCTGATCAGCCAGATACCCTTGCGGCCTTCACTGGCTACTCACTAGGTGAGATAGTGCCTTGCCTAAGTGACCTGCACAAAGCCTGCCTTGATGCTCCACACCGACCACAGCAAGCGATAAGGGAGAAATACAAGCTGGCTAAGTAAGTTCTTGGGCCAACAACTTCTTTCTGAACACCTCAGCAGCTCTGTAAAATTGTGACCAGTGGAAATAACGGCTGTTAGAGGAGGAAGAAAGCTGGGCAGCATGTGGGAATATAATAGAGAGGTTGCAAATAATTCCAAACCATAGTTTAGCAGTATTGCAAGGGTGGGAAACTAGCATTGCACCTGGCCCTTGGCTCAATTTCAAAAGTCCTCTGTTAGCCCTCTGCTTATTCCAGGCGGTTGAACCATCTGTCTCTTGCCCAGTAGCCTACTGGTTAGTGAGGAAGAGGAAGGGCAGGAGGGAGAGAATAGGGGTCGTATAATGAGAGAAAAGAGGTTGCCCTCCCTACCACTAACTTTGACCCTGCGCAGCCCCTGGCAGGTTTGGCCCGAAAGGAGTGCATCCCTTCAATGAGAAAGAGGTTGCCCATGACTCACTGAGGAGGATGAGCCACTGATAGCTTTGGGCTCATGTGCTCCCCTCTCTGCCACTTGCAGAGGAGGAATTTGGACACTTCCGTTTCCATTTTATATTGACTCCAGCTCTGCCTGCCTCTGAAACCCCTAAACCGTGATTAAACATGAACAACGGCTCGTTCGGACAAACCAGCTGCTTAACCTGTGGCATGAAATGGCTTGTTGAAACAAGACAACAGCTGGGATTATCCACAGTAGTTTGGATCCGAACAATCCATGAAGTTCAAAGTTAATCCAAAAACAGGAGGGAGAGCTTCCAAACTCACTCTGAAGCAGCCACCGGAGGGAAGATTAGGCGATGGGTGAGCCTAAGGCTTGCTGCATCTCATCCTCATAACATTCTGTCTTAGCATGACATGCAGCCCGGCTCAAAAGCGTGGGCAGGATGTATATAATGAGTGCCACGCACATGCAATTTAAACTTTGCACCAAGAACAACTGATTTTTGTCAGACGCATGAAGCTTTCGAAACTGTTAAATGGTAGCTTCCCCTGTGACCACAGGAAATCTGTTAAGAATTCCTCTCTGATATCTCACTTGATGTTGCCTATATGCTTTCAGGCTTATTTTCTCCAAGGATTTTTTTTTTATAAAAAATTGGAAATTGCTTCTCCCCTGAGGATGCTCCAAGCGATAACCAATAAGAACACAGCTGCCGTCAGAAGGGCCAGAGACACAGGCGTGTTTTCTTTTATAGAAGTAGAGATTCCTAGGCACTTGCAAATAGCAAAATAAACCCCACAGTCATGGATGTGACTCTTCTCTTTTTTAACTTAAATCCAGTGCAGATTTCCCAATCATGATTACGCAATCTGCTAATCTCGAGTACTTGAAGTGCTGCAGAATTATCAATGGGGCGTTTGCTAACTCTTTGTACTGAGTGGTTTCTTCCTTCGCAGGTACATGCAAGTATCCCTCCTGGAGCCCCCAGCCATTCTACCTCTGCTATGAACTGCAACAGATGCCAGTAAATGCACAGAAACTGAAGCACTTGCCTCCTGATCAATAGAGTTGATCTGGCCAAATTATTATGTTTTTAATAGGGCACTGCAGGTCATGTGTCTAATCTTGTTGCTTGAACTATTTTTAGAGGACCTTTAGTATATAGCTGTACTTTATCACAAGGACTCGGGACTGTAGTTTTACCACAAACTAAAAGCACTTTTAATAAACATCTTTTCATTTAAAAGAACTCTTGGTGTCTCTGCATGTGTGAATTGTTCTGAATTGCCATGTCTGCGTGATGGCAGCCTGGAGAATGAACACTAAACTTCCCAACAAAATGAAAAGCAGGAATAGGAATTGAAGAAGCTGCCATATACGGAGACAGACTGTTGGACAAGCCCTTCTGATCGGCAAGCCCAAGAGGCTCAGTGGTTTAGACCACAGCGCCACCTGCACCCCATTCTACCTTTACCAACTCACAATTTCAACATTTCACTGGGAAAACTGATGATGGTGTACATTTTAAATATACCCTCAGAAAGCCGGGAACGTTGCTATAACTAGAACAGACGAGAATGATAAATATGAGGCTGTCTCTTTGCCATTATAGAACAGTGCTGTTAATTCCAATATAGCATTGTAGAACTAGACTAAAAAGTACTTGAATGGTGGGCCAGCGCTGGGACTGATGGCAGTTGTACTTCGAAACATCTGGAGGGCACCAAGTTGGCACAGGCTGTTTTGGGGGTACACACCAGAACGTTGAATTGGGCCCAGAATCAGATACGCAGCCAGTGAAGCTGTGGCGACTGGTGAGATGTGTTCGGAGTGAGCAATGTCCATTGCATTCTGCTTCAGATTAGTTGTCAGAGGCAGCCTGCATGATGTGTTGTGGTAAGTGAGTTGGGATGTCTTCCTGTCCGACTTAAGACACAATCTTGTTCTTGATCTAGGACTGAGGAACATTTGAGGTCCAGAACAACACAACTCTTCCTTCCTTCCTTCCTTCCTTCCTTCCTTCCTTCCTTCCTTCCTTCCTTTTCTCTCTCTCATTTTTAATAAGCCAAGTACAGTACTACAAATATGGCACAGGAAAATACACTGCAGAATCTTAATAGGAATTAAAGTACATTGGTCTGATTTAATTGTGATACATTTGGTTATTATCTTATGTGGCAAGAGAACAAATGCTGAATGTTTGTCCCCTTGGAGAAAAATAGTTCCACAAAGCAATCTGCAGTGTAATTAACACCAATGTAAAGGATGCACTCCAGAAAATGCAAAAAAAGAAAAGAAAACCAGGCCTTTAGAATTATAATAATGAAAGCCTGTAAATGAGATGGGAATGCTGCTGTGGTAAAATTAGGACAAGCCCAAATGGTGTTTGTAAAGTACATAGGAAGTATAACATAAATTCTTATCTTACTGTTTGGGCAGGGGGAAGTAGCCTGTATGCCAAGACCCCTCTAATCCCTGGATCTACCAATTGTCAGAATTCAGTCAAGGCTTTTAGTTCTTGGAGTAGCCAAGCTAGTCTCCTGGTGAGCTGATAGCCTGAGTGATGAGCCATTAAGGAGAACAAAGGAAGGGGCTCTGTGGAAGATTGCAAATGGGTGGAACCCCTCCCCCTCCCCCTCCCCTTTCCCCACTCCCTAAACTCATAGATGGTAAAAAGGACAAAAGCTAGGGTTGAGAGTTTTTTTGGGCATTGATGTGACCTAAGAAAAGGTAGCAAGTTGGAGAGAGAGTCAGAGCAATGTCTGAGAGCAATGTTTGATTTCTGTTTAAATCCAAGGCTGTTACTATGGGAGAAACAAGACCCTCTTGGGATGTAGATGCTGTGAACCCCTCCACTGTGGGCTCAGGTTGTAAAAGGTAAAGGGACCCCTGACCGTTAGGTCCAGTCGTGACCGACTCTGGGGTTGCGGCGCTCATCTCGCTTTATTGGCCAAGGGAGCCGGCGTACAGCTTCCGGGTCATGTGGCCAGCATGACTAAGCCGCTTCTGGCAAACCAGAGCAGCACACGGAAACACCGTTTACCTTCCCGCTGGAGTGGTACCTATTTATCTACTTGCACTTTGACGTGCTTTCAAACTGCTAGGTTGGCAGGAGCAGGGACCAGGCAACGGGAGCTCACCCCATTGTGGGAATTCAAACCGCCGACCTTCTGATCGGCAAGTCCTAGGCTCTGTGGTTTAACCCACAGCGCCACCCACGTCCCGGGCTCAGTTTGTATATGTGTGTAAATAAACTCGTATCATAAAGACACCACAGTCTCCACTTTGCCTCATTTCCAAAGGAAACACGAACCCTGGGTAAGTGCATGGAATCTGGCACCACTTGGAGACGGGTGGTGTGTAACACTTGAATTTATACCACACCCTTCCCTTTTCAAGGAACTCAGGGAGATATAGGTCCCTGTAGGTTCCATCTGAAGTTTCTAGTCTTGCTTCCTTGTATCACACTACAAGCAACTCAAGTAGAAGCAATGTGCTCTGAACTGTTGCCAATAGCGGGTTATTTTTACGGTACCACCCAAGCTTGTAACTTTTTTAAAATAATAAAGCAGATTAGCCTGCCCTGAGGGGCGTTGAATCTAGAAATCAGAACAGGCAAGACAACAGTGCAAGGGACTGGGAAGGAAGCCTGGGATAAAGAGGAACAATATGCAGTCATTTCAGAAAACACTGGGGTCAGGGGTGGGCAATGAAATAGGAAGGACCTCAACTCAGTGACTGAGTTCATTTGCTTTGAATGCAGAAGGGCCTCGATTCAATTCCTGACATCTCCCAGATGGGCTAGGAGAGAACTCTGACTTTAATCCTGGAGAGCTGCTGCCATTTAGGGCCCCAGCTGTGCTATTTGCACGGTGAGCCTTGTACAGAAGAGGGAGGAAGAGCAGCTTGACTTCCAGAGCTGTCCCCAAGTTATTGCTCCCAGTGGATTTCAAGGGCAGGATGTCCAACAGGTTGATCGCGATCTACTGGTAGATCCCCGCGAGGTTTTGGTAGATTGTGGTCGATCTCAGGCTCCCTTTCCTTAGTGTCACTAAAACTGACTCCTGCCCTGCCCCCTCCAATGTTGTTTGCTCTCTAGAAGGGAAGTCGGAGCTTTCATCCACAGCGATCTTTTTGTGGAATTTCCCCCCCCCAAAAAAACTTCTTCTTTTTCTCCTCCCTAAAAAAAGCTCAATAACTGAACCCCTAAAAAACGGGGCTTTCCTCCTGCCTAAAAAAAGCCACTCTGCTCTTCAACTGCAATACAGACCTCTGTCTCAGAGTCTGGGTGAGGCAGTTGCCTCATGCTTTCTATGTGAACCTGCTGCACTCAGGTAAGATAGAGGATGCTGTTGAGATAACTGTCAACTGCTGGTCTTAGTGGCTCCTGTACCTGAAATGGGGAAATTGCTATCTTGCTATCTTTTGTCTCAGGCAGCAAAGCCAGTGATGCAAGCAGCTTGATGACATCATCTCCCTTCAGGGAGGGAGAAGCTGTGGAAAGCAGCCTCTCAGAAGGAATCTCTGTTCCATTTCCTTAGTTATGCAGACAAATGCATCATCTCATCTCATTACATTGCATATATATTATATATACTGTATATATTATCTTGTGATCTGCTCTGAGATCTTCAGATGAAGGGTGGTATATAAATTTAAACCACTGAGCCTCTTGGGCTTGTCGATCAGAAGGTCGGTGGTTCGAATCCCTGCGATGGGTTGAGTTACTCTGTCCCAGCACCTGCCAACCTAACAGTTCAAAAGCACACCAGTGCAAGTAGATAAATAGGTACCACTGTGGTGGGAAGGTAAACAGCATTTCCGTGCGCTCTGGTTTCCATCACGGTGTTCTGTTGCACCAGAAGTGGTTTAGTCATGCTGGCCACATGACCCAGAAAACTGTCTGTGGATAAACGCTGGCTCCCTGAGCCTGAAAGCGAGATGAGCACCACACCCCATAGTCACCTTTGACTGGACTTAACCATCCATGGGTCCTTTACCTTTTTTTTTTTTTTTACATTGCTGTCCAGGAGGAAAGAAGCCATGTTTTTGTCCTAAACAGGGTAGCAAGTTCTTGCTATAAAACATCACTCCTTTTAGAGCAGCGGTGGCAAATTAGAATGATCCCAAAGACTGAACATTTCTGTTTTCTTAATAAAGAAACTGCCGATAAGACTTTCTTTGAGACACACACACCCGCTGCACAATAGAGTATCACATAATTATTCACCAGTTTCTTTGGCATGAATTTAATTCCAGCATTCCAGTCACATTGTCACCGTGGATACTAAGAAACAGATCGAGTAATTTAAGTTTTACTGAATTTGGGTGCAAGTTCCTCGCCCGCTTGAAATCTATTATTTCCTTTCTTAGTGCATATGAAATGAACTGGCAAAGTTAGGAGTTCGTCATGCATCAATGATGAAGGGTCCCCAGCAAAACACAACTGGAATGAAAATGAGGGGGAAGCCTAGTATTATTCAAGGAAAAGGTTTCCATCAGTAAAAGTTACAGAGAGCATGCAAAGGGAATGACTGGTGTACTGGAATGCTAGCAGTTTGCTAAGAATAACCAGCATTTCTCTACCACATACTGGATATTTATATAATAAATAAAAATAATAAAATTTTATTTATATCCCGCCCTCCCCAGCCGAAGATTACAGTTATATGTAATCTTGCAACTTATAAATTAAATCAGCACTATACAAGTGGGAATGGGGGGGGGCTGTTGCAAGAGATTCTTGCTCCCTAAGAGAAATATTCCTATTTAGGGAGCTTGCCACATTTAAGGAACCCACAAAGATGCCCGGGAGCTGTAATTTACCCCTTACAGAGTTGCAATTACCAGTACCCATATCAAACTACAGTTCCTAGGATTCTTTGAGAGGGGGAAAATGTGCTTCAATAGAATGTTTGCTGTGTTTGCAAACATTGTAAGCTACGAGGGGCTTAAGGAACATAGAAAAAACTGCTTTATAACAAGTCGCACCATTGGTCCATCCAGCTCTTAATAGATTGCAGGGATGGGGCAGGATGTAGGGGCCCAATTCACATATCATGAACTGGGCCCAGGATATCCTCTTGAGGCCCCTGCATACCTGCTTCAAGGGGTTTGTGACTAATCTGATTTTTGAGCTGGCAATTTCTGACTTGCCCTGCATCAGCTTTTAGGCTGTGAGCCGAGTTCAGCATCATTAGTATGCATGCTCTGCTGTGGCTCTCCCAAGCAAACGGTTTTGA